CAGGAAGAGGACAGAGGACAGGAAGAGGACAGAGGACAGGAAGAGGACAGAGGACAGGAAGAGGACAGAGGACAGGAAGAGGGCAGAAGACAAGCCCCAACTTGTCATGAAGACGCATCCATCATACCAGCCTGGGCCTGTTCTGTTCAGATTCTTTCATCATGGTGCATCCATCATACCAGCCTGAGCCTATTCATGTCGAGATTCATGTTCACGTCCACATGCACAGTAGTAAGTACAGTACGCACGTAAGGTAGGGAAGAGACAGTAAGGTAGGGAAAGAAGCGGGTGAGGATGCGACAGCTCAGCTCAGCGTAGCGTAGGATCTCGACGCCATCTGATCCCATCTCACCTCTATAGGTTGGTTGGTGTTGGTGTAAGTACCTTAGTAGTATCCGACCTGTCCCTAATATCAAAAGACAAGACAACAAGGTATCCTACCTCTCTGGGAGTGTGTGTGTGTGTGAGGCTCAGTTCAACCATGACATTAGTAGGTGATTTTGGGATGCAGTCTGGATCTGCATTTGGATGCACTGTCTGGATCTGTACATGAGTACTCCGTACACGATGCAGAGGTTTTGGGTGCCAGTGGCCCAAAGCCTTCATAAGCCATAATCCACAAGGCCAGGTCAAGCCCCCGTGAGACTTAAGATGATCCTGAACAAACACGAGACTCAAGATCACCCTGCAAGCCCACGCGAGACTCAAGATGACCCTGAACAAAGAGGACGGGGTTGGGTGATGGCTAGTTGACTAACTTCGCCATGAGGATTCGCTAACGTCAACGTCGCATTCATTACCTTATGGTCATGGTCGAAGCATGTCGTCTGTCTGTTTGTCTGTCTGTCTGGTAGGCTCTGAAGAGTACGGGGATATTGACTGGAAGCACAGCCTCCCTCCTCTCGTCTCTCCCCTCCCGCCTCCATGTCAGATGTATGCGAGTGTATGTTTATGTGTGAGAATCCAGGATCCAGGATGAGGGTGCAAGTGGGAGTGGGAGTGGGAGTGGGAGTGGGAGTGATGACTGTGTCTGCCATGGTGCTTCGAGCAATGCAAAAGTACAGATCCAGATCCGTAACATGGTAGTAGTTCAGCTGCAGTGATAAAGTACTGGTATGGTACCTAGGTAGTAGCACGTAGGTAATTCCTAGTTACGTAGTAGGTAATAGATAGTACTCCGTAGTATCTGTCGGCCGTAAGCACGCCCTGTGCTTGAGGTCGGGTTACAACAAGCTGACTCTGACTCTCTCTGACTTTGACTTTGAACTTCAGCTAATTGATAGGTGGATCATGGCCGCGCAGGGCGTGGCAGGGCTGAGGCAGTGAAGCGCTAAGCTACGTACCTAAGCTGGCGAGGATTCAAGACTCAGGAGGGGCAGGCGAGGGAAGCGGGAGGCGGGAGGGAGGCTTGGACTGGACTGGAATGGAATGGAATGTGGCATGGTGTTCTCGAAGCATGCCGCATTAGGAAAGGCCCGCGAGACGCTGAAGAGTCAGAGTCAGAGTCAGTCATCGTCCATCTGTGGCCTGCCATCCACTGCACTAGAGTATCCCATCCGTACTCCATCCCGTCCAGAGGAGTCATCAGCTCTTCCCGTGCTGACACTTCGTTTGGGCTAACTTGTGTAGGGAAGTGGTAGTCTGGAAGTAATCAACATCTACTCTGTACGTACGGAGTAGTATGTACGTACTCCGTAAGTTGAAATTTCTTTCGCATTTCCACTCGCAACTCCACTCAATTTTCAAACAAATTAATTGACTGTACCTACTCGGTGGCATCTAGACTATTATGTCCTAGTGGCAATCCATCGTCGCCGAGGCCTTAGCCTCAAGGCTCCAGCCTTTCCAACTGTCAACTGAACCACTCTGTCCGTATCCGTTGCGGACCCATACCTATGGAGTAACTGGAAACCGGGTAGTCCACATGCCCGAATCGGCCGGTGCTGCGAGGTTGTTGCAAAGCCTTGTCGAGGAAAAAAAACAGAAAAAAAAAAGGAATAGGGCACAGTTGATTGTGAAGAAGTCGAAGCGCAAGAGATGTAAGGTCAAGGCTAACTATGCCTATGCCTATGCCTATGCCTATGCCTGCTGCTTTTGTCTGATGTGGCCCTGGGCGTCCCAGCAACCGCGGACCAGCAGCTGAAGTACACGAATCACCCTGTGCTTCCACTGGCCTGCTTCAGGCTTCCCGAATCTCGTTTCTTCCCCGCTGTGGTGCCAGGGTCCGGCGGTTTTAGCCGTCGGTGCACAAACTGACTGTGAGTGTGTTGAATGTTCTCGCCTCCTGTTCGTGTCGCCGAACAGTGACCGCTCTTCTCAGGGTCCTCGTCCAGCACCGTCAACATCTTCGTCCATGTCCATGTTCACGCCCCCGTTCACACATCCATGCCGCCCGAGGCCGAATATACCCGAGAGACCTCCGCGACATACCTGGCCATGAGGGTGTCTTCGTCGCGAAAAGGAAGCGGGCGGAAGTGGCCACAGCTGAAACTCGTGTTTACAGGTCACGAGGATGGATTGCGGAGGATTGACATGGCATCTCGGCCGCCTGAGGCAAGTTTGAAAAGCCGAGCGCGACCGAGAATCGGACGAACAGGCCAGTTGCTCGGGCGGGGGAAGATGCACAGAGGAGAAAGTAGACTGCGGTGCACCATGCACCATGCACAATGGAATTAGCTGCATTACTGGACTGCATTAGAACCAATGCAGCCAATAAACGATGCAGTTGAGAACAGCACAAATCCAATGCACTTGGCGCAGCTGGGAGTATGCACATTATTGCCTCCGACGCCCGGTCGGTCGGTCGTTCGAAGATTGCTCCGAGTCCTTTTGTGCAATGTGCAGGTGGTGCAATTTTGGTCCGACTCCGTCTGAGCCTGAGCCAAGGTGCACTGGTGCACTGGTGGTGGCCAAGGTTCAGGTGGCCAGGGGTTCCCATCCCAATTATCCGTATCCGTACTCTGGGGGTCTCGTATTCGGCGTTTAGGCAAGACACGATACGGGGATACGGGATACGCTTTCGGCTTCGTTCGTACCACCGTCTGCAGTTAGTGCATACGAACACGACAGGTGGTGCGAGGCCGTCTCCACGGAGACGAACAACCCTCATCGTACTCGTATGATTGTTATGCCGTCTGGACAGAGAATCAGGGATTGGACTGAGGGACGCGTAAGGGAACCCCCTCGTGTCAGGCAACCGCCATTTGGATGCATCGCATGTGGCACAATCCAGCCAAAAGACAAAGACTCGCAAACTTCACCTGAACTGGCAGCGATCATCGATAAACGAGCTGGGGCTCCATATTCTGGAAATGCGACGGATCTGGAAATGATTCGACGGGGCATTGTTTGCGGGAGCAGGCAGTTGCTGGTAGGCACGGTGATAGCGGTGAATGAACACATTACAGGGAGAGTCAGCATTAAGACGACCTGAGGAACCCCTGGAGCTTGTCCTTCAGGGCTCAGCAGGCTTCTGTCAGGCTTCAACTAGCCGGTGTAAGCCCCCACGATCATCAGGACAAGCCAAACCCTAACGATACGCACCGCACATGCTGCGGTCGAGGCTGTGTCTCCTCGTTGCGAGCCATCGGTCGATCGATCGCGCAAGCAGCGTGGATTCGTGTGAGGGCTTCCATCTGCAACGGTCCAGTCCAGCCTGCAAAGCACTCCGTAGTGAGTCGAGTTCAAAACTGGCGATGGATACGCAGTGCTGTTTGGGAAAGTGCAGGATTACTTTGGATTAGCGAGCAGCGTGCAAGGTGGTAGCCAGGCACACCGCCCATGGTCATGGATGTAGGATAGCAACATCAGCCAGGTTAGAGTTCGATTGGCAGAGTTGCAATTCCAACGCATGGCTTACCAAGAGGCCCGGTCAGTCACAGGGATTCGTGGCTGTCATTGGTGCACGAGGAGAAAAGGGAAGTTGGGGATTTCTCAGCATCAGCGGGTGAAAGTTTCTGGCTAAGCAGCAAGAGTCATGCTTAGAACAGCCAGCAGCCAGCCGCCAGCAGTGGAGAAAGTAATCAGATGGGCTTGAGCTCCTAAGCAGAATCCTACCTAAATTCTAATGCTGACGAAGAGACGCTGGACAATTGGTGATATCACTGTACTGTCCATAGCAACAGCGTTGATGATGAGTCTTCTAGGAGCCCCTAATAGGCAAGTTACAGTGCTGCGTAGAGTGTGTACACTGGTACTGTGGTAAACTGTCCACTGTCCAGGCGCCGTTATGGCCGTAAGCCGCTGACTGAGCAACCAAGCCCCAGAACGGAGGTAACCAAGGCTCCGGCGGCGGTAAGGTTGGGTACTGCTAGGCAGGGACTGAACTCTCAGGCAGACGCGAAACGGCCGAAACGGGGGCCTTAGAAGCCCCGGGCCCTCGAGCTAGATGACGGCATGATCAATGAGGATTTCTCAGCCTGCCAGAGACTGACAGATGACTCGGTGACTGTGCTCGCCAGGGCGCCCCTACGCGGAGGAACGGTAAGGCCGAGCACACGTCTGTTCGCAGCGGCAGGCCCATGCTTTCTCACCCTGGTCGGCTCTCGGGTCCACACCTCTCCCTCACTCGGCTTTTACGCACGCCCGGCTCCATCTCTTACTCAGGCATCTCCATTCTGCAATAGCCTTCCCTGGGCTTAAACGCGAGTCCGATGCTCTGACCCATCCATGGTTCCGCTAACTCCATCCGCCCTACCTTTACAAAAAGAACCGGTCCACCCGCCTTCAGCCAGTCCCTCTTCCTCTTCCATCTTACAACAGTCCCGAACAAACACAGTCAACAACATACGAATACCTTCATGAGCACCTAGGACTTCCCTGTGACGGCACAGAAGCATCGCCCGTATAGCCACACCCACACTGAGACACCGAGACTTGAACGTCCACTGCAACAAAATGCCGTCCTCAATCAGCTTCTCCGCTGGAACAGCGACCGACACATCTAGCAACTCGATTTACAATCGTCCCCAAAAGAAACTCAAGATGAGCATCACCCAGACCTACTTCCTCGCCCACAGTGCCCGCGGCAAGCTCTCGAAAGAGGCTTCCCGGCCTGACCACGACCTGAGGCTCCTGGTCGGACACGCCAACATGCTTGACTCTCTCATGCTCGATCTGGCCACTGCCGAGCAGGAGCAAGAACGCTGGTTCAACAACATCGTCTCCGGATCATCCGCCGCCGACGAGACTGAGGAAGAGGAAGAGGAGGACGAGAGCCGACACGCACGCATTGAAACCATTGTGGAAGAGCCCGAGTTGGACTGGAAGGCTGAGGATGCCGACAGTACCGATGAGGAATCCGAGGACGAAGAGGAGAAGTCAGCCACCAACATCACCACCATTGAGTTGGACTCGGACATGGAGGAAGATGATGAGACCGATGGGGACCTCTCACTCACCCGAACTGCCTCTCGACATTCACCGCCTGAACTGAGTCTGGACACGGATTCGTCCGACTCGGATGACGACCACATGCCTCCTTCACCGCCCTCGAACTCGTTAGAGGTGCTGAGTGAAAAGCAACGGCAAGCCATAGCCACCACTTCCTACTACGATGCCAAAGACACGACCTCATTATCACCCGCCGACTCGGAAGCAATGGAGCAACAAGGCTTCTATCTTCCATCAAGGCAACAGCCGACCATAATCGCTGCCTATTAGAGCAGGTTGATTGACCGCCCTTGACGACATTTGAGCGAGTGATACCCGAGCGTTTCGAGCGAATCTGGCATCGACATTACAGGAAGAAGCATGGTATGGCGCATTTATTTACATTTTCCGTTTGATCCGTTTTGGAAACCGATCAGGGGAATCAAAAAGGAAATCCACCAGGTCTCAAGCATTCGACACGGGAACATCACCTCAGACATCGTTGCCGACCTGGTAGTCGTGGCTTCAGCCAGCACAGGAAAGCATTGAGTCGTGAGTGATGATTTCTATGGAGAATGCTTGCAGACACTGGAGATTGATTTCAAAATGACTCTACTCTATGTACTAAAGATAGTTCTCCCTCTGATGAAGAGGTTGAGACTCAAAAACATGATATCTCCAAACATGTATCTCACTCCAAACATGAGTCTGTTCTGATGAAGCTGTGAACATCGTGAAGCTGTCAACATCGTGAAGCCCTACACGGTAATACGGTAATCGGCGGATTTGTGCCTGGAGCCGATGCAATTTTTGCCCGATTCCCCACAGAAAACCCGATGGCCCGATGGGCTTAAGAGTGAGTCACGCTGATCATCGGCCGAGCTAGCACAAGTACGAGTAATAGCGAGGCCAAACCCACTAAGCAGGCTAAGCAGGGGTCTCCGCTCGGGCTCGGCATCGTAAAAAGGCGCTCGAGGGACGGAAGTGCGGCCTTGGGAGAAGCCGGACGGCCGAGAGAGCGAGCGAGCGCGTATGACTGTTGGGTTGGCTTGGTTTAGTATAGTTTGTTTGATTGGTTTGGTTTGGTTTATTTGATTTGGTTTGATTTGGTCTGGTTGATACGATTTGATTTGGTTGGTATGGTTTGATTCAATTTGACTATATACATGTACGGAGCACACAGTTAATTGTGTCCTGTGATGATTACCTTATTGGAGTTTCTTTCCCACGTTCCACTGGAGTGTTGGTGTTGGCGTGTTGGTTTGTCCAGTGTTCTGAGACCCTAGTATGCGTACTCCATACCTACTCTGTACAGTGTACGCTGCAATAATCTCCAATAGTATAATCACAACCATCAATCATCAATCTAATCCATTCATATTTTGACAAAGAAGAGTCTAGATTCCAGACTCTGACTCTGACTCTGGACTCTAGACTCGCTGCCAGGACGGTGGTACGATGTCTAGGCCAAATACAAATACGAATACTAGTCCTCGATTTATTTGGTTATTGGTTTATTGGTTTATTGGTTTGTGGTTTATTGGCCGCTCAGGGCAACCGGCCGGTCGTGCCGAGGTCCAGGCCAGGCCAGGCCAATACTGTGGACTTTGGGCTGGAGTAGGTTACCTAGATAACTCCGTCGTAATTTATCTCCGTCCATAACCCTAACCCTAACCCTAACCCTAGATTGTAGTCGTACCTAGGTCGTACCTCACCTGGTATTTTATTCATTGATGTACGGATACGGAGTACGATCCTATCATGGCTTTCAGTACGGAGTACGGAGTACTAATTCAGACTCTGTCGAAGTATTACGCCAATGCCAATACAATTCCATGCCAGTGCCTGATGGCCGTCATTGTCGTTGTCGATATTCGCTATATGCACTATTATCGTTGTGTTGTTCGTTGTTCGTTGTCACTCAGGCTGCACTATTATTGTGGACGGACGGCCGGACGGACGGACGGACGGATCGATAGTCGGCTGAAGGTCCAGCCTCGGGGCCGAGGGGTTCTAAGTTCGGACTTCAAACCACATGTCCTAACTACTACTGCTGTAGAGTAACCTACCCAGTTACGGTGTATGTATGCACGAACTGAAAGAGATGCGACGAAGGAAGATTCTGGTTTCTGGATACAGTGTCCGTATTCTGTAGTGTTTTGTATAGAGATCTCTACCAAAGACGGAAGAGTCTGGCTTGCGCGTGGCAGCTGCACTATATTACTGCATTACTTACTACATTACTGGGCCAGAGTATGCTGGAGGCTGGATGCTGGAGGCTGGATGCTGGAGGCTGGATGCTGGATGCTGGATTCTGGGTTCTGCCACTCTTCTACTGGTAAGTACGAAGTACTAATGTAAGTACGTACTTGCAAGCCATGATTGTGTGTGTGTGTGTGTGTGTGTGTGTGTGTGTGTGTGTGTGTGTGTGTGTGTGTGTGTGTGTGTGTGTGTGTGTGTGTGTGTGGCTCGTTGGCGGGGGACATCTAAGTATAGAGCAGTACTGCCCAGCAAGGCACGTATCTCAGGTATGATGTGTCGAGTGTCCAGGCGACCACATCCAATCATTGTTCGAATCCTAGACGAGAGTCAAGAGTCAGACTCGGTGAGGAAGTATAATCAGAGTATAGGCAGTAGTAATCAACTCCTGATCAATTACGAACTACATATCCGTATACTCTGGACGAACATACATCATACATCATACACATAGTAAATACTACGTGCCGTATAGCAATTACTAGTGACAGTGGCAGCACCCAGTGGTCAGGTAGTGAAGTAGACTCTTTATCCTTCATCTTTCGCCCGAAGTCATAGGTCTGTCCGAGAACGTCGATTGGAAGCATAGGAAGGAAAGCAAAGCCAAAGTCTTATTTAATACCACCATTGCTGGCACCGGCACCAGTCATCCTTATGGCGGTGAAATCAACGACTAGGGAATAATGTGTAAGGGTGAAATCAGCCACCTGGTATGTGTAGGGCACCGGTCAGTACCAATGAGGCTGCACACTGCACACATGCCCAAAGCAATAACAATATCCGTACTCTGTACAAGTACTCCGTACTCAAACACTCTACCAGACTGATATTATTGAGCATCGACGTGGGTGTTATCTATGTCTCCCAGTATCGCACCATAGTGTGCACCAGTGTGCATCCTCGCTTCCATAGACGCCCATTCCTCGTTATTTACATAATTGCAAAGAGCTCCAGAGCACCTAACATCCACTGCCTTGAATCTAACACTCCTCGCGAGGGTCAACTTGTCGAGGCCAGAAAGGAAAGCTAAACTTGAAGTCGAAAGAAACAAGCCCAAGCACAAAAGCGCTCAACTGTACGGGAAGATATCGTTGCCGTGATGCCAATATTCCCTCACTATGTTCCAAGCAGCCATGACAGCCATGACTTCGGTTGCTGGTTGGCATTGGTAGGATTGGCCACCGGTTGAGATTGGCAGGATTGGCAGGATTGCCCACCAGCTGAGCACAAGGCGGCAGAAGTTACTCAAAAACCCGCGCCACCGCAGAAGCCCTTCAGCAGAAGCGCTTCATCAATTACAAGGCAATACCAGGCCCCGGTCCAAGTTTGGATGGTCCAGCAGGAGAGGTGCGTCGATCCTGGAAATTGCTAGCCGAGTTGCTTCGTCGTCGATTCACCACAGCCATTGGCGCAGGTCCTCTACCTCCGTACGGATCTGGTGACATGCTGCGCTTTGCATGTGATCGAGGTCCCGGGGACAATGGTCGAGGAGCTTGGTTGAAGTGGCCAGGACTCATGGGTCTTGCAACGAGAGGCATGGGACTCCTGGCACCGGCAGGGCTCATTGATCTTGCACCAGCTGTCACCGGGCTCTGAGGAGGCATACCAGGTCGCGGGCCGTTAAAGTTGGGGCCGTTCCGGCCGGGCGGGCCACCGGCTGGTGACATGGGTCGGGACATTGGACCTTGCCCTGGAGGGGGTGGACGAGCATACTGGTTCAGGTGAGATGGTTTTGGCTTGGACGGTTTGGCTGCAAGGCAAGTTCTCGGGACGACGCCTTGCTGAGAGCGGTCAAGTCGGATACAGAGAGCCTGAAAACAAGGTAAGCTAGTGTACATTTCATGCATATCAGTGTCACCTACCCATCCATCATCATATTCGTGCAGTAAGCGAACGAGTTGGCCATTTTTCAATTCGAGTTCATCGTCCATGGAAGGCTTGAAGTCCATCAAGACGCGGTAGACGTTGCCGGACGGTGGCTCAGCGCCCTCTGCAACCGGAGCTGGCTGGACCGGTGTTGAAGGAGCTGTGGATGAACTTTGTCGCCGGACCGACTCAACTGGTGCAGCTACAGCTGATGGGACGACAGCCGGACTAACTGCTGCGGATGGTTCAGGGCCTTTTGCGACGTCTGGGCTAGATGGCTTGGGCTGAGTTCCAGCAACAACCGCGGTAGCAGCAGAAGCAGCCATGGCGGCCGCGGCCGCTTCAGCAAGTGGAGCGACCGGGGCAGGTCTGGCAACAGCTGGGGCGACAACAACCGGTTGGGGAGCTTGGATCGGCTTCTCAGGGTCGGCGAAAGGATTCTGAGGGTCGGCGAATGGGTTGCTGGGGTTCTGGTCTTGAGACAGCTTAGGAGTAGGGCTTGGACCGCGCGGTTGAGGGGATGGAGTCAAGTTTCGAGATGGAGCAGCTCGTGACTCCCCGATTGTGTTCAAAAGGTTGCCGTTGCTAAGTCTACCCTTCGAGGCGTTGCCCATGAATTCTGGCATCATTCGTGACACAGGCCGCAGGCTCAGTCGTGGAGCGGCAGTACTGGAGACCGTTGGACTCCTGTTGACCATCTCGGTAGCAGCACCGGCACCAGCGCCGTAGGTGGATTTTTCATTGTCTTTGTTCGCTTGAGCTTCACGTGCTTTCCTCTTCTTTCCAAGAAGCCAGAGCAAGAAAACAGCGAAAAGACCGACGACTGCAATAACACCAATGGCGATGCCGGCTTTCGCGCCGGTAGACATTCCACCACTGGATGAGCCTGACTTGTCTGACGAGGAGCCCGCAGTGGCAGAAGCAGGGGCAACAGACCCTCCAGCAGTGTTGCTGCCGGAAAGGCCCGAGGATGTGGTAAAGGCATTCAGGGAGGTGGTCGCCGGTGAGATGAGACTGCTCGCCGAAGTAGACGAGTCCTGGGCAAATACAGTTTCGGTTGGAGCGGTGGAGAATTCGAGTGTTGGCGATGTCGATGCCGCACTGGCTGCCTCTGTCTCACTGGCCTGCGCCGATGCATCTGTGAGTGTTGTAAAGCCCCCAATAACGCCAGTGAAGGTAGGCGACGCCGTTACATAGACGACGGAATAGACGGTGCCTCCGACCACACTTACGCCCTCCTGCCGTCTTGCCAACTCGGCCATTCTCTCGTGGAAGAATTCGTGTGCGTGTGCGTGTGCGTGAGCCATATTGTGTTCTTGATTATCGGATCTCAGATCTCTTCAAGCGGCCCGTATGGTGCCAAATGGATGTTTCTTGCCGTCACCGATGAAGAGGGAGTTGTTTTCGATCTCCGGGGGACAAGCTGATAAAGGCACAAGAGGCGTTGCAGCGCCGCTGATGATTGTGATTGTGATTCTGACTGCGAATTGAATAGCTTTGAGTCAGGTGTTAAAGAGAGTCGGGTCGGGTGATAAGGAGAGACTGGGTATTGTCGATTAAGGAGGGGCGACAATACGACTCGTGAATTGAATTGAATGAATAGAGGAACAAAAGTTGAAAGAAGCGCTACACAGTCCGATGGGCTGTGCGAAACACGCAGAGCAAAACCGGGCAAAGGCGCGGAGCTGAAGAATTGAAGTGCGTTGCAATTAGTTATTTCAGTTAACTGACGCGGCGCTGGGGGAAGTGGTTTGATGGACGCATTTCAGTGTTGGACGAGACGCAGTTGCAAGAGATTCGAGAAGCGAGAAGCGGAGCCGGGGTGGGCAACGGGAATTGACGGTGGATTCAAGTCAGGCAGCTAACAGGCAGCTAACAGGCGGGAGGAGGAGGAAGGCAGCACCTAAGAAGCCTAAGCAGCCAGGGTTGGGCGCCGCTGATTGGGGTTCCTGGATTAGAAGCAAGCCACTACGGCGCCTAGGCCTGGAACGGGTTTGGCGGGCGAGGTACCTGCAGCATTTAGTGAGATTGCGCCGAAGATGGCAGCAGTGACATTCGATCGCGATGACCATGTTACAGTCATTAATGACCTTCACCACTCGGGGTCTGGAGTCTGCACAGTGGACAGTGGACAGTCGACAGTCGACACATATGAGCCATCCGACGAGATACATGACAGACAGATGGTGATCGTTGGTGAGACCTGTTCGTTATATGGATATCAGATGCCTGTTCAATTTGCCTCGGAGGCCGTGATGCATCGGACTTAGCCTCCTAAGCCCTGCGACAAGCCGTCATAAGCACAACTCCTACTAGGGACCTAATGAGTCCCATGGTGCCTGGATAAATCAAAATAATAGTGATTCAGGGGTTAATTATTACCTAGTAGGTGCCCAGGTATTATTATTGCATGCCTGCGCCCATCCATCCATGGTCTCACTTCAGATTCGCCAACACACCATCATCCTCGATGTACCGGCACCCTGTGCTCGGCGTACTACATCGTAGTGGTTGCAAGAAGCTCGCCTCTTTAACTTGGCAGACAGTTTGACAAGCATCATTATTTTCAATAATCATAACCATGGGGTGCATGGCTTAACGGAGATCGGCTGCCTGTTGGCTGTCTCGACCACCAATTCCCTGTCACCACAAGATTGCAGATTGCGGGTTGCGCTCTTTCACAATCGCCATCCACTCGCTTTCCGCCTTCGTCCCACACTCTTGTGTACCAATCTATCCAAATCATCCACTGATGTCGCGTTTTTCGCCTGCTGCTGACCTTCATCTGTCATTTGAGCTTGTGCACGCTCTCGTGCTGGTTGTTTTTCCGCTCATGAGGTGTCCACGTCCTTCCTTCTTCCTACCGATCTCCGATTGTCCTAATGACTGGTTGAGGGCTGGGAGGTCATGACCGGAAAGAAGGAGGACTGACTGTGATGCACCCAAGAAGCTGTTTCTGCTTTGAACTCCGGAAAATGGCGGCAGTGTTCAGAAAATACCTCACAAAAAAAGACCAGGAAATTTCTCTGGCCTGTCGGCTGTCAGAAGCAGGCTTCCTAAGCTGTCACTCAGCGCTTGGAATGATGGCATTTTATTCTTTGCGAATTGCCTCCCTTCCACAGCCAAAATCTACCATTGTGCAACTATACGAGGCTCGGTAATGACAAAGGCTCAAGAGGACAAATTTGACAGGACGAGTCCCGCTGCTATCCCACTGCTTGCTAGTTCGCTGCGTAGGCAATACCTCCCATCTACTCTGTATAGCTTTCATCTTATGATTTGAGAAGCGAGTTCATGCTCCAGGGCTTGCTTAGCAGTCAGCCTCCAAGTGGACTCATAGCAAACAGTCTTGCTGACAAAATCGATAGCTTGTCCTGTAGCACCCAGAAGGATATCTTTCCAAGGTTTGGCAGGGAAGGCCTGGAATCGCATTTTGCCCCAGTCAGGATATTTCCTAGCTGACGGCCACCCATGGTCATCTGGTGTGCCAAGCGTGGTGAAGATGGACTTGATCAACCCAAGTTCACTTCCCACGGGCCCTGCATCAAAGATGGGCTCGTGGCCCTCCCTGACAATCTCTGCCACAACACATCCTGCTGCCCACATGTCCAATGAGGTGTCGTATGATCGATCACCGAACAGCAGTTCGGGTGGTCTATAGCAGGTTGTGCCGACGTCGGTAATTTTGGCGTCTGCTGCTTCGGAATCTTTGTCGTCTGGCGACCACGCAATCCCAAAGTCTGCCAGGTAGACGGGACCGTTCATTGTCTTAAGCAGGATGTTAGACGGCTTCACATCTCTGTGAATGATACCTAGAGCATGAATATGTTCTAAAGCCTTGAAGAGCCCAAGCACGATCATGCTGGCCTGCGCTTTGTCCAGGCTTCCCGACCGGAGAAGATTCTCCAAATCCTGCCGAAGAAATGGGAAGACGAGAACAAACCGACCGCCAGACTCGCGAATTGTCTCCAAGAGCGGGACGACATGAGTGTGACGAGCCTTGACGAGCAGTCGAGCCTCTCTTTCAGAATGGTGTGGTGGTTTCATCATCGCTGGATACGTGACCTTGAGCGCCACAATCTTTACGGCTGCCATGCTGTCCTTGGCCTGCGCCTTGAAGATGGTAGACGTCTGGCCAGCAGCGTGAAATGTGGCATATTGATAACCTCCAATGCTGGGCCCTTCAGTATTCAATATCTCAGGCCCCTCGGGCTGCTCATGTTGCTCCGGACTGTCTGACGGAGGCCCTTGCAGGCCCGTGATCGCTTCTTTGATGGCGTTCTGATACTCATCCTGTAATGGTCAATAGGCATTCCGCGGTTCTGTCTCAGGGCACCGTACAGGTGAAGAAGCGGCCTTGAGGATTTCGTCTTCGACCTCTCTAGCTGCCTTGCGAGCCTCATTTGCCTCTTGGCCGGCAGATAGGAATACATTCATCCTGTAAGAAATCAATATCCACATGAAGTAGTACTGGCTCTTCTGCCTCCTCACAGTGACACTATGTTGCTCAGTCTATCGGCGAAGCTGATGTCAACTGGCATCTTGATCGATTCTGCCGATTACTTATCGGTCAGAGTGTGTTCAGGCCACATATGTCTTGTGCTTTTAACGTTGATTCAATGTCAGGATCTGGTTATTAGCGTTAACACCGGCAGCAAGTGAACACATGGTGGGCAAGAATTTCATCTCATCATCTGGTCAGCATCTTGAATCAGACAAGACCACCGGCAGAGACTGAAATTGGATTGACGCTCCGCACGAAACGAAAGCGCGCATGTCTCAGGTACCGGCACCGAAGGGAAACATACTGCCTATCCGCCTATATACTCCACCGAAATCCTTCCCCTGAGCCCGATGCTGCACCGTAACTTTAGGTAATCCAATATCCGGACTGGACCGACAACAAGACTCGATGCATCTTCGATTGTTTGCGACGAGTTCGGCCACGCCATTTTGTCCCACATGCTCTGACAATCTAATCAACTCTTATTAGAGCTTGAAGGACACCTGGGCGACCTTCAGCATGGAGTTCTCACGAACAGAGTATCCAACTCTCCTGGTCTGGCTTTTCTACCACCACCCGCAGGCTCCGAATCTCCAACTGACTCTCAATTGCGCCAGGCCTCATTGCAACCGGAGCAAGCCATAACGCTGCTCAACGATCGCGTCTCTATCATCTCAAAGATCAACAACGATATCGCCGACTGGCTCCAGGTCAGCCTATCTGGTCGGGGTTCGCAACGGCATCCACTAACCTCACATTAGGAACGTCGAAAAGTCGAAGAAGCATATGTCGCGGGACTGCGGAAGCTTGCGCGCAGGCCACAACAAGATGGGGCCGCAGCCCTTGGGTACGGCTATACCTCCTGTACCGTGATCTTGTACTGAAGTGTGCAGTATTTTCCAGACGCCATGGCAGCGCATCGTTTCCGGCACGGAGAACCTGGCCGCCTCGCACGAAACACTCGCGGCCAAGATTGAAAGCGACGTCGAGAAACCGTTGAGGAGTTTTGGCTCCCGAAACAAAGAAATGCAGGCGCTTGTGTCAACCCAGGGCAATCTGAACGCCATCGCCAAAGAGCTGATTCATGCCCAGAAAAGGGCTGCAAAAGGTGGCAGGAGAACTGATACCGCAAGCTCTGCAGTGGAGGACGCATCGCGTCAGTGGGAGTCACAGGCGCCCTACGTTTTTGAGCAGCTTCAAGCATTGGATGAGACGAGAATCAACCACTTGAGAGACGTCCTTACACAGTTTCAGACCCACGAAGTGGACGCTATTGAAAAGAACAGACTGAGTGCGGAGTCCTGTCTGAACGCACTCCTCAACCTCGAAACTGCAGATGAGATCAAGGCCTTCGCCACAAGGAACGACCGGGAGAGCAGCAGTACTATGAGAAGACGCAGCTCTGCGGCAACCAGTGCAAGACCTCCCAGCTCTCAGATCCGTTCTCCACCAACACCACCTCCGCCGCGACATGCAGACGACAGACATAGCCAGCGTTCCAACTCTGTTGCGGCACAGGACATAGCGACTCCACGTAAGTCCATACGAGAGACTCATTAAATAGTCTAACCATTCTATAGTTCCTGATACAACTCCACACAAAGAGAAGCACAGGCTGGGTGGTCTCAAACGTCTCGGTACAGTCATGGGCCGAAGAAAGAGTGTGGTGCCTCCAATCCCTCCGCAATCAACAGAGGAAAAGAGGAGGACAAGGTCCTTCGCCCCGTTTAGACGGGGGAATTCCTCTCGGAGTTTCCAGGACTTGGAAGAGACAGGAGAAGACCTGGCTCCAAGTATATCCCGGGGTGAGCGACCGGCATCATCAATTTCGCACGACAGGCGGGGCGACCTACCTATCAGACACGAGCTGCCAATCCACGCTGAGCCGGAATCGCTGATTCCCACTCCTAACGGTGTAGAACCGTCTCAAGCTCATCTGGAATCGAATGCGGAGGTTCCTCCTAGTCAACCAGCACTGCTCGACGCAGGGGGCTCGCCATGGACCCAAGTTCCCCCATCTCAGTCCTCTTCGGTACAACAACCTTCCTCGCCAACTCCAAGATCTCCAATCCAGACACAGCCAGATTCGTCTGTCCCGCATATTGCTGTGGATGATTCGGCACGCAATTTCAAGATTCGGGACGAGCCAATACAAGAAGACGAAAGCGAGGCTCAACTCGCCATGAATAACATGGCCAACCAGCTCAGAACCCAAGCGCAGAATTCAGGTCTCAATCGGGTCCAAGGCAGCGTGAGGGGCCGACGAGATGTTCGAAACACCATATATGTGCCCAGTCACACCGACACTTTTGGAACTCCGTCTTCTGCTCCACGCGCCGGCCCACCTGTTTCCATCCCGCCGGGCCCCGGTTCGCCCGACAATGTCCTTGCTTCCCCCATACAACGGGCACCTGCCCCTGCTATACTTCATGAGGAGCATGGCGTAGGCTCCGACACGACTTCCATCCATTCTTCGCAAAGTCTTGTTGGTCCAAGTCAACATGTTGACGTTCATGAACCGGGTCTCAACGCCTCGGTGGTTGAAACTGTCCATTCATGGTTCACCGAAGCAGGCATCAGCAAGTCTTTTGTGCTTGGCGAAGTGGCTTTTGCCTACAACGCTTCCGTCTCTTCTGACACTGAACACGAAATCGTCAGATTACAGCACTTCGAGCGGCTGGACAAGATTGCTGCGAATCCGATCTTCCTGACACATATCAAGCCCCCTGGTGAATCATTAGCAGAGGAACAAGCCGGTTCATACACTATATCGACGCATCCGATTCGGAGACCGACCCCAATGATTGGCCTCAAATACCAGCTGCACCTTGAAGAGAGCAATCTTGCACAATACAGCCCGATCTTAATCACTCCAGCCTGGCAGGTTGTTGAAGGGCAGGCCAGTGCCATTGTCTTGTACAGTCTCAATCCTGTTTTCGGAGGCGACTCGTTGACCCTCAAGAATGTGATTATCACTGTCAATCTAAATACCTCGGGCGAAGGGACCGGCAAAGCAGCTTCGGCCATGATGGCGCCAACGCAAGGCGCAACGTTCCGCCGCAAAGCGTCAGCCGTGGTATGGCGCTTCAACGAACTCACCATCAAACCCGAACAGGAGAGGCTGTTGATCCGGTTCATGACGCAAGGCGGCATGCCGAAGAAGGGGACGGTCGAATTGAAGTTCGAGATTCCCGGGCGGACGGCCAGTGGGATCGGAATTGAGAAGCTGCTCGCCGGAGGAGACAAAGACACGGAGAAGGATGCCACTGATCCGTTCGCCGATGATACCGGGGACGGCAGCGCCCGGGGGAGCGCAGAGGAGAGACGATGGGAGGTTGTCCCGACCACGACAAAGCTGGTCAGTGGACGATACACTGCTAGCTGAGTCCCTTTTTCCTTTTGGGGGGAGAAGATGCAGAGAAGAGGCAGGACGATTCTACGAGTGCGCTCGCTGTACAGACTTGGATTTCGACAGACCAGAAATGTGTAGGAGATGGATAGAGGGTGTGGCATCGGAGATTAGTAGGAGCTGGTGGGAGCTCCGTCGCTACAGGATACTCGATCAGTCCTCCCCTTGCCTTTTGCCTTTTGCTTTTGCCTTGATTGCGATGGTGACTCTTTGCCATGATTGCGATGGTGACTCCTAAAAGACTTGGGATCGGGATCAGGCTTGGAAGTCTGAGTCGGCTTCGAATCATGCACCAAACAGCTTTCAGCCAATTGTTTGTTTCTCAACCTAAGCTGGGAGAAGGAAAATGGTTAAGACCAAACAACCAAACAATCAACCAACTAAATAACTAAACAACCACATGACGGTGTATCTACCATACCTATAGTACAGACAGACTGCAAATTGATGCCTGAATACACAACCACAATCACAACCAGAACCAGAACCATAGTTCAAGTAATAAGATCCATGATCCATGATCCATGATATATACATCATGATACATACATCGTGATTTATACATCAACTACTTTTGGCCAGAGAGAGGGTGCACGCTTCTCTGGTCGATTCAATTTGATTCAATTCGACTCGATTCAAGTCGATTGCAGCAGCAGTAACAGTAACAGCAATAGCACGCATGCACTGCTCGAAAGGGCTTGATTGATTCAACATCCAAAAAAGGCCAGATTAATCCGCCGAGTCTAATGCGAGAACCAAGACAGAACAGCAGAGACGGTACAGCAGAGACAGAACAGCAGAGACAGTAGAGACATCAAGACAGCAGAGCCAACAGAGACAGTAGACAGCCCCTTATACAATTTCCATCTCGACTTGACCGTCTTCTTTTCTCACACATCCATCCGCGCCATGTAGAGCTCTCATCAGCTAGTCTATCCCTGTCCCTTCATTTCAATACCAACACCCCTCTCTCCTTATCCATACGCGCCACTTCCCGCACCAAGGCCACGAAATCCGCCCGCCGGTCCTTCGGATGTGCCACGACTTTCATCAAGTCCTTGATCGCTATACCTTGGGACGGAATGGCGTTTTTGATGTCTTGCACCGACGGAAAAACGGTCGGACTCATGGGTTGCTGGATAGGAGAGGGTGCCCCTCGCGGTGCAGGCGAGCCGGCGCGTGAAGAGGGCTGTGGCGTCGACCTCCCTGTTGCAGGCGGTGAGACGGACATCTTCAACTTCAGTCGCCTGGCCCGGCTCGCGTCCGACATGACCCCGCCATCGCTGAGCATGGTGTCCGTGTCGGATCCCGCGCCACTCCCTGCAGCGCGTCGGCGTGCCTTCAGGGCTGCTGAAGGCTCGAGAACGTCTGCAGGTGACATTGGGCGAGACTGGCCCGGCGTCGGTTGTACAGATGATATATGTCGTGACTTTAACTTCTTTCGAGTGGACGCGTCTGTGCCCGAAGCCTCAGACAGGTTGGGTGAACCCGGTCGTTTTAGCGATCTCGAGGACGAGGACTTCTTCATCCCACCTTCGCGATCGCTTGCTGTGCCGGCTCTCTTCTCCTTGCGGCCCGATGGCGAGTTCGTCCCGGACGACGGAAGGGCAGACTTCTTGCCCTCGGCTTCTTCTTCTTCTTTCTTAATATTGGCAATACGCTCGCGCTCCAAACGCTCGCGTTCTTCTTCAGAGTCGGTCTGTGATTCATTAGCACGGACAACGGCACTGGCAGATCAACAAACTCACCGTTGACTCGTATTCCGAGTCGCTAGCATGGTTGAAGTTGCGCTCCCTTCGTTCGAGAGCCTTCCTGAGCTCTCGGAAATTCTTCTTGCGAGCTTCTGCTTCGCGCCGCTCTCGTTCTTCTGCCTCGTCATATTCCTTCAGGTCCTTGAAGTCAAGGAAATTGGCTTGCAGCTGATCTTCTTTAATCCGTTTCTCTGCGAACTTCTCATCCTCGTCCTTGTCAGCGAAGAGATCCCCCTCTTCGTCGTCGGCGAAATCATCTTCAAAGTCCAAGTCAGCATCTTCGCCCGTTCTGCCCGCAAAGCTTTCCGTCTTGGCGGCGCCTGAAAAAAGTCCCTTGCTCTGCCTTGCGGCTAGATCTCGCGTTGCGTCGGCAATGCGGCTCTCTCTTAGTCGGATCAGCCATTCAGGATCTGAGCCCCGCTTCTTCATGGCCGCCTCAGCTTCCTCGATAGACATTCGCTGGACGATTTCGCGCTTGGGTTTAAACTGGTAGACCTTCTCGATGGGAATCAATCGAAATTTCCCAGATTCGGCCCCAGGCTCGTAGACGAATGCCACGGTAGTGCCCATCGACCCCATCTGATGGTGGCCAATGAGGCAATGTTTGTTGTCGAAATCTTCGAGATGCCATGGCAACTTTTCCTCATAGTTGGTCTGAATCCGACGTTTTTCCTCGGCGGAGAAGTCTGGCCGGAAGACCTGTTGCGTCTTCTTCTTGAAATTGATCTTTTTCCCTGCCCCTTGCGAGGGTGCTATCTGAGCCAAATTCGCCTCGCGCTCCTTTTGCCGAGCTTCTTTCCTCATATTCACCTCTTCTCGCTCTGCGGCATTCATGCCATCTTTTGGATCGGGCAATGCCTCTTCCTCTTTGTTCTGTTGTTGTGGATGACCCGGTGGTGGTGCTCTAGGATCACGCCGATGGAGGCGGGCAGGCTTTGGGAATTCGGTCTCGTTATGGATATCAATAGGCTTCTCACCCGCTAGCTGCAGAAGATGATATCGCAGACCGTTCAGGAGGTCTTTCTTTGATGTTACGAGCTTGTAGTCTTTGTAAGGAATTCCCTCGGCAGTGAGACGCGGATCACTGAACCCGCTTACACGCTCGACGTCGGGTATGGCAGGTTTGGAGGGAGAGGCAGATGGTGGACCACTGGGCACAGGAGTCCGCTTAGGAGGAAGTTGACCATTAATGGGAGGTGTGGCATGGCCGTTTACTTGCTTAATGCCGGCTGGGTTCTTCCTGGGGCCTTTCCAGAACGGATCAGATTGAGGCTTCTTGCGGCGCACCACAGGAGCAGCGCCTGGCGGTCGGTTCGCAGGTCCGCCTACTGGGACGGAGCCTGGGTTCATGCTGCCTATGATGGGGGCATAGATATGGACCAGGCCACATCCAATTTGTAGGCGATGGAGTTACAAGACCGGGGCTCGGGTAGGTGGATTGAGGCACGCGTTGCTGTCTGGTCGATCAAGGGGAAAGGGAGATTGGGGGTTGGAATGTACAGAGGGTACTAGGTATCAATGCGTACAGAGTAGAGCATCTCGAGGACCAGCGGCGGGAACGGGCGAGTCCAGAGTCCACGCGTTGTTGAGTGCAGTCCAAGGCAAGTTCAGGTTGCAACGGCGGATCCGATGCCAAGGCTGTTCCGCCCGCGGTCTCGGTCTCGGATTATCTGTTGTTCCACTAGTCATATATCACGTGATATCACGTGGTCTCTTTCTCGGGCGCTTCTTCTTCTCGTCTAAGTTCGACCTTTGCCCGGGCAAGTGACACAAACAACCCACCACATACACCTTAAAAGGTCCTCAAAGGCCGCCCTCCTCCCTCCTCCCTCGTCTCTCGGGCTCCTAAAAGTGACTTTTTCGTTGACTACCGTTCACCACCCTTCATTTGGTCTGCTCAGTGACTGCCCGCCCTGCTATAAAACACCGTTTGTCACCCAACCCAGCGTTCTCTTCTTTCCTCATGTCACGGCAGGTCCGGCACAGCAGCAACACCAACACCCTGTCACACCTTCCCGGGTTCACATAATAGAATCCTACTAGTATTACTAGAGTTATTTAGAGATAGCAATGGCTGCACCACAGAATCCCCCCGGCTTTACGCCTCATGTCTGGGATCAACTGCAGCAAAGCTCACATCACTTGGCGCAACAAACCCGAGGCAATCGTCGCGGCCGTGGCCACAGCAGAGGTCCAGCACCTCATCATCACCGTCAGCAGCAGCATTATCAGTACGCCGCTCAAAACCAGGCTGCCTCTTTCCAAAATCAGCAGGTGGCGCCGCTGTCAAGCAACAATGAGGCTTTCCCGCCTCTAGGCACAGTCCCACCACCAGCTTCAAGCAACGTTTCACTTCAGCCTCATTACCCCTCACCACCACCCTACCCTCAATCCTTCCAAAACTTCCGTCAGGGTACCGCCCGAGAGTATCAGGACCTTGCCAGAGGTGGTCATCGCGGACGGTCGGGACGTTTTGGCCCGGCCCAGCATTTCTATCCAGCGGCACAAGCTGTTGATCAGAATCAATATTACGCCTATGGACGACCTCCCGCACGTCACGCCAACCTGTTCAACCCAAACGGCAGCATGGGTTTCGGCACTGTTGAACAGCAGCGTAGTATGAGACATGTCATCATGAAGCAGTCTGACTATCTCAACAACGTCGGGAAAAAGGCCCATGGTGTGCATAGGCTGAGCAGAGACGAGGCATTGGCCAAGGAAGACTTCCGAAAGGAGCTTGAAGCGGTTGCAAAGGAAGCTCTCAAGGCGAAATACCCCGACTTGAACATTGACGAAGTGAAACTGAAGTGCTACGGCAGCCTTGCAAATGGGTTCGCACTGACCGGATGCGACATGGATCTGCTTCTGTCATTGCCGAGTTGGTCGAAAGAGAGAAACAGTGTGACGATGGACGACGAACCGGGTGTGCAGCAGGAGTCAGAATTTGACGACGATGACGAGGAGCTCTCGTTCAACATGGAGGTCCGGCGTGTCCTGGAAAAGACATATCTTGACCAGGGATACGGCGCACGACTTCTCACCAACACCAGGGTTCCCATCTTGCGCATCTGTCAAAGCCCGAAGCCCGACTTGCTCAACAACCTGCGTGAGAATCGCGCCGCCTGGGAGAAATCTTCGTTTGAAACCCCCGCCGCCGAGGTCAATCCCTTGCCTGCAGATGAAGCAGAAACCAATGCAGACATTGATGCTGTTGAGCAAGCTCTGACTGACCTCAAGATCGCCAATGCTGTTCCCAGAGCATCCATCTCCCGCGGTAATACCGGCTTGGAATTTACCGGGGATTGTGGGATCCAATGCGATGTCAATTTCACCAACTTTGTCGCTCTTCACAACTCTGCACTGCTCAAGCTCTACAACACCTTTGATCAGCGTGTGGCGGACATTGGCGTCTTTGTCAAAATCTGGGCCAAGTTAAGAGACATCAATACCCCTTACCGCGGCACCTTGTCCAGCTACGGCTACATCTTGATGGTCCTTCACTATCTGATGAACATTGCGTCCCCTCCTCTCATCCCTAACCTGCAGTACCTGGCCAAGATCGAGGATGACTGGAACCCGGGTAAAAAGGTCGAATTGTTCGAAGGATTCGACGTTCGTTTCCTCCAAGACCCCAAGGAGATTGACGAGTTGCGTCGAGACACGTCAGCCCCCAAGAATCATGAGTCTGCCGGACAATTGCTGCGAGGCTTTTTTCAATACTACGCCACCCGTGAAGGCTTCCATTGGACCCGGGATGTCATTTCCATCAGACACAAGGGCGGCATTCTGTCCAAACAGGAAAAGGGATGGACTGAGGCCAAATGGACCCAGAAAGGGGACAATAATGTGCGCCTGCGCTATTTGCTTGCCATCGAGGATCCTTTCGAAGTTGAGCACAACATTGCGCGAACAGTTGGCCACAACGGTCTCGTTGCAATCCGCAATGAATTTCGCCGGGCATGGTCGATCATCGAAAGGATCGGTGTCGGTGAAGAGGTCTCGATTGACGAGTTTCTTGAACCCGTCACAGATCGCGTCGATACACTGAGGAAGGACCTGGAGTTTCACAGGCAAAGGCAAAAGCAGATGAAAGAAGAACTTGAGGCCCGAGAGAAGAGCGTGCTCGAGCAAGCCAAGGCACTGGGTGTTGAAGATGCTGATGGTCACACAGATGGTACGTCGGGAATTTCTGACCATGCAAGCATGGAATATGCCTCCTCTATGCGGAGCCGGCGCCAATCCCCAAGTTCGAAGCTGACGTCGACAACCCCGTACCAGGAAACAACCCCATACCAGGAAAAGAACAAGCGGCGCCTATCGAGGCCCTGGCTGCGTCATAGAAAGGTCGAGGCTGAAAGCGACGACGACGAACCCCCTCTCGGCGGTAGCTCAACCGGTCGAGAGGGGCAAGAGGGTATGCCAAAAGATGACGCCCGCATCAACGACACGTCAATCACGCTCGGATCGCAGCCTACGACAACTAAGCCGAGTCGAGGCCTTTGTTCACCTGGCGATGTGCTCCTCGCCAATGGCCTTGATCACTGGGGCAAACCTGTGGCGTGGGATATCGAGACCCAAGATGGACGCTGGCTGCATTGGAGGGACAACAAGATCAAAAATGGGACATATCGCCAGTTTTCCAATCCCACATTGCGCGAACTCGACGCTCAATGTCCTTTCGACCCCAGACGACCCGACCCTTACATTGGTCAACCTTACAATAGCCGTTTGGAGTCGCTGCAACGTCCCCCCTGGCCTGCCAACAGCTCTATTGTCTCCGCATCGAGCAATCTTCCCACCAAACACGATACGGCTGACGGCAATGAGGTCGCGTATCCCTCAGGATTGACCGGATCTGACGGGAGCAGAGCTCTGTCCTGCAGACAGCTCTCTCAGCCCCAATCACAACTCTCTCAGCCCCAACCACAGCTCTCTTCAGCATATCCCGTGGGAAATCTGATCGAATGGGACCCGACAACAGTTGGAGGGCACTTTCTCCTTTATCGCGACAGACGTATCCGTCAAGGGAAATGGCAGCATCATCAACGGTCTCGATTTACGGAATTGGACAGCGCTTTCCCCTACAATCCCATGATGACACGTGGAGAGCTTGAAGAGAAGAACAGGGTGTTGCGCACATATTACGTCCACACTACCTTTCGCACAAGAACCCCTCAGGAAATCACATGGGATGATGCTCGCAAAGAGGCTCCAATGCCCAACCTCGGCGTGGCGGAGCCGGATACAGCGAACAGTATTGTTCCTCCGTCCCATGGCGAAGTCTTCCCAAGACAATTTCAGCGTGATTATACCTATGGCCAGCCAGCTGTGGCAGACACATTTGATATGCAGGATGAAAAGTCGGTTACAACTTCTGCCCCACAAGCTCATGAGAGCACTGCAGAAATCCCTGCCGCGTCGGTGCTGGTAGAGCCTGACAAACCAGATGCAGACTTCGTTCGAAGTCAACGGTTGGCGTTCTTTACCAAACAAGCCAGTGCAACTGAGAGTGAGGCTGGGACCAATTCTCGATTCTATCAGCAGAGCATCAGTGAGGAGTTGGAAAACATGGACGATGACCCTGGTCAAATTCCTGTATATTCTCATGAGCGGAGCGTCCAGCCCCTTGCTCAAGGGCAGTCTGAACCAGAAGATCCATCGCTCAACGAGCCGAGCCTGGTACACGACGAAGGCGAGGAAGGAGAGTCGCAGCCCTTGGAGAGTGGCTCTTTGGAGGACAGGCGTGACTTTGACCAACACGCCGCGATGGGACTCGCGCCGTTCAAGGTACCTGCCACCCTCTACCCGGGTGTGGCTTCCAGCGAGCGACCAAGAGATGAAGATCCCCAGATCATGCCGATTCCTCGAGAGTTGGGATTTCAGTTCGACCCCCGACAGCTCCGCGATCTGACCATCATAGCGAAAGGAGGAAATGGCTGTGCCAGGGAAGGGGCGGAGTTCAGCATCGAGGAGGATTATGAATGGGGCGGGGGAGGCATGATGGGCTGGAAGACCAGCAGCCCACATGCTGTCTTGAGTGTGGGAAATACGTCTTACGAGGCTGGCCAAGGGGACCGAGAAGGGTTGCTTGCCGAGCTTCCCATGGACCTTGACTGAGTGGGAGTCTTTGCGCGGCGGGTATGCGTTGGCGTTGACGTTGACGTTGACGTTGACGAACTTGGCCTCTAAGGTTTTGGTCCACTACCGAGGGCTCCTGAGGCATTGCTACTGCATCATTATCATGGAATGGAGTCCATCCGGGCGCGAGCTGGTGGTAGTAATAGTAGAACTCTGGGTGCATGAATTAAGATGTCATGCTCATGATTATTACAGCCATGAATCCAAGATCCCATTCGGTTATGGGCGAAAATGGTCGCTTCGGTAAAGGTGGGAGATCTCAGATGCCTATCCGTGTTGGTTGAATATGGAGTAATAGAGAGTTCTGTACGAATGTATAAGGACCTTGTTAATAAAGAATACGGGAATGCTTCTGTCTCTAATACTTGTGACCCTCTTCCGTCCTCTGTCTTAGAGCACTTGTCACAGTAAATCAGAGTACTTGTCACAATACACACCGGAATCACTAATACTTTCCAAGACGGTTCTAGTTCAAAGAATATATGATAAAGTCGAGGCTCTGATCTCCTTCTTTGCCGTTGACCGTTGGTGGCGACTCCTTCGAAGAACAATCAGGCTTTCCCTTCTGAGTATTTTCGTCGCCGAACCGAACCGAACCGAAGCAAAACCCAGCTTGAAGCGTCAAGAAATCCCGCGCCGCGATGATGGTGAGACCGGCCGAGTTGCATTTGCATTTGCATTTACATTGCCTGGGACGTCCTAGTATCGTGGCGCTTGTTGAGAAGGGAGAAGGGTACATGTAGCTGTCCCGAGACAAGAGACACGGTTGGACATATTGGCCAGACTGTAGACCTACATGTAGGCAAAGGGCCGAGGCTGGCTGGCCTATTGCTCATGCTCGCTTGGTGTCAGGCACTGGCATGTTCGTCGTGATCCAGGTTACATACATGTAAAGCCAGAGTGGAAATCAGATACAGGCCTTGCAATGATCGTGAGTGGAAATCGGATAGAGCCCTTGGAATGATTGTGAGTGGAAATCGACAGCCCTTGCAATGACTGTGAGTGGAAATCGGATAACAGCCTTGGAATGATTGTGATTGTGATGGTCAGGAACAGTCGAACAAGGAAACAGGGCCGGCAAGAAGCAAAACTAAAACCAAAACTGACCGATTACTGTACCAGCACAAACCAAACTTGCCGGCATACTGTAACCCACGTCTGGCGGGATTCTTGCGACCTCACGTGGACACATCATCAGATAGCCAACAATAGATAGCCAACAGCAACGGGGATGCAGTATCATCAGATACCATGGCCAACACCAACGAGGATACAGTCTCATCAGATACCATGGCCAACACCAACGAGGATACAGTCCCATCAGATACCCAACACCAACACCAACGGGGATACAGTATCCAACTCCGACGATGAAGACGGCACGCCACGCTTCCTGATAGTATTGGAGTACCAAACCAGACCTGGAGGGTGAGGGCGAGGGAGAGGGTGAGGGCGAGGGAGAGGGTGAGGGCGAGGGAGAGGGTGAGGGCGAGGGAGAGGGTGAGGGCGAGGGAGATGGTGCCCGGACATCTACTGGGATAGGATGGTCATAGTTGACCTTCAGGGAGTAGGGTTTAGATGTTACCGAACTCGCCTTCGCCTTCGCCTTCGCCTTCACCTTCGCCTTCTTTGAGTTCAACGTCCTCGTCAAAGCCAAACACAAAGACACGAGCAGTCAAACTGCCCCCTCTACATGGCAAGGAGCACCCTGGGTACTCACATCACTGCGGTCGAGAGTCGAGAGTCGAGAGTCGACATGACATGACATGACGAGAGAGATAGATGACCGAGATGGGGAGCACATACTCCGTACAGTATATGTCACGAGATAATACAGTACTCCGTAGTAGTACATAGGTCTGCCTTTGCCTTTGCCTTTGCGGGCCCCCTAGCCCCCTTATTTTTTCAGCCTTGCTGACTACGAACGATGCGTAACTATAACTACCTAGACCAACGCTAATGAAAGGAATAAGGGTATAGGTACCTAGGCATAGTAGGACGTACCTTGGGCAACCTAGATACTAGGTAGATACTAGACAGCAAGATAGGTAGAGGTAGCCAAGCAGAAGCTAAGACAGCAAGACAGGTAGGCATGCTAGATACTAGATACTAGACAGGTAGAGGTAGGCAGGCAAGCAGAAACTAAGACAGCAAGACAGGTAGAGGTAGGCAAGCAGGCAGAAACTAGATACTAGACAGCAAGACAGGTAGAAGTAGACAAGCAGGCAGAAACCAAGACAACTGAGTTGCTTTCATATGATGGCTCTTGTCTCCTTCTCCGACCTGGTTCTAGTCACTTTATCGTGGGATCAGCTCTCCTCGCTCGACGGATAATGGCATCTGGATTCCGGGGGAGCTCTTAAAAGAAACAGAAAGGAAGAGAAGATGAGTTGATTTCTTTTTGTTGATGGCAGCATGCTGTAGAACCGAGAGCTTAAATTAAAGATTGAATGCGCAGGAAGTAGTCCGTAGTGAATAAAGTACGGACTACTTCGCTAGAGCAGGAACCTAGCGGGAAGTATCTTAATATCCTTCAAGTTTCACGCAAGCTATGATAAAGCAGCACAGCCCACCCGGTGCGTTCATCTAGCTCAGCCCTCTTGGATCTGTCTAATGAAGGTTGAAATGTTCCCTATTCTCCATCAACGGGTCGCAGGGGGAGCGCATGCTATATAGTATAGTATAGCCTAAACCAGCCTCTCTGCTTAAAGCACAAGGCTGGGAATGCCTGAGCTTGACGGGATCCTGCTTCCCGACCACTGCCAGGTCACTTCATGAAGCAGTTCACCCACAGGCTTAGGCCCGCATGGCGAATCGCAGATAGTCGAGACTGAGTGACAGCATATGTATGACAGTTCCGCACTCCTACTCGAGTGACTGTGACTGCGGTGGCATTACCTGCAGCACACAAAGCAACCGCTGAGTCTATTGAGCAATCCATCTCTTCTTCCTGGTATACGCTACCGCATCCCGAGTCAGCTCTCCAAGGAGTTCCTGCTTATATTTACCAACCGGCCATCTATTACTCGTATCTGGTTCGACACCCACGTTACAAGTTACTCTGTACGCCTTCGCTGCTCTATCGCTCTAAAGAACGCTGGCCCTTCCCTTCCCTTCCCCTCCTGTCGGGAGAGAATTGCATAACCTGCCTAACCTGCCACTTTCAAGGGTTGCTGTAGAGAATACAATGAATGAATTCAATTACTCGCCAGCCACTCGCACATGGTCCAGGTCCAGGTCCAGGCTAGGCGACAATGTCAATGTCAGTGTCAGTGTCAGCGTCAGCGTCAATTGACGAATCGACCATATTCATCAAGATACCTGTGGGTATGGAGAGTCAAAATCAAAATCAAAATCAACCTGGACATAGATAAACAAAGACAGTCTAGACGTCTGTGTCTAAGACACCTGAATCCCACCCGGAACCCGAAGCGAAGAAAAGAGACTGGATGACTGGGATGTAGGTACATACTGCTGTAAGTAGGGAGATAGCTGATAGTCTGGGATTTGTGATGCTGTTCGTATATGGCGGATTGCCAGATGGAAATAGTGCTCGTTCTGGCGAGAATATGAAACGTTGCCGAGGCTCATGCTGGCTTCTGCCATCTGTATTGGAAAGGTTAAAGGTTTGTATTGTGGAAAGGTTATAGGTTATAGGTACAAGGTTGTCGATGGTTAGGTTATAGGTTCAACGTTGTCGATGGTTGAGTTGGGTGAAGCACAGCACGTCAAGATTGGAATGTTGCTCACCTCGGAGAGAAGCGTGCCAGAAAGTCTCCCCCTTCTTTCCGCCACGTCAACAGCCCGGGTGAAATAGTCGACTGCGGGGATGAGCATTCCTCGGGCTTCCACGTAATCTGCAGTGTGTGCTCGGGCATCGGCGGCTGCTCTTTCGATTTCGTCTCGAGCTGCTTCCGCCGAGTAGGAGTAGGAGAAGTTGTCAGTCTCACTTGTCGGTCTCCTTCCACTACTCGCGCTGGAAGAGCTCCCTTCAGTGCGGTGAATGCGAGCGAGGATGGCTTGTGAGCGAGCTAGCCATGCTTGGCCCAAACCTATGCAGTATGTATCCCTTGAGAAAGGTCGAAGGAGATTGATGGCGTCAGCCTCAGCTTGGAACTCACCTTGGAGCGCAGCGATATCTTCAGCATTCGTCTGTAGCATGGCAAGCCATTGCCTCGTGCACCACTCCGCAATGTCCGGGATCCCATCTCCGTCAGCGTCATGATAAGCCAGTCTCTGCAACGAACTGACAACCAGTGTGCGGTCTTCGCTGCGGTCGGGGTATTGCATGAAACCCGTGTCCTCCAGCATTGCAATGGCTGTCCTTGCGCGACGGACCCGCTCATCCCAAGACACCTGTGAATGTGAATGTGGAGGTGAAGGTGAAGGTAATTCAGAGATGCGGCGGATCTCAAGGATGGCTGCCTCGATTTGAGTCTCCTCCATGTGAGTCAGTCCATTCTGAAGGTGAGTTTCTCGTTCGCGTTCTTGTTCTCGGCTTTCACTGGACATGTTGATCTTGATCTTGTGCTGGATACTCTCCGTGGTCAGTACTGGTCTCCCGTGTTTCTGTTCGGAAAGTAGGTTCGGACTGACCGTGTTCAAACACGCGTGGACAGAAGGCCGTGGTACCGGGTATATATAGGGATCGGACTGGTGGTCAGCAGAAAACGAAGCCATTGAGCAGGAACATCAGCCGGCTGCTCCCAGAGGCAAGGCAGCTCAGCGTTAGCAGATTCGCACCCCTGGATCTGATGCTTTTGCTATGCTGGAAATGGCTATGGCTGTGGCTATGGCTACGCTCGAGATGGGCAAGAGTTCCAGTTGAATAGGCGCACAGGGATTAGTGATGAGAGGCGATCGAATGGTGGGAGTCATTCCAAGGATCAGAGGGTTTCGTATTCTGCCGCCTGATGCCTGGGCGAGATTCAAGGATGACTGAGCTGCTGAAGTAGTAGCACGTAGGATAGTGGCCCGTCATGAGCCTACAGGTGCAGGTGCAGGTGCAGGAAGCCTGAATCTTGCAGCTGGTGTGTGGCAAATTCGATATCTAAAGTTGGTGTCGAGGGCGATGTACGACAGAAAGCATTGTCCCTAGGCCCACGATGATTGACAGCGGCTGCTTGGGCCGAAGCCGTCATGGAGAGTTGAACTAGACGCAGGAAGAACGCCCTGCCGAAAATGTTGCAGCCTTGACATTGGACTCACCTGCAGCTACGGATACGACGGCTATAGCAAGGTCTTCCAGACGTGTGGCGAAACTGCTGAACAATACAGTTGTCCAGGTTGGCCGGCGCCGGGGGATAGGGTATGGTATAGGGTCTAGTGAATGGACACTAGTCCCGCCGATCTCAAGATCGGGTTGTGAGGGTGAGGGTGAGGTTGTGAGGCTGTGAGGCTGTGAGGAAGGATATCGGACACGGACATGGCGGAAGGTCGGTTGATCGGGCGGTACGAACGCGAACGGGGCCGGGAATACTGTGTACGGAGTACAGAGAGAGGAATAGTTCGAGGAATGAAGACGCCGGTCGTCGGTCGTCGGTCGTCGATCGTCGTTCAGTTCAGGGTGCGCCATTTTCCATGTCTGATGAAGCAGTAGCAGTCTTCTAGCAGACTTCTAGTATCCCACGGAACAGGGAACAGCGAGACCGGACCGATGCTCCGATGTCAGGATCACCGAATTAGGTAGTACTGGTAGTACTGGTGGTACTCTGTAGGTGCTGACACAGTTCACACATATACAGGCAGCCATGACGTACTTCCACTCCGACTACGCGTGTACGATTCTGGCTCGGGGCCGGACCAACCTGATGCGAAGCGAGGCCGGCAGCGTCGGATACCGAACCCGTGACCATTGACAAGAACTTGAACACCATCGAACATTCTGGCGTAGGCGCCTAGGCGCGCAGGTGGGAGGATGGGTGGATAGAACACAAAACATGCCAACTCCCTAATTGTAGCGATTACGTGAGGCACGCGCTATTGATTCGTTTTGTCTTCTCGCTGATACCAAGCTACCTGAAGTGTCTTACGGATGACTTTGATAAGGGGGATTAAGGATAACCGGTCCAGCACTCCTTCCGTAGCAAAATGTCCACAGACCCCGTTCGGTTGAGTGCCCTTATTCGGACAATATCATGGTCACATATCGCTGGATGTTAGTCTCAGTGGAAGAGCCACGTCCAAACTTCACGAGCTGAGCGCCTTTCTGGTTCCGCAATGTCGCTAAGTTCCGGTTTGCTTGCATCACTTTCGAGCCTCGAGCGGTAGCTTCTGACATCGGATTGTGGTCCCTATGATCGCCATCTCTTGACATTGCTCCTGAGGCAGCATGCACTGACGCGGCGGAGCCAGGTGTATTGACCGGAGTTTGGCTGTCATGCCGCATTCCGTCAGCATCTCGTACGCCTTGAGCAGATTCATGCCCATCTGTTGATGTGATTTCTCGAGCGTATAACTTGCGCAACTGCCATAACTGCTCTAGTTGAGGTTCTGGGATTCCCACCACTGTAGGCTACCGATGATCTGGAAGGCGCGTCTAAGTGCGGCCATCGGGGCGCCACACCACAATCCTGGCTCTTGGAACGGACCCAATCCCGGTATGGCGCTCTTGACCACATGTATGGGGAAGAAGTCCCGCAGGGTATAGCGACAGTAGAGGCCGCCGACTGCCTCGGAAGACACGAGCCCTTCTCTTTTGAGATAATCGGAGTACATTTGTGGAGTAGGGACCAATCGGCGAGGGACGTCACCATGCCGTTGTGCGATTTCGATTCGACTTTGGTAATCCTTGACCTCAAAATCGATGAAATAGTCCAGCGCGGTCGGGATGAAGATCAGCCCTGGATTGTTGAGATCGTCGAACGCCTGGTGGCAAGAGGGACATAGGGGAAGACCGTTTTGCTCATCTCCAAGATGATCAAATGTCAAGAGGCCGGAAGCAACATAGTCGCGGAACTGACAACAGTCAGTCACGAATCAATCACTGATGATTCAGGCCATCTTGTTGCCCCGCTTACCGATCCGTCTTCTCTGCCTATTACATGGGCAATATGTGGCGCTCCTGCACCGCAATGCCAACAATGCTCGCCACCATTTCGCTCCACAATATTTTGCTTCGCCTTCCTCGAGAATAGCGACGACGACCATGTACTAGAAGCAACTGTACTTTCTACATCGCTTCGCTTCCTTTTGCGACATGGGCTCGATAAGCTTGATTCGGTCGACAATGGAACAGGTGGTGACAGCATTGCAGCCGCCGGGGAAGGGGGAGGACATACGGAGACGGGATCTTCCAAGGCTTGAGGTGACATAGTGGTTGTTCGCCAGAGAGACACTGATTGATGTTGAGTTGAGAATGTTGACCTTATGAGTGTTGCTTAGCTTGTCAAGTTCACTGGCAGGGGCGTTGTCTGAAATACCACCGCCCCATGCCAAGCCTCGTTAAGCCGAGTTATCGGAGTAAGTCTTGAGCATCCCTCGTTGTCGTGTAAACATAGGCTGGTAAAAGGCAAAACGTGGTCTTACACCCCGTGCCTGACCAATTCCTGCATCAAGTGGGGTAGAGCGGATCTGAAACTCGCACAATACCGTCGAGGATGGACGAAAGCTGTCAGGTCGGCGTGAGAGTAAGGTAAGAGAGAGGAGCAGCAACAGAAAGTTGCCGAGGAGTGCTCGCTTGTTTCTTCAGAAAGGCGCGTTGCGTGACAAACTGCGTAGCGTAGTAATAATGCGATATTGAGGGCTCGTACAGGAGGTTTTGGTGGTACAAAGTTTTTCAAGTGCCGGTTATCATCCGACGATCGCTCTCAAGCGCCGGTCTTGAGTGATCATAAGGTTGGGGAGGGCGGGAAGGGGGGCAAGCAGTGACAACTGCGATGTTGAGGGCTTCATGCTGAGGTTTTGGTGGTGGCAGCGCGGGTGCCGCCAAAAGACGCAATTCTGGAACTGGGTTGAAGAGAGAGATGTTTGAGCTCGACCATCGGAATACCAGTCTTGAGCATGCATCGTTGTCGTGTCCCGCAGGACAATGTCTTTGCGAAAACAAGTTGATAAAAGGCAAAACGTGGTCTTACAGTACTCCGGACACCCCGCAATTCAGAATTAGGTAGAAGGGATATTTGAGCCAGGCTACATGTACCTATAGGAAGGCTGTCCGCTTGACGCGTTCGGGTTGCCAAGCAGGCAACAAACACGCCAAGAATACCAGAACGCGTCATAATTTCGCACGTGACTGAGAGGAGCCGCGACACCAACCCCTTACTTGACACGACAGTTTCACCATCTTCCGCTGCAACTTATCTTTCCCTTCAACTCGTTCCTCCATTCGATCAGTTCGCCTTTCAGAGCAACAACGTCCTGGGGAGGTCGAATAAGGGCAGATGGGCACCTAGTGCCTGTCAGGATTCTTCGCGCATCTCACCCGGATTTATAAAGAAATACACGGTATTTAGCCACCACTTGGAATATATAGCGAAATCTGTATATAATACCTAATAGTCGCTATGGCTCCATGTTCCCCGAATCACCTCGAAATTACTCTGTACCGGTGGAAGCACCACCCTCTCCCCTACCGTCCAAATGAAAATGCTTCCAATGTCAGTTCAGTCGGCTGAAAATCGCTCATTCGCTTGCGCTTGTCTATTCTGTATTGTATTGCTCAAGCTGCTCCCGAAACTCCTTCCATGTGTTTCATGAATCATGTTTGACCGGACCACGGCCATCTGGGATATGTTTATTTCCAAGGCCTGGGTCATGGTTGAACCCGCGCGTAGGACCAAGACTCCCTGACGCTGTCAATCATATCGAGGTGACCCGTTTGTCGGATCGGGTTGTGTTGGGGCGGTGCTTGATAACCATCTGCAGTTCCCGCAACATGCTTGTCGTGTTCTCGGCATGCTCCAGCAAGGTTGCCCGCTTTTTCCGGTCTTCGTGCAGTTTGCCCAGCTTTTCCTCTCGACTCATGTATGCCCAGGACATTCTTTTGCGTGGCAGAGCCACCGCTTCAAACACTTCTTCATCCAATCCTGCGGCATCCGAGGCCCCGCGCTCTTCGCCACTCAATAATTTAAATGCTTCTGCAGGACCTCCATCCACGATCGTCAGGCCTCCCAGGCTGCTCGGGGAAGGCGAAGCAGGGGATCGAATATCGCTGGACATGCCAGATAAACGACGATTGTCGAAATCGCCGCCTACCCCCAGAAACATGGTATTCCGCCCCTTTTCCCACTCCACCAGGAGATTTCGTATCTCAGGGCCTAGAGTCTCGTAGTGACGAGAGATTTCCGTCCTGAATTCGGCCACATCGTGATTGCATGATGACCGGTCAATGTCTTCTCGGATAAGATGGACTTTCGCATTCAAGACGCGAATGCAGTTTGCCACAGCTTCAAAGCGGCGCATTTGTGCTTTGGCATGTTGCTTCTGGGGTGTGGCCAATTCGGTGTCATGTTCGATAGCTTGGTCGGCGTCCGTTGACTCTTGGAGGCGTTCGCCGACATCCTCCCTGATGACCGCGGTATGCAGATCCTGCGCTCCGTGAAAAATGGTTGCGTCGAGGTCTTGCAAGAGCTGTAGCGTCTTTCGTGACTGGGAAATATTGTACCATGTAGACCCAGAATGGAGTGCAAGCAGGTCGCATAGAAAGACCTTCCGAGCAATCCAGTGAAGCCGAAATAAAACACGAAGCTCTCTCAGGGAATGGTGAGCGTTGGCTTGTGTCGTGTGTGCAATAGTCACGGTGTCCAAATAATCCTGCATGGTAATGTTGTATATGTCGTGATATCCTTGCAAATCAGAATCCCTGACAAAAGGTTGAATCGCATTGTGGGCGTCTACGCTGCAACGGATGCTGGCCGTCAGGGCGCTGCCAAGTGTCGCCCGCAATTCACGGCAGCGACTTGACGGGAGTCTGTCTTCGAGCCGGCTGATCGGAGGCAAGGGTTGACTGCTGTGAAAGGTAAGCCAAACCTGTCACTTGCCAGGGGACCAAGCCTTACATTTCATAGCCCCGAGAGACAATCTCCACCTCCTGCACGAATCGGAGCGCTTCTCCAGCAGTAGCGTCGAACCGAGCCCAGTTCGACACCGCCTTCCTCAGAGCCGAGCCAGCAGACCGCCGGATAAAGTCGAGGTACTGACGGCGAACGAGATAAATCAAAAGGACACTGCCTCCTAGCAACAGGAGTGTGTAGGTCGAGATGTCCGTCCACCGCAGGGACTGTGGTGTCGTGTATCCCCGCCGTAGCAGATGTACAACAAAAGCTATTGAGAAGGAGATCCCAGCAGTTATCACAGCGCCCTGGATCGAGAGCGGATGCGTGTCGACCCCCTGTTCATCTTGCGTGTATCTTCTCGGCTTAGGATCGTCGTACAATAGCTGTGACGCGACAATAGTATAGCGGAAACGCTCGAGAAACTGCTCGTTTGCAACATCGGTGACCGAGGCAGCAGTCTCACGAATGGTCCGTAGTCGTTCGCGTAGCTTCGGCAGTCCCCGAGGCGCAAAGGTCTGGGCGGAGGGCGTCGGTGAGGGAGGATCTGCGGACTCGAAGGGAATGGCGTCTGCCTCTAAATATTCGGCGATCGGTGATTCATTGTAGATCAGAGCTTCCATGACATGATCGGTAAGATGTGATTGAAAGTAACAAAGAAGAAGTGAACGAGAGAAGTGACGCAGGTCGCAGGTGTGCGAGGCCTGGGACAGTTGGGTTCAGATGAATCGAGGAGGCAGGAGAGGCGCGTGCGTCGGGCACGGGGGCACGGGGGCACGGGCAGGATCTTGGAATCCGGGTACAAGCGAGCGAACGTCGAAAAGGTTGACTTGTCAGAAGCACGAGCCACAGGACGAACAGTCGCGAAGGACGGACAGTGTTGATGGAGTATGGAGCACGGAGGACCTTTGCGTGTTTGTGATCTTCGAGTTGGGATCTGGGAACAGTATCTTGATTACTATTCTAGATTGGTCCTAGCTCCGGAGTTTTCGATCTTGCCAGGACAGGCCTAGCGCATGGAGAGATGATACACGATATACGATATACGGATATAGGGGACGATGGAGTATCCGTACCTGGGACGGAAACAGACTCAGGAATCTATTCCAACGGGCCTTGAGCGAGTAATTGACATACTGTACGGATATATAAATTGTAGGTTATGATGCATGATGTAGCTAGCACCGGTCGCCTTGCCACGGGTACATCTATAACGTCGGCACATTACCAATCACCGTCCAAGTCGTGCCATCGTCCGCCACCGCGAACTGCTTTAGAATCCCATCAGACACGGCATAGACTCGCTGATAGAAATGTGCCGCCACGGCCGAGGCGCCCGACCCTGTCTGCAGCGAGGTCGGGGAGACGGCGTTGGCCCAGGCGTTGTCGGACCAGTCGAAGACCGTAAGACCAGAGTATGAGCCGGACGAGCTATCCCAGCCGGAGGTGACGGCCTGGACGTGGGCGGGGCTGCCGTTACCATCGTCGCCAAAGTACAGCGTGGCGATGGACGAGTTGGCGGCGATCTTGCCCACGTTCCCGTTGTTCCCGTTGTTCTGCCACCCGACCGTGGACGTGAGGTTGAGGTTGTGGTCGCGCTGGTATTCCCACGAGAACCACGACGTCAGTTGCAGGTTGCCGTCGCCCGTCTGGTAGTAGAGATTCAACTGGTCCGCGTAACCCCGAATGCTGTACGGCTGGAAGCTGACTGACGAGCCGTTCGCTACCGAGGCCGAGGCGGAGAGTGATTCCGATCCCTCGAGGTAGATCCCGCCGTTCTCCCACGCTTCCGGGGCCGTGTGGTTGTAGAGCACGACGCTGCCGTTGGACGCATACGCCACCAGCGACGTGTTAGGGCACAGTGCGCACTCCAGCAAGTACGCCGCCAGTCTTGCATTCTTGTCCTTCTTGTCGAACGTTTGCGCACTCGAGCTAGGAGTCGAGCTCCACACTCCACTGGATGAAGAGATGACCCGGAGGTCAAGGCTGCCGTCCAGGTAGTACAGGTCAATAGACTACACGTTGTCAGCATTCCATAATGCCCCACCAGTATTGGATCGTAGTAAGTACCACTGAGTCTGAGCCCGAGTTCGACTCCTTCGGCGACGCGGCTGCGATCGACGTGCCAGGCGACACTTCAGAGCCATCTAAAACGGTACCCACCTGCCATGATCCGGTCAAGCTGTCGTAGGCCGATTCCTTGATCGCATTGTCCTCGTCCTGGTAGTAGACGCGGTATTGATAGCGAGTGTCGCTCACTGTCCATGCCAGCGCTGCAAGCTCCGAGCCCTGCTTGATTCCCCTCTTCGCGGCTGTAGACGTCGCTGCCGAGCCCGAAGACGTGGTTGCAGTTCCAGATCCTGCCGAGCCAGAGCCAGAGGGATTGGATGTGCTTTCGGTTGAGCTTGAGCTATGATGGCGAGTTCCACCGATTGCTCCCCCGATTACGGCTCCGATGACCAGCAGGACGACACCGACCACGACCACGACCCAGAAATCCCGCCGTCGAAGACCCAAGATGGTCCCCTTTCGTCCAGGCTCCTCGTCTGGGCTCTCAATATTCTTTTCCGCTGCGATAAGTCCTTCAGCATCTTTACCTACGCCTGGATGGGTTGGCATAAGGCCCTGGGATTCCCCCAGCCCGATCACGCCTGGCTGGTATGCTTGAAGGTTTCCGGACTGAATGCCTTCCAGGTGACCATGGCTCGGAGCAACCTCTAGGTCCGAATAACCATGGCCGTGGTTGACGACCTCGAGGCCACTGAAATGCTTGCTTGGAGCCACTTCGGGGTCTGAAAGGTGCTTTGTCTGGTTAGACTCCAGCTTTGAGTAGCTGCCATCCTGCCCCGTTGATCTCACAGCCGTTTCTTCCGTTTCATTTTCGTCTGAAGATGGAACTTGTGTGGATGAGGTCTTCGCCATCAGCAACGAAAAGTTGCCACCTGGTCAGACTTGTAGGCTTTGGGAGACCGCTGAGCCAAATGTAGCTGGAGTGAGGAATAGGCGAGAAGATTTATCGACACAGATAGAGAATAACAGTAGATATACTTAGACGTTTCAAGTCATCTTCTGTACAGGTTGAGGGAAAGACTATCCACTGTACTGTCGTAGTAGTAGGTAGTATGTACGGAGTACACGTGGCGGATGAGATCGAGGGACGGACACTACATGTACTTAGTAAATGTTCGCGTTAGGCATCAGTAAAGTGTTCCAAGGGGCCAGATCAATGTCGAGGTCTCTGCAGCGGCCAAATCTTAGGTGCAGTAGCACTTGTTAGTACCTACCTAGGCAGTTAGTTAGTAGCCTCCTAAGCCAACCCGTTAGGCTTGGATCAACAGACTAGGTATTAGTCCCGCCGATCATATGTGGTCAGTTGGTCAGTGGTCACTGTGCTGTCCTCCAGAGGACGGACGGACTCGACTGTTGACTGTTCAAAACTTCAAACAGGCGCCGGGACTTACAGAGTACGGATAAGTATCTCGTCCCATCGAGATACGGTATACCGATCACTCTGTTCAGTCTTCATTTCGCTGCCACTGCCATTGCCGGATCACAGTGACATGGGCTTATAGGGCGTGTTTCAGCCAACTTGTTGGTCAAAAGACAGCTGGCTCAGTTTAAGGTACAGGCTTATTAAGCGAAAGTAACGTTGGAGTAACATAGCAACCAAGCCGCAAGCAGGGGTGTCCGGGGTTGGCCTCAGGCCTTAGGCCCCTCGACCGCGTTGGCGCTTAGATCGCCCTACAAGGCTCAGGAGCTAGATATAGACACTGGACAGGACCAAAAGCGGCGAGGGGATTGGGCGTGGCTTGGCGGCAAAAGATGAGTAAAACCTGCTGCCCTGTAGCTCTAAGCTCACGTGCGACGTGACGTCGGCCCGACTGCGCCACTTTTATAACGACTACGGACTACCTGCGCACTCACCTTGCTCACCTTGACACTTACTTACTCTGCCTAGCGTTCCCCTCAGTGCCATGTACCGTTCTAACGTGGTTCTGCTTCGGGTTTCCCTCAACCCAGGACCCCCGAACCGACGACCCCGCGGCAAGCTGGCATGGTCGACCCGGAGTACCCCTAGCGAACGGCGTTAATGTTGCCCTCGGTTTCGGCGATCGTGACTACTGCTGTCCATGGACTGGGGCCCGAAGCCAATAACAAAGCGTCTCAGTGGCTACGAACAAAGTCGAGGACTCATCAACAGCACCAAAGGAGCTGTGGTGAAACAGAACCAGAACGGCCGACTTTCATTCCCTTGAATGTTGGACTCTGACCATGCAGTTTCTGCTTATGTTCCATGTACAGCGAAAATCGTATACTACTGTATTACGTCTCCGATGTCTCTATTAAATCAAGCCATTGAACTCACCAATGACCACAATAGCATAAGCATCTGCGTGACGCAACCAACCCAGGCAGCAATCCAGTGGAACAAAACGCTGATCCCTACGGCGCTCAGACATATGAACAAGATTGAGATACAGACGCTGAAAGTGACACCTGACGCCCACGCTGGACAGCAGACCAGATGTGACCAAATGCAGTAACACAACCCGGCCAGAACCCCAAAAGTCTACAAAGGCAACTCAGCTCTGCTTTTCTCCGGGAACAAGGCTTGGAGCAACTCCCTCATTGCGGTTTGGACATCTCTCAACTCGTGCTCGTCGGTGGTGGCCACATCGTCGTTCAGACACAGTTGGCCCGGCAGCTGCTTGTGGTTGTGGACGAAGGGTCGGTAAAGAGTGCTATCGATCTGATCTGCATCGGTGACCATGACGAACAGGGTGTCAGAGGGGTCGACCACGACGTATTTATAGCGCATGACAGCCTTGACCACGAGCTCACGATCTTGCCGCTGGGATTCGGTTTCAGCATGTGGCAGCAACGGGCCCAGGCCGGATGAAGTCTGCTGCAGGAGGCGCTTCACTAGGCAATCGCCACAGCGGGGGATCTGACGGGCCAGGCGATCAAAGACCGCGGCGGAGCTAAAGGCCGGATTCCGCGACGATGAGCCTATCGACTCCGACGTGTCGGGGCCAATGCCAAAGCCCGGCGCGAGACACTCGTCCAGGTCGAACTCGGCACAGTCGGCATCGCGGATGGCCAGCGGACCGTCCAGCGACGTCCACAGGCTGTTTGTGTTGACCTGCGGTGCGCGGAGGCCGGCCTTCTCCAACATGAAGGGCACATGGTAAAAGATCTTGCGGCGAAAGGAGACTCGACGTGCGTTCTGCGCTCCGGCCGCCAGGTCTCCGAGGATGGTCTGCCGTTCGCTCCAGGATAGGACGCCGTTCCGGTCGACATCGCTGCGCAGCATGATATAGCTCCACAGCAGCACTTCCCTGTGGCGCTCGATCAAATAGTGGTACGTCGCATACCAGGAATACAGCTGGAACCCGGGCTCGCCGCGGAAACGCTTGCATGCACTTTGGATTTCGGGCCGCGGGAACGCCTCGATGGCCTCGCGCATGATGCTGCGTGACAACGAGTGACCGAAATGACTCTGGCCTTTGCGTTTACGCGTGCCAAAGCGCCGGTTCAAGAGCCACGACGTGTAGATCAAGTAGGGCTGCAGCACCATGGTCAGAAGCTCTGTCACGACGGACGATACGTCAGGGCTGATTCCCATACCTTTTCCCCAAAGCGACGCGCGTCGACCTCGGTTGGGGGGGATGTCGTGCTATACCCGTTGGTTTTGAAGCTGAGCACCGACCCAAACAAGGGCGAGTAGACGTCGGCGGCAGAATGCTCGCGGGTCAGCAGCATGTCGTCCGACAAGGCGACGAACTACACCAGATCACCATCAGTTCCACCTTCCTTCAGCGCCATCGTCTAACTTACTTGATCCACGTCCGACTGGGTATTGAATATCTGATTCTCGATGGTTAACGAGTTGAACGTGGGCAAGCACACGGCCTTGTCCGCTTCGAACATATCCTCTTGAGGCACGACCTGGACGAAACGAGCCACCTCCGGATCAGCCACGGCCAGCCACGAGGGCGTCTGTTTCCGCACCGGCACGCCGTCCTGATAGATGGAATTGACCAGGACTTTGACCGTGTTGGTGAAGTTCCCGGCGTTCTTCTCGATGCTGCGGAAGGAATAACGCAGCTCGTCCCAGTCGCGGTACCGGTTCACGCCGTGGGAGCTGATCCATTTGCCGTCTGGGTCGTTCAGGACGGACCGCTCTTCCCATACCCTGATGGTGCGCTGGAAGTCTTCTTCCGATCCATTGACCCCTAGATATACAACAAGTATCTCGTTAGCAAAAACCGTGCCCATGAGAAAAGGGCACCACCCAGGGTAGGCACGCGGTCAGTCATACAGAGATAGGCAAAGTCCACCCGGGGTTCCTCCAGTTTCCCCCATTTCTGCTCGTCAAAGGTCCCCGAGCTGACCCATTCGTCCTCCCAGCCTTGGAGCACTTCATTCTTGACTGCTTCGTGAAATGGCACCCACACGAACTCGGGCAGTGACTCGGCCTGCTGTTCGAGAGACAGGTGCTGTTCGGACTCATTGGACTCGTCTTCCACCAACTCCTCCACGGGGGGTTCTCGTGGAGGAGCGGGTGCCGTTTCCACTTCGCCTTCCAAGGGATCTTGTGCAGCTGCCGCTACTGGGACTTTGTCCTTCGTCACTTCGTCCTTAATCGGGTCTGACACGACCGGGTGCTTCTTGCTGTTGCGGGACGGTGCTTCGTCTTGCTCCAAAGGCGCCGAAGCTTCCTCTTCCTCTTCCTCGTCGTGACGAACGGGACCTTGCTGAGAATCTCTCCCTCGCCCATGCTCAACGTGGTTCTCCTTTATCGACGCCATGTGGTTGTGAAGCCACAAAGAGTCTCCGAGTGATGGAGTATCTCCCCCTGACGGTTTCTCCTCCAGGACGACCTCGAGACTTGAAGGTGTTTGATCGGGCGGAACCTTGCCGCCCTCGCTCCTTTGCAGGCTTGTCTTGTACGTTTGGCTCCGTCTATGGTCGACGGATTCACAATTCCAGGCCAGCAGAACCGTGGCCGCGATCAGGGCGGCGAGCAAAATCAGAACCGGCCGACTGCCTCTCCTTGGCCATCGTGGCCGTTTGTCCACCTTCCACGCCGGCTTCTTCGGCTGATACGTCCCATAGGCGTGATACATGTCGCGGCGAATGGAGGACCGATGACCTGGGAAAGCCTCACACCTCACCGGGGGCAACACCAGAAGATGTAGAATGAAAAGAAGCGACGACCGGGGAGACCGAGTGCCTGTCGAATCCGCATGGCTTAAAAGAACGGCGCACCCGTCCAAGCGAGAAAAGGGAGGCAAAATGCAAACTCGAACCAGTCAGTCTGTTGGCTCCAGGTTCAAGTTTCCAATCCAGGACCGCGTGGTGGTGGAGTCTGCAGTAGCCTGCCCCCTACCCACCACATCACATCAACAAGCTTGCGCATGCGCTTGAGCTCCAGCTCCAGCTACAGCTCCGCGGTCTAAGTCGATAGACTCAAAAGAGTGCAGGGCTTGTCGTATCCCTGCAGCACCGGTGTGCAAATAGCAAGCGCCTCTCCGAGAGCGACCTCCCTTCTATATGTGCAGAGAATTCGCGAAGCCTTGGACGACGGTGGAGACCTGTCTGCCGTCACCAGCATGCGCTCAAACCAGAGACTCCGAGCAACCCGAGTTCAGCGGGCGTGCGTTCCCTGTCCCGCCACGGTGGTGGAAATCCCTACTTTCCCTGGCGGACGAGGTTGTTGTGCGGAGTACTGTATCGTTCTGTAACCAGGACAGAGTACCAGATCGGGTACCAGGTACGGTACCTAGTACATGGTGGGTCATTGTCATTTCAACCATTTTCCCTGGTACCTGAAGCCTGCCACGGCAAAGCCCGAACGGAGGTGGAGCCTGAGGAGCCTTCCGAGCCCTGCGCAGACATGTTCATGCAGAACCCTAACCCTGCCGGCTTGGGTGACTCTACCTTATCTGTGCATGTGCCTGTGCCTGTGTTGGTACCGCTGCCGCTGCCGCCGGCCACAGGATCGCCCCACAGCCAGCTGCTCTGACCAGAAGTGGCAAGTGAACACACGAACACACGAGCACACCAACAAACCAGCACACCAGCACATGAGCACATGCTCACATAAACACATGGGCACATGAGCACACGAGCACACGAGCACACGAGACTATCGCGGCCATGGTGAGACACTCCCCCCCACAGAGACTCGAGACTCGAGCACAGCACACCCTCTTTGACCACACCTCCCTCTGGCGCAGAACAGACGGCCAACCTGGAGCTGATGAGCTCGCCGTCTCTGCACGTCCGCAGACTATTGATTCTTGCCGTCGCCGGGCCCACGCCGACTTGCCTGGCGGCGGCGTTATTGCCTACGGAGTACATTGTTGAGTCCGCTGCAACGCTGGTCATCCGCAATTCCACCATGAACAGGCATCGCTCCAGTTTCCAGACGAGTGATCGCGATGGCTCCAGCAGCCGACCGTCTGCGTCTGCGTCTGCATCTTCGACCTCTGCGCCGCCTCTGCGTTGAACGAGTCCTCATGGCGTCGATTGCGTTATCTTTCGAGTGCCGATCATCTTGTGCATGCTGGCTTGCCATGTCTGGAAGCGGAAGAATGTGACCCCAGGAACCACGGCTTCAATGACATGCGGGCCTTTGCGAACTTCCTGTGTACGGAAGCCTTGAGCTTTGACCGTCCTGACTCGGGCAAAGCCAGTTGGCCTCAGCCCACCGTTGGATCAGAACAGTACTTCTCTTGGATTCAGCATCATCTGTGGATAGGAGGACGGCGGCGGCGCTGGAGAAGTCCCTGACTGACAGATATTCAGCGAGCCATCTTCACAGGATCTATTTCTTCCACCGTGTCGCTCTTCGTCGTGGTCCTTTCTTCTTCTTGTTCTATCCTGTCTCGTATATTTAGGTCTTGTCTCTTCTTGTTGTGGACCGCACTTCTCGTGGATGATCCTTCATCATGCACTTCTTCAGCCGCCTCCTCCAAGCGGCTCCATTGCTCCTGTGCCTCTCGGCATTCGCTGTCTTGCCGGTCGACGGAAGTCAAGCCCACGGGCGTGAATCCGTGCAGCTCGACGTGCGGAGCTTCAAGCCTCACTTTTTCCATGCTCAAGTATACCGCTCCGGCGGAAGGTATCACCCTCGAAAGGCCAGCTGGATTGCATTCCATCCCAGCATTGGTGATGCCTATATCGTGGAAGAAGTGGAAGAAGCCGCCGAATTCTACATCAAGGAGGGCCAGCTGATTACCTCGACCGGCTATTACGTCCACCTGGACTTCAGCAACGGCTATGCCGTCTTCCAGCGGAGCACTGAGAAGCAAGACCAGGGCATTTACTACGAACACACTGGCGACTACTTGCTGATTCGTGGACCCGGATTCACGTACGGCAAGGGAGAAGGCGTCTGGTGCGTTGGCGACGACGGGAGCGTCTTTGTCGAAAGTCGGGGCGCCACTCCATTTCAATGTCGCCCCATTGATCTAAGACCAAACCCTGGTATGTCATGTTCATGTCCCTGTCGTCGTGGGGAGATGCTCCTAGGTACTGACTTCTCCCAGGCACAAAACCTCTCCCCCCTCCATCCAGCAGGCCATCGCCGCCGCCACATTCTACAAAGACCAGTACAACTACTGGGCCAACGCCAAACCCCTCGTCTGACCCAGATGTCGACTTGCGCCGACGCGACGAGGAACCGAACTTTGAGGAGGAGGACGAGAGCTGATCTTGTTCCCTCCGAGGCACATGTAGCTGGCTGCTGGAGCTACCGTGGGTTGGCGACGCGGGCCAGGGACGCCACAGGGTGAAGTCATGTCCGATGGGTAATGACACTGTAGCTGGAGCTGGGCGGCTAAGGACGGAGAGTAATTGGGGATATATAGTCGCAAGCTGATGCTGGAGGTATGCGAAAACCTGAGATGGTAGAATTCCATAGTCACTCCTTTTTCCAATTGAACACAGATATCTACCATCAACTACGTACAGGGCGTCTCCCAACGTATCAAGACTAGGTCCTTATCTCCGAGCCATATCCAAGGTCACGCCACAAGAAGACGGCGAAAAGTATCTAGCTGCAGCTGGCCAAGGGGGAGGGGGGACATGAAAACTCGAGGCTCAATTCCATTCCAGGACCTGCTGCTGAGGTCAAGTCTCCAGACGATGGGTTGCCTCGCCGTCCGGAAGGGGTGGGTGGACGAAGACGGCGACTGGCTCCGGCTCCAGCTCCCCAAGCAGTAGATGCAATGGATCCAGCAGCTCCAGCAGCTCCAGCAGGTACAAAGGGGGCACTATTTGCAGTAGAACCAGTAGTTTGCAGCTGCAGCCACTTGCCACTTACCACTTACAGGAGCGACAGGAGGCAGGCAGGCAGGCAGTAGGTATCGTATCACATGTGTTCTGTACAGGCTTGGGCCATTCTACGTCTGTCCTCCTTTGCCTCAGCCAGCCCAGCTACCTAGCACCTGCCTAGTAATTAACTACTTAGCAAGTTTAGTTTTGTTCTCGACCCATGTCTGCATATGCGTCTGTGCGCGCAGCGATGCTGGATACATAGTACCCACTCTTACATAAGGTAAGGCCGGAAGGACCCTAAGACTCTAAATGAAGATGGAGATGGAGGAGATATGTACCGATACCGAGGGCGGAGTATGCATATGCATACATGGATCCCGGTCAGCTTGTATGTCGCCATCACCACTGCCATCGCCATCACCACTGCCATCGCCATCGCGGTGGAGTGTGGAGTCTCCAGCACAGGGCGGAAACGGAAACGAGCAAGCATCAGGTACTAGGTACGGAGTAGTTTGTACAGATACAGTATGCTCCTGTTACCCTCCTAATCGTACCTAGTAGTACCTAGACCTAGCTAGTATCTAACCCTGTTACCCCTACTTGTATGGGTATCGATCTCCGTATCGGTACCTTAGTCCTGTACCGAAGAACTATGTACAAACGTCGGTACTGTAGAGAGAGAGCACACGACACGACACACGACACCGATGAAGCCCCTCCCTCCCTTCCACACCAGCGCCACGGGATGCCCATCCTGGAAATGTCCGGGACTCGACCTAAACGCGAAAAAAAGACAAGACGCTCTGGACTCCATCCCACTTTGAGGGTCCGCCGGGGCCTACTACTACTCATCGATCATACATTAATCCGAATCAATATTAAACCTTGGCCACAGTGGCCATGAGACTATGAGATTTTCGACTCATTTGGGATGAGAAGGGAAGGAAGGGGATTCTCCCTTTGCCCCCCCCTGCCCCTCAATAGCCTGAAGCTCAGGCTTGTATGGTGATTGGATCCATGGCTGAGATTGCAGACCGCAACAGGCAAAACCAAGACCAAGACCAGCCCAGATAAGACCAGCTGAAGAAGAAAAGGGTGTGCACGAAGACTGTAATACTGCTCACTAGGTGCTTACAGGTTGCAAGCGGCTGTGGTTAGGGTGCCATTTCCACTGGATCCGGATCCGTCGACACAGAGGGAAGTTTTACAAGCATTGTATGTGAACCGTTAATGATCCCTTACTCTGCTCTGATCTGATCTACTTTGCTCTGCTCTGCTCTGCTTCGCTTCTATTGGTTTCATCCTGTCCTGCCCTGCTCTGATTTGCCTTCCTCCCAGGTCAACGACCTCGGACTCGACTCGACTCGACCACCTTCCCTCAGCTACCCTATCCTCCTGGAAGCCATGGCGATGAGCGAGAAGAGCCCTTCTTTCTGGGTCTCAGGCGATTCGAGTACGTACACCATAGGTCCTGTCTCTCCTCCAGTAAGAGCCCGGTCACGGTCATGTATCAATGTCCGTCTCCTCTCAATGAAGGGTCCGTCATGGTCATGGACGATGCTGAGCGTGGTTGGTTTCATCTCTCCCACCACTCTCGGGAGCTGGACTCGTTATTGATCTCATATCCGTCCATCATGAGTCCCGAGCATTGGAAATCTGATTATATGTGTATACAGATCACGTCGACATGCAGCAGCAGAAGCAGCAGCAGCACGACGTGGAGAAGCAGGCTGGACTTGAGGCTGCCTCTGCCTCTGGCCCTGGCACCGGCACCGGCACCACCGAACAAGATCGTGATCACGATCACGACCAGCCAGCTCCTCGCTGGGCCACTGGGGAAAAGTCCAGGCCCAGGTCGAACTGGAAGCTGCCGAGTGTCAAGATCAAGATCAGAGACCACATCAGTGAACAGGACGTGGTGAATTTTCTGTGTGTGCTGCTCAACACCGCATCGACGGTGTGTATTGTGTTTGCGAACAAGGTGTAAGTCCAGTCCAGTCCAGTCTAGATACTGCCTCCGTTCCATCCGTTCAATGTCGGCCCTTTTGTATCTGGACGAAGAAACCCATGACAGTGATGGTCCTGCTGCCCCTGCTCCTGAGAATGCTGACCTGACCATTCCCATTCCATCCACAGCATCTTCACCGACCCCCAGTTTCGCCAATTCCAAGTGGGCACGGCGGCATGGCACTTCTTCGCGACGACGCTGCTGCTGTTCGCCGCGTCCCGCAAGCCGTTCAGCGTCTTCCCGGCAGTGCGACTGCCGCTCAAGGAGGTGTTCCCGATCTCGGTGCTGTTCGTCGGCTTCCTGCTGTTCGGCAACCTCTCGCTGGCGCTGAACGACGTGTCGGTGTACCAGCTGGCCAAGATCATGACGACGCCGACGGTGGTGGCGGTCAACTTTGTGCTTTTCCGCAAACGCATCTCGGCCGCGCTGCTGGCGGCGATCGTGGTGTCGTGCCTGGGCGTGGCGCTGACCAACATGGCCACCGGAGCCGTCACCTCCAACCCGGTCGGCACGTACGTGGCCATCGTGGCCTTTGTCACCACGGCCTTCTACCAGATCTGGATCGGCAAGAAGGTGCAAGACCTCGACGTGACCGGCCCGCAGCTGCTGCTGAACCAGGCGCCCATCTCGGTCGGCTTGCTGCTGCTGCTGTGTCCTTTGACCGACACCATGCCGGATCTGCGCTCCGTCGAGCCCGCCATCCTCGCCACTTTTGTCCTGTCGGGCGTCCTGGCCGCCGGCCTCAATCTCAGCCAGTTCCTGATCATCGGCCGCACCTCGGCCGTCACCTTCAATGTCGTCTCTAATGCCAAAAATGTCATCATCATCGTCCTGGGCTGGTATACTGTCCATCGGGCCCCGTCGTGGCTCGACTTTATGGGCGTCTCTTTGGCCTTGGGCGGTGCGGCTGCCTACTCTTGGCTGAGGAAGTGAGAGGTTATGGATATATGTGTATCCCATTGCCATGACGGTATAAGGATATATGTGTATTGCATTGTCAACTGTCATCATGCGGTATATGATACATGTATATCCCATTGTCATGACGGTATATGATATATGTGTATATACTATTGCTATCATGATGTCCTGGGATGGGATGTCATCATGACGGTAGTATATGGATGTTTGTATATACATATATATACACATAGACACACACATATCGCGAGTTATGTTATCAGATCCTACATGTCCTATAATGCATTGTTTGCTTAGTTATGCGATGAGAGAGTTCTTTCAGTGCTTTTGGGTTGGAACCTGGCTTGATACATACAGTCCTTGATATCAGTGTTGTCAACGAAGACGAATGTGGGATATATGATATGATTGAACCCGATTTAGGTGCGATGCTCAAAACTGGCTACTTGCTACTTGCTTGCTACATGCAATATTCAATCTTCATCTTCATCCATCCCCCATGATGAATGGCCTCGTGGATATTTGGCAGGTTGCCTGATCAGATTTCACCTAGTTTACAGAGTACAGTCCGAGAAATAAAAGGGGTTCGAACATCCCTCCCGCCCCAGTAAGCCAGACACTTATACTGGACCTAATTGCGCCCCAGTAAACCACACACTTATACTAGATCTACTTACTCGATCGAAACACACTCTTATACTGGATCTAAGTGCTCGACCCGAGGCTGTACTGTGCTGTCCGCTCAGACCGGCTCGGCGGCATTTTTGGTCTCGTTGTAGACGGCAATGGTCTTCAAGTAGCCCCTGGGCCCAGCAGGGGACTTGTTGGTGGTAAGGGCAAGGTCGTCGAGGTGGAGGGACAATTCGGGCATGTCGACGTCGGGCCACTGGGCCTTGACTGTGAGGAGTCCGCCGTTCCCATTCCCATTCCCATTGCCATCCCCATTCCCATCCCCTTCCTCCGGGAGGCCCAAGGCCTGGACCAGGCGCGGTATGTTCATGATGGTGCTGTAGACAATGTCCCAAGTATAGGCGTGGTGCCATTTGTCGCCCTTGGAATTCAAGTCCGAGTCCTTGGACTGAGGCCCTGCGGCGCGATGGCTCGACAGCAGCGGCGGATAGGGGGCGTAGCAGCGGAACGGAGGCGGCTGGTCGAACTTGGCTCGACACATCTCGCTGATGCTGGCGTCGACCGCCATGTCGCGCGACTGTAGCGACAACGAGGCCAGCAGCTTGCGCGCCCCGTCGTACGTCACCGCATAGCTGTACAGGCACATGCCGCCCGTCGCCTGCAGCACCACCCGCGTGCCGTTGCGCCGCACCTCGGCCGGGTAGTGTTGGTTGCGCCACCCGGCCCACCGGTGTGTCGTCGGCGGCGTCGTCGCGTCGTCGTCAATCACCCAGAACTCTTGCCGGGCGTCGCTGGGCCCGACGCGGCAGTGTCCGAGCCAGAGAAAGTCCCAGTCGCGGCCGAAGGGTGAGGCTGAGGTCTGGGTCGATGTGCCTGATCCAGATCCTGATCTTGAATCATCTTGTGCTTGTGCTTGTGGCGGTGACTGTTTCTGTTGCTGGTGCTGGTGTTGGAGCGCCCGCACTCCCCAGGCCAGTTCGAGAAGCTGGTGTTTGAGATTCACGTCCCAGTCAGCGTCGTCCTCCATGATCAACGCGGTCTGGATGTGGTTTGAAACAATACTAAAAACACGTACCCCGGTCAGCACAACCACGAAAACAGAAACATGACCGATCAATCATCCAGGGGTAGGGTTAGGGGTAGGGGTAGGGGTAGGGTTAGGGTTAGGGGTATCCCCCATCGTCGCCATGTTTCGAGATAGAGACTAGGCACGTACTGTTCCAGCGCGTTCATATGGGCTCGCCAACACCCCAGGGCCCCCGGCGACTGTTTATCGAAACTCCACGTCTGTTTGGGGTCTTGTCAGTGAAAAGGAACCCTAAACCTTTCTCTCTCCCCCGAGAGTGTGCCCTAACCCTAGCCCTTTCTCCCCCGAGACAACGGACCAGCATGGCCATGGCCATGATCATGTCTGACTTACCGGCGGAGCTGCCTTTGACGACACGTCCTCGAAAGCCACAGCGGGCAACCAGTCGATGTCGAATCCGGTGAAGGACGATGCAAGCGTCTTCGCATCGCGTTTGTCAGTGCGCTCGGGAAAGCCGATGGCAAACACTTTCTGAAACTGGTCCAAGGGAAGCCAGGGCACGTCAGTATTGTTTGGTCTTGGTCTTGCCAGCAGGGAGTAGGGTTGGGATTGAGACAGCAGGAGCAGGGCCGGGCTTGAGACAGAGACAGAGACAGAGTCAGAGTCAGAGTCAGAGCCGACAGAGTCAGAATCAGAGCCACGCACCCCGAGAGTATTATTGTAGACCTGGCCGAGGCCATCATCACCATCACCACCACCACTCTGACTGTTCGCCGGCCGGGCCCAGGGCCGGCGCCAAGTCACGAGATTGAGCGTGAGCAGACAGCCGAGGAGGCAGACGAGGAGCAGTTGGGAAGACTTGCGTCGGAATGCGACTTGCACGCCCGAAAGCGCCTTGGGCGTGCTCTGGAAACTCCGCGCCCATTGTGGCAAGCCATCGTCCCCGACCATGTTTCCTGAAGCAATGTGAGAAAAGAGGAGAGGAGGAGGATGATGATGGTGATGATAATGATGGTAACAATCTCATTCACAGACAGTATCTTCGCACAGACAGTATCTTCGCACAGACAGCACCATCGAATCCTGTCCCTCTTCAGAGGTTACTCGGCTAGATGGCTGCAATTGGGAGGGCAAGTCTGATGCCTACAAGGGGTGAGTGGGTGGATGAGTGGTGGTGGTGGAGGCGTCTGGAAACAACCGCCCTCATCCTCATGATATCGTGGCTAGGGAGAATACTACTACTGTACGGAGTACTGTACTACTACTATACTGTAGTTCTTTCTGTGCATGCCATTGTCTAAGCGGTCGATCGGGATATTGTAAGCCTCCTTAGCCTAGAGCCTAGAGCCTAAGCACATGCTCCACTCGGGGTGGACAGTGGATAAGTAGGACGTCTCCCATCATACTGTATCAGGACTAGGCCTTTAACCCTAGAACTTGCCAGAGTGGATTCGATCGCTCGGCTACTGTCGACGGGTCCCAGAGGGGACGAGGGACGCTTGACCGGAACTACCGAATACATACGTACATACTGTACATACCCTGTACAGTGTACATCGTATCCGTACAGTAATGGGGTGCTCGGCGGCGGAGGCTCGTGGGGTCCATGCCGGACACGCCGGTCAATAATCACAGTTAGCACTATACCGTCCTGACCTGACTTGTCTTGTCCTGTCCTGTCCTATCCCGGACATCCACCTCAGGCGAGCGCTGTCAAGGATGCAGGACAGAACCGTGCCAGCATTCCCACTCCCACATGTCTCCTCTGTTGAGCGCGAGTGCCTCCTGAGGTTGGGCTTGGAGTCCCGTCGTGTTGACTCCTAGTCCGTCACGGACCACGGTAGGCGTACTGCACCGCTTCCACGGTCGGAACAGAGGCAGAGGATACGAAAGAAAGGCCTCGACTGTACTGAGTACTGTCGGCCTGCCTCACGACTGACTGATCTCTCTCGCAACCCCTCCAAGCCTTGGTCGTTCTGACCCTGCCCTGCCTTGTCGGCCTCGCCCCCCATGGCGAAGAAGACTCAACTGGCGCTGGCAGTGGTCTTAGGGATCATCATTTTCCAGCTGTCCTTCACGCAATTCCGCCCGACCGACGCCCGGTCGACGCTGACAGACTTGCTCTGCCACGAGAGGTTCAGCAGTTCGTCTGACGAGCAGGGCACAAACACCACCACCACCGCTCCCGGTCGGTCGAAGATTGGCAAAATCACCATGCTGTACGGAGACTCGCCCAATCCGTCGTATGAGCGGGCGTTGCAATCACACATGGTCCATGCCGCGAGACACGGCTATCCCATGCACGTATTGCGGCAGAAGATACTGGGCCGACTCTGGACCAAACCGGCCTGGATCCTGTCGGTGGTGCTGGCCGAGCTCGCAAAGCCGCCCGAGCAGCAACTCGAATGGCTGTTTTGGTTCGACGCCGACACCTTTCTCCTCAACTACGAGATCCCGCTGGAGACGTACCTGCCGCCTCGCCAGGTCGGCCACCCGGCCTTCAACGCAGTCAACTTCCTCTGCGGCAACGACCACAACGGCCTCAACGACGGCGCCTTCTTGCTGCGAGTCAACGACTACGCCGTCCATCTGCTGGCCTCCTCTCTCAGCGTCGAGACTTTCCGGCCGGACGTTGACCTGCGCTACTCGGAACAATCGGCCATCGAGCACGTCGTCCACCACGGCGGCGTCTATCGGCCCTGGGATGGATCCACCTACCTCGATGGCTATGTCGAGATTCCCCAGCGCTGGCTCAACGCCTACATGGGCGCGCGAAACGAGAGCGGAGACATCATCCCGGGCAAGAAGACTCACGCCAATGGAGTCAAGCCAGGTGGTAAGTTTGTCCACTGTCATCTTCAACTCATTAGAACACCACTACCACTACCACTACCATCTGCCATTTATACATGCCTACATACCCCTTCTAGTTACATTCGTGCCTGATCATCTATTCCCCGTCTCTGCTACGCCATGCCGCATCTCTCCTTGATCATCATTATAGAGCTGTTCTAGTACCCAGCGGGAAATGACATTTCCTTCGCTGTTGCCCCCTTTGTTCGTGCGTGGCGGCTGAATGGTTGACACCATGTCCATCTAGATCTCCTACTACATTTTGCCGGCTCCGGCGACACCAAGACACGCAGGATGGACACCTTTGTCGAAGCGTATGACCGAAACCCAGACCAATGGGTCAAGAGCGTCGACGAACTGCCCGAGCTGAGCGAAGAGATTGCTCGATTTTGGCTCAGCTACGGGAAGAAGAAAGAGAAGGAAAAGTCAGCTTCGGTTGCAACGAGCAGTAGGGAAGAGGCCAAGGAACAAGACCAATGAATTCGGGGAAAGGCGGATAAACTACCACTGGTGAAGAAGGGAAAGGTGGTCAAACCTACCACTGGTGAAGAAGGGGGAGGAGTCAAAGGTTGAAATGTTCCATGTTCCCTATCAAAGGTTGAAATGTTCCATGTTTCCTATCAAAGGGGTATGGGGGGAGTCCAGACTATATAGGTGTGCCTATACTGTACCTATACCAATACAACACCTATATCAGCCTTCTGGTTAAAGGGCAAGGCCGGGAATGCCTAAAGCTAGTGCTTAAGTTTGACAGTAACTAAATAGATATGAAGAAAACGACCAACGGCCAACGGCCAAAAAAAATAAGACAAAGTCAACGTATTTAACTACCTTGGATACAGTGCGTTGTTGGAGGGAAAATGCGAAAGGAAGCAAGGACCATCTCTTGTCTCGTCTATCCCCCCTCCTAGCTCCTCTCCTGCTCCTCTCCTGCTCCTCTCCTGCTCCTCTCAACTCTTCTCTCTCATCCTCTCATCCTCTCATCCTCTCATCTTCTCATCCTCTCATCCTCTCGTTCTTGACACAAGCGGCTCTTTCTGCCAATGGATGCAACCAGATATACTAGAGGTTCTGTACATCAGCAAGCGATCGCCCGCCCCCCTACCGCTCCTCACTCGGCAACTTCAACGTCAACGTCGTCCTCGCCATCGAACTCGCTCGACGAAAGCGAACGTTTCTCCACCCACTCCGTCCAGTCCAGGTCGCTGGACGGGTCAGGACCACTGGGCCCGGTGGAGGTCGGTTGTTGGGTCGGCCAAGATTCAGGCGCCGAAGGCGAAGGCTTGCTCGGGTGCGTGTATGCGTGTGTGGCCTTGGACGTCTTGACTGGTTTGCTTGGGTACGTGACGGTGATGGTAGTGGCCGTGGCCGTGGCCGTGGCCGGTACAGACGTAGGCGAGGTGGTCCAGTCTTCCCAGGCTGGGATGCTGACCAGCGAGGTCGGCTGAGGCTGAGACTGGCTGGGTTGGGTGTTGTGGGCTGGTGGCGGCTGCTTGGGTTTAGGACCGGGAGCTGTGGGAGGAAAGACGAGTCAGTACTCCGTATCAGTATAGGAATCCACTTTCTTTTCTCTTTTCTCTTCTCTTGTCTCTTTTGTCCTTTTTCTTGGCACGTGTATAAATATATAGAGAGATATATAAGCAGACAGGGATTAGGGGCTGAGGCTGAGGCTGGGGTTCCTTATAATGAGACTCTTTTCTCCAAGACAAGACTCCTGTTCCTCCCTCCCCCCTTTTCTGGGATTGAATGGACATCGATAGTGGACGGACGCTTGACTTCAACTTACTTTTTTGCGGAGCCAGACCGACGTCTCGACAGGCAAACGGCGGCTTGTTCTGGGCCTGGACAAAGAGGAAGCCGTCGTCACTCAGACACAACACGGCCTGATTGTCCTGGCCGAAGGAAAAGTCCAGATTTTGGATATGCAGCCACCCGTCCTTGCCGTGGGAATACTTGGGGACGGCAGTCTCGGCGGGCGGGCTGCTCTCCAGCTTGAAGACGGCATAGCCGCTGCTGAAGTCCAGATGCACGAACTTGTCGCCCACCTTGAGATGATGGTCGGGCGAGATCCAGAACTCGGCGCCGTCTTCCCACGACTGCGTCACCGTGCCGTCGCCGCCCTGCGAGAAGGAAATGAAGCTCGACTTGCTCTTGGAGTAGTAGCGCTGGCTGGCCACGTAGGCCTGCAGGTGGAATGGGACCACCACCGTGACCACCTCGACGCTGGCCGAGCTGGTGGTGGTGGTGTTGTCGGTGGTGACGTTGTGGAAGCCCTGTGCTTTCCACGAATTCACGCCTCGGGCTTCGACCTCGTTCGACGCCAACCCTCCATTACTACCACTACCACTGACCCGGAACGCTGATGCAGATGCTGATGCTGACCCGATGACTGATAGGCATGATAGCGCGCTGACCAGCCCAAGCAGCGACGCTCGCGCGATATTGGACCGCGCCATCTTCTGGAAGATACAACTTTGGATCTTGGAGGGATGAGGAGTGGCTGGTGATGGTGACGGTGACGGTCAAGATCGGCACTGCTGCGTTGCCGTATAGTATTAGGAACGAAGGTGTTGTAGTTGTAGTAACAGTAGTAGTGACGAATAGATCTAGCTGGCGATCTTGTAACGAGTGTGTCGAATGGATAAACAAGACAGAGCCTTAACCTCAAACAAACGAGTGTGTTCAAGTTGGTGATGAACAAATACGACTCAACAAGAAGAGAAGAAAGAAGAACGCACTTCCACAAAACAGGAGGGCGAGATCAGACAGCGACCGAGTTTTTGTAAGTCCCCTCCGCCGAGGATATATACCGTACGCCGTGGGATGGATGGCCTGGTCCTACTGCTGCATCTACATCTACGTAGCATGCCAATCATGTCCATCTTCTTCCTCCTGGATCCGAATCCAATCCCGTTCCTGATCCAGGTCAGAAACAGCTCCTCCCGGATCCAAATCCAATCCAGTCCCTGATCCAGGTCAGACTCTGCTCCAATCCCCCTCTCGGTGCATTCCGTGGGCCCCCAACGCGACTTGTCCGGCGGTAGACCAAATTGCCGGTGGGTAGTATAGATGGGTGTGGTGGTGGGTAGTATGGATGGGTGTGGCGGTTATTGTGGTGAGCTGGAGGTGGAGGTGAAGGTGTCGCTGAACGATGTGCTCCAGCATCACATCGATCGTGTGTATCTGGACCCGCGAGCTCACCACCAGTATTCAGGGAAATGGACGACGGTAATTGACCCTGGGCAGGGAGTAGGACTTGGACCGTTGGTGAATCAAAGAACCTCCCTGGCCACTGGCTAGTAGTATGTTTAACCCCCGTTTACGCCGTAGAGGGAGTTCCACATCACCGACCGACCTTTCCCTGAGACACATGATTTCCGAAGAGAGTCAGTACTCACTGGTCCTACAGTCCATCGGTCCATCCATCCAACAAATTTTTCACCAGGCTTGGATCGGGAGATGGTGAGAAACCCACTGTTCATACCAATTTGGCACCGAGGACCCATGGTAACATAGAGGGGCATGCAATATACACCTTGCTGGACCGACGTTGGGACTTCTACCGCGACATGTATCGACCGGGGGCTACCCCTGCAGTCAAGCCAATTTGTCCGGGACGAGGGATCCCTGGCAAAGGTGTGGACAAAATGGGCGATGGTCGACATTATTGATCAGTGGACTTGTACTGCATACTCGGGTACAGAACGCGCCCTCGTTTTTCTCGTGTCCACATGCTTGCCATACCAGACCGGGCACTATATGTAAGCCCACTGTGGAGCACCGACCGGCACTTGGACGTTTGGGGAATTTCCCCACGCGACAGTGTGACTTCTTCAGCTGAAACGAACAGGAGTTTGATTTTTGTCGCGCACCAACTGTGGTGCTTGATTTTGCAGGAATGGCGACAGTCCTCAGACCTGGGAAATCACTCACCTAGTCAGCCACCTAGTCAGTCACCTAGTCAGTCATTTATTCAGTGCTGGCTCTGATGAGTCAGTGCTGGGTCTATCGTCCTCCCAGCGCTCCCCATACTTCGCAATGTTGTAGGTCATCGTGCCATCTCAACTCAGGCTCACCCTCAGTCATCTCTGAGAAGGCCTTGAGCCGGCGGTTTTGCCGGCCCTTCCCAGAGAGAAACTCTGAAGCGCCTGCCGCCATCCCGGAAGGACCGAGGGACGATCTACCGGCGAACGAACCATGACTGTGTTGGTCTGAGCTTCTTGGTCTGAGCTTTTGGGCCTTGGCTGAGACCAACCGCCGTTGTCGGCTTATCTTCAAGGGCAGAATTATCACGATTAATTATCATGATTCCCTTGCTGGTCGCTTCCGAAGTACAAGAAACGGTAATCCAGCTGAGCAAGGAGCGAACTCCATCACGCTAGGGGGAGCGATTCTAGACGCCATGCGGACGCTGCAGCGACCATGGTTGCAGACTACCAGCAGGAAGGCCGGCGGCGATGAGAGTGGGTGTTGAGGACAAGAACACCGTTGATCTGTGCGGCGACCCCAGTTAGGAGGGCCACGATCTTGACCAGTCTCCGCCGGTAAGACTCTATAGCTTTTCTTTCTGTACGGTGACGGTACGCTGGTATTCCAAGTCAAAGTCGTCCACGTACAGTATTGTACTGGTTCGGGCGGGGGACAATGCTGCCTGCCATATCAAACCGTCCGCTGACTGATACAGTATCTATCTCCCGCAGCAGTCTGCAGCGCAGGGCAATGAAGGGAGGTTTGCCTCGTATGTGATCTGTTAGGATGACATGATACCAGGATACATTATTGGAGCTCATTCACGTCGCAACGTAGTAGGTATACATGGTCGGAATCGTGAGTGACCTACCAGGACTCGAAATACCTTTCTTGCAACAATCGTCCAAACCGAACTATTCGTCTGTCCAGCCTGTGGAAATAGTCGGCAACCCAAAAGACCGCCAGCCAATTTAAGATGGTGATTGGGACAAAAGCCCAGGGCGAGTTGTTAAGATGAATCTTCACAAAAGGATATAGGGCCTTGTCCCAAAGAGTCCTGATGACGATGTAATGCATCACATAGATCCCGAACGAGAGATCTCCCAGGTATCGGGAGAAATTCCAGAGGAACGGTTTTTGGAGGAGGTGACACGAGTCCACGCTCCAGATGAGAAGAGGCGACGCGATGACGAACCAAAAATGTTCCTGGGCCCCTTTGTCCCAGTAGGAGGGAACCATGGCCGAAAGGTACGGCCAGGGGAAGAAGGCTTTCTTCGGATCGGCGGGCATGTCCAGCAAAAAGATGGAAAAGAGGAAGAGGCAGATGTAGTAGCCCACGTAGGGGCCTCTGAAGGCGGCGGGCTTTTGTGAGAGGTCCTCGGCCATATCGTTCGGTGGCAGCATACCTCTCGTGGACTGATAGCGCTCAGGATATCTGATCAGCGAGACTTCGGCCAAGAACATGCCGCTCAGGAACAGGGCCACATAGGTCGCCTGCCACGCCATGGACAGCAGCACGATGCCGCCACAGACGATGAGTCTGTCCCTGCTGCGCAGCTTGGCCGTGCCGGCACAGACGACGAAGACGACCATGGAACCTCGAAACTCGACAGGAATGGTCCACAAGGGGTCGAGGTATGCGCTGGTCAAGACACCCCCACGCGACCACCAGCCCGTCAGATCGGCAAAGGGGTTGCTGAAGCGTGCAAAGTCAGCGCACCAGTCACAGAACTGGGCGAAGAAGCTCTTGAGACGAGGGGCCGTTTGCTTCGCCCCCATCCAGGACACGGTGCACATGGACAGGAAACTGGCGACCGCACTGGGGATGTAGAGGCGCAGGTATCTTCGAAAGATGGACGAGGCAAGGCTGTCCATCAGTGTCGCCTTCTGCCGTGCCCGGATTTGTTTGAGCATGCCCTGGCTGAGCACGAAGCCGGAGATGACGAAGAACACATCGACCATGCCTTTCCCACGGTGGATGGTGCAGATGAATGGGAGCTTGAATATCCCCCATTGGCTGAGCTGGAATCGGTGGTAGTTGAAGACAATCCAGGCGGCATACCCACGCAGTGAATCCAGGTACGTCGTCGGGTGTGGCCTGCCTCCGTACTCGAGCCCGCCGGGTTGCAGGTAGCGAGGGAGTAAAGCTCTCATATACGGCCCCAGGGTTGTGGCGTATGCGTGACTTCGTTCGGTCTCTTCCTGGATTTGATAGCCGTGCAGGAGAGGATGGGCTTGTTCCACCATGGTCATCGAAACAGGCATTGTTTGTCCACGCCTCTGAGTTTGAATGCCGTGGTGTCAGGTGTCTGTGGAAACCACGCAAGATGCAGTCATGTCGTCAAGAAAGTCCTGGACCATTCAGACTCTTGGATACAACTCAGTCAGACCAGACCTTGACCGGAAACCGGTTGTACTCCGTATTTCCCTACCGGTCACTGCAAGACCAAGATAACGGTGGCTAACCGTTCGTTCATTACAGACCACCACCATACTCGTAGTCTGGACCTTGTTCTCCACTCATGCACAACATGTTGAGTTCAGCTCGGATCTGTCCAACTCTGTGGGGTAGCTGAGGGAAAGGACATCCGTTTCTGCTCCAGGCACAAAAGCTGGAGCTAGCCAATGGACTCTCCGTTCAAGCTTCTTGTGACGGGGCTGTCTGATATCGGCCACTCGGATGAGCCTGGAATGGGCGGATGGATCTGATACTGGCGCGTTGAATGAAAGCCGCATGTGGATCAAAATTTACCTGGAGGTAGGTCCTGGTAATATTACGCCTGTCATTTAAACTGTGACATGCCAAGTTGCAAGACGACCACCTCATGTACTACTAGTATGGTACCCGGTAGTAATTAAATTTACAGGTACATGGTATTGTAACAATGATGGGATATGCTCATGGTAACAATTCCGGTCACGTCGGGAGACTGCCCACTCTACGGCCTCTCTAGAGAAAAAGTCGACTCTTTTATCATCTTCTATATCTAGGAATAGTAGGTGGTAATCGAGTTAATAGGAAGCCTCCTTGTAAGCCTCCTAAGCCTCCCGTGAGCCCTTAAGCCCCGTCAAAGCGGCGAGGGATCGGCGCGGCTGGCCTACCCGATCGGGGGCGGCTCGTCGTAGTAGGTTTAGGCCGCTATTTCACCGACATTGAGAATACAGAGTACTCAGTACTCCGTACTATTGCTGATTTCCAGTAGGAGGACAATCCTCTAGCATCTAGGTCGATATCATGATAGTAGTGGTACCGAGACGCCCTAAAGCTTCGTCGTCCTCCAGCCTTTGTTCCGGAACGAACTACACCGTATTGAAGTTGCTCCCGCCAAGCCATTGTCAGGCCATCGATGCGAAGCATGAGACCCTTAAGCCTTCCTCCTCGCGCTATGTACTTCTCCAGTCCTCTGTTGAGTCCGTTGTCTGCCATTGATGCACCGAAAACAAGCTTGTGGCCATGGCTGGACATTGACGGCGATGACTTGTCCGGGAAAAGCTCAAGCTCCGCCTTGGTCAAACTGCGCAGAATGAGGTTCCAGGCTCAGCCTTGCTATGATTCGCATTGCAGCAGACTCCGTATTTATTCCTTTCGTTGACCAGTGATCAAGGTCTGGATGAAAAAAGGTAGGATGGTCTGGAACAAAGAAAGAGGCCTTAGAACTCCGACCAGGAACTTAGCGCTGCTATTCCAACAGGTAGGAAGACAGATCGTGAATCACAAGCATGGTTCAGGAGCACGCCCGGTGTCGACATTCACCGCTCTGGCAAAACAAATACCGCGACACACTGAGGCGCGTCTCTGCCCCGTCCACATTCATCTTCACACTTTAGCTTAACGCAACTGTCGCGACAAGTCCACCCCTTTGAATCCCCCATAGCAGATGACGGATCAAGTGATAGAAATGTCAAGTGACGAGACGGCAAGCGACGAGATGGCGCCACACAGAATGGCATGTGCCGACACACCACAGCGTTCTGCGATTCCGGATCTCGGCGACACCCCTAGTGCCCAATTGCGCAAGGTCCGCGATCAGATTGTCAAGAACTTGGAGTCAGGGGGGGAATTGTATTTCGACATCTTTCGATCTTTGCAGATTACCCGGGACGGATACCAGCGATTCTTTGACGGGGTCATACGCGTTATTCGCAACAAACACATGGACGATCTCAAGCGCGGTACAGAAGCAAGTCTACAACACCTGACTGATCTGACTCTGCGGGCCTTTGGCTACATTGTCTGGACACCAGGCTCACCATGGCTTATTCACGACGATGAACTGCCAGAGGACGAAGTGAGATTGATGCATGTGAGGGGCGCTGGAAAGGAGAACGACGAAAATGCCAGGTGAGTAGAGTGAGCGCCTGATTGTTATCTGTTTGCCCTTATGATTGGCGCCGTCAAAATAAGGTCGACAATGCGCAAAGCCCTGCAATGCTAACTCTCCCGTGTGCTGTTTCAGATTTTACCCTATCTTTGAACAACTCTGGCTTCTGATGCGCAACGTACTGTTTGAGCGCCGACCCCCGCGAAGACCAAGAGGACAAGCTCCACGACGACGCCGACAAACTCAGCCTAGCACACCTGCAACTCAATTCGACCGCGAAGACGTTGGCAATCTTGCAGACACCGAATCATCCTCATCAGTGGCAGGTCCAGCGACAATGACTTTTGAGCGTAACCAAGCAGAGGTCACTCGCCGAGTGGAGACTCTGGGAGAACGAGTTTCGTCTAGAATGCCGCCTGCCACGAACCGCGTGATGACAGCCGATGAGACCGAAGAAGGGATTGTCGACTTGGTCGTCCGTCTCTCTCAGATCCGAGCCAGAAGCGACCCGCGCATTTTCGCCGCATTGTGGGAACAACACATCATGCGAGTCGAGGAGTTTGATGCGATCGAAGCAGGTGCAGCTACTACAGGTACAAAACCTCAAGTTCCCATGAAAAGTAGTCCCTTGTTATCATCATTGTTATTTCCTGAGACGTGCTATACCTAAAACTGCTACGCATCTGTGTGAATGCTAATCTTCTGTTATGTTTAGAGAGAGAGGAATCCGAACCCACTGCTGCGACCGCTTCAACCACCGGCGATTTCGGAAAAGACCCAAACGCCTCCCAATCTCACGAACCATGGATCTCTAGGGGCAATCCGATCGAGCCTGTTTTTCTCGACTCTACTCTCCTGCGACCGATCCGCCCGTCAGTCATGTCTGTCTACATCAGTGTTCACCACGTCGCCTCACCTGTCTTGCTCCCGGAGAACATCAATCTAGTCCTCAACCCGACCGCAGCTGCTTCGGACGTGTCGCAGCAAGCGTACCACTGGCTCGACGCCCCGGTGGAGGAACATACCATGCACCGCTTCTTCACCGGCATCAACTGGCGAATCAAGGACCATGCCTCCAAGATTCTTGGCTACGTGTTCAGCTATGGTTGGAACGACGCGCTGCGCTTCGTCTCTACTGGTCGTCTCGAGTTTCGTGGTCTCGCCGAGTTGGACTATAAGGTGGCACAAGAGCAAGGAACCGAGAACGGTGGAAATGAGGACGCGATGGACGTTGACGACTGTACCGCAAACGCGAAAGGCAAAGGGAAAGCCAAAGCGAGAGCCACAAAGGAATCCAAGGTCTCCCAGTCCGTCGAATTTCACCTGGTGCAGTACCGCTTCCTCGGCATGGGCTGGCAGCAACTCCAAGAAGACCTGGCTCATGCGGCAAAGAACGGCGTCCGAATCTACAGAATGAAGGTCGGTGTCATCGCTCTCGCACAAACTGCTGAGGCGTAGGCTGGTCAGCACGTTTTGCCAAAGCAGAGACAAAATGATGGCGTGGAAAGGCACGAGTTGCGGATGGTGAGGCCGGAACTAGTTACCTACTGTGAGAGTGTAGAATGCCTATGGTGGCTCGAAGTCAATGCGACTCCCTGTACGGAAATGCGATCATGGTGAGCACAGACTGGAGCAAGGCTGGGCCAAAACAATGATACTCGATTCAACATGTTGTTCTAGAATTCTCCCACTACAGAGTACTCTGTGGTTGACGGTAGAGCCTGGAGTACGTGCATCCAAAGGACGAGCGTTGTCCAGTGTTGGTGTCGTCTCAACAGTCGATGACGTAAGAACCATCTGAAATAAATCCGTACTCCGTATGGTCACGTGATCTCGACTCCAACCATCAATGCCAAGAAATCAATTACCCCCGAAATAGACTAGTGTTGACGCGCTCGCGCTCGCCTTCACAAGACCGTGTTTCCGTGTCGACCAAAATCCCATCTCAGAGCAAACGAGACTGCACTGATTGAGATCAATCCATTCCAAACACCCGATCTTCTGAACCGTCCTCCTTTCACCCCTAGGTACAAGATTGACCAACCGCCAAAAGTAAGTCGGCATGCTATCCCTGAGAAACACAACTGCTTGCTGACCCCTGCGTTTCCAGTGTTGGAAGCACGCCTTGAACAAGCATCTGCGTTGAAGAAGGTACATCTCGCGTCCTCGTGTTCAGTGGAGGATGATGACCAGAGCTAATTGTGTTCAGGTCGTCGATGCAATCAAAGACTTGGTGCAAGATTGCAACTTCGACTGCAATGACTCCGGCGTGGCTTTGCAGGCCATGGACAACTCCCACGTCGCCCTCGTCTCCATGATGCTCAAAGCAGAGATGTTCTCCCCGTACCGGTGCGACCGCAACATTGCGCTGGGCATCAACTTGAACTCGTTGACCAAAGTGCTGCGCGCGGCCCAGAACGAAGACATCCTGACCCTCAAAGCCGAAGATGCACCGGACGTGGTCAACCTGGTCTTCGAGAGCAGCGAGACGGACCGACTCAGTGAATACGACATCAAGTTGATGGACATTGATCAAGAGCACTTGGGAATCCCAGACACTGAATATGCAGCTACCATTGAGATGCCGAGTGCCGAGTTCCAGCGCATCTGCCGCGATCTGATAGCCTTGTCGGAGTCAGGTATGCAGCAACACCCAGCTTCGATGGAAAGCCTGCTGACTTTGTAGTGGCTATTGAGGCGAGCAAGGATGGCGTGCGGTTCGCTTGCCAAGGAGACATTGGAAGTGGCAGCGTCACGCTTCGACAGCACAAGAACATCGACAAACCAGACCAGGACGTGGCCATCAATCTTTCGGAGCCCGTGTCCTTGACATTCTCACTCAAGTACCTGGTCAACTTCTGCAAAGCCAGCGGCCTCTCAGGGCGAGTAAAACTGTGCCTGTCTCAGGAAGTGCCGCTGTTGGTGGAGTACGGTTTATCGGGTAGCAGCTACCTACGCTTCTATCTGGCCCCCAAGGTAAGTCGGCTCCAGAAATGGAGAAAGCAGGGTGATGGTTAACCAACTTTTCTTGCCTACAGATTGGTGATGACGAGTAACTGTGACATTGACGCGCGACTGTGACCACGACTAAATGGAGTTAAGTTCATGATGGCCGGCCTGCGCCAGACCAACGGGGAGCATACTTTGAATGGGCCGGTAAACGCTCCATCACTGCAGGGCAAATCTAATGCGAGATCAATGGCTGGGACTGATGACGGGAAGTTGGCTTGTACGATGTGTGTGTTGTGTGCCATATGGGAGTGTGTGGCTTGACACGGCGCAGTTGATATCAGCGCAGCCTTATCAGCAAGGAGGCTGGGTGGTGGCGTTGTGGCTTGTGGCTTGTGGCGCCATGCCCAATTTTCGCCTGCGCCTGTGCCTGCGCCCGTGCCTGCGCCCTATCGTGTTTTGTGGGACTCATGCCTCTTTTCCAACCGCAATTCTAGGATAAAGATAAAGCCAGTTCAGTCCCGAGTCATCATCATCATTATCATTCCAGTTTCTAGTTGTGCTTACTCCTTACTCCTTACTCCGTATCCTTATTGTGCTTTCATTCATCCGTTCCTTCTTTTCCGTGTTCATTGTCAGGACGGGAGTACCATCACCAGTATACAGTACCAGTACCCAGCACCCAGCATCCAGTACGGAGGATTCTTTCTTCTCCTCTCCATGCACGACCCGTGCAAATGGCGTCCCCTTTCCACGAGTTGTCGATCCCCGAAACCAAGGTGCTAGCCATTGCCAGCCATGTACGTACGCGCTTTTCATTTTCCTTTTCCCTTCCTCTTCCATGTCTGTGTCCGTGGGAAAAAGATACGTTACGGTGCTGGGCTGGTCCGTGGTGAAAAGATACCTTATGGTGCTGGGCCGGTCCCTGGTCCCGGTCCCTGGTCCCCGGTCCCAGAGCAGTACCGTAACCATAACCAAACCCCTGCAGAGTAGAGCTGAGCTCAGCTGACATGTGGAATTCGATTGATTCAAAAGGTTGTTTATGGGTAAGTCAGGTCTTTTTGTTCGACTCTGCCTTGCCTTTGCCTGCACCTGAACCTGCAGGATCAGGGCCTTCGGCTTCAGCTTGGGCTTCGCCTTTGCTTGCAGGATTAGGGCCTTCGGCTTCTGTTTGCCTTTGCCTTGCCTTCGACTTCGGCTTCTACGACGTCTCTCTCTTGTGCAGGAAATTAATCAAGATTGCCTTCCAGATATGTCGGTAACACCATGGCCACTTTTGTCCTGCAAACGCTCGGATGCAATGTCGGGGCCATCAATACCGTCCAGTTCAGTGAGTTGCTCCACCTCCACCTCCACCTCTCCCTCCACCATTGTTGTGTAGTGTGCAGTGTGCAGTGCAGTTCCTTGCCTTGCTTTTGCGTCTGGTGTTTCTTTTCTACCTGAATAGTTCTGGTTCTGGTTCCGGTTTGGTTCTGGTCCTGGTTTTGGTTTGGTTCTGGTTTTGTTCTCGTCTAGGTGAATGTTTCCCAGCGCGAACGAATGTCATGACACTAACAAATATATCTCTTCTAGGTAACCACACCGGCTACCGACAAGTCAAAGGACGGCGAACACCGGCATCCGAGATCCGCGAGCTCTACGACGGGCTCAAACAATCGTACCTGACCGACTTCGACGTGTTATTGTCTGGGTATGCGCCGAGCGCCGAAGCTGTCGAAGTGATAGGCCAGATCGCCCGAGACCTCCGGTTCCGCGCGACGGTCAAGCCGGGCCGCTTCTTCTGGGTTTTGGATCCGGTCATGGGCGACCAAGGCCGGCTGTATGTGGCGGAGGACATCGTGCCGGCGTACAGGCAACTGATTCGCGAGGCGGACCTCGTGGTCCCGAACCAGTTCGAGGCCGAGCTGCTCAGTGGGGTGAGCATCTCGAGTTTGGCGGGCGTGGCGAATGCCGTGCGGACGATACATAAGACGTACGGGACCAGTCATGTCGTGGTGACCAGTGTGGGAGTCGACGTCGATGTCGACACGGCGGGTGGCACCTCCACCTCGGCAGATGCGAAGAGCAAATCAAAAGGCCCAGAGACCTTGACGGTCGTGGGTAGCAGCAAGACGAAAGACGGGGCCGCCAGGCTGTTTAAGATTCAAGTGCCGCAACTGGACTGCTATTTCAGCGGCACGGGCGACATGTTTGCCGGCCTGCTGGTGGCGAGGCTGCGCGAGGCCTGTGCGGCCATGGACCTGCTAGACCGCGCCTCGTGGATGCCGGACGACTATGTCCAGGCCGTCGATCTGCCGCTGGCCAAGGCCGTCGAGAAGGTCCTGAGCAGTATGCAGATGGTGCTGGAGAAGACTCTGGCCGCGAGGAACGACGAGCTGCGCTCTTTTGGCCAAGGGCCCGGCGCCAGTATCGGCGGTGTCGAGGGCCAAGTCGCTGTCGCTGTCGGTGGCGGTGGTGACGACGAGAGCAAGAGAAGGTTTCTGGCCGAGACCAAGGCCGCCGAGGTCCGAGTCGTGCGGAACGCGAGGGATTTGACACACCCAGAGCCCAGGTACAGGGCTCAGGCTGTGGAGGTGTGAGTGCAACAGCCCGTAGGGGTGTGAATGCAATTGTGACTGATTGTCATTCTACAATTTGCCCAACAGTTCCTCCAAAATCTGAGAAAGTAATCCTTTCTGAACCTTTGTAGTGCAGAAGAGGTCGCCGTTAGGCGTCACGATATAGTCCTCGTCCTTAACTTGGATAATGCTGTAGTGCAGCGAAGCAGGTTTATTCCGTACTGCGCTCCGTCCAGATCCACGCCTAGAGTCGGGCAGAAGAGTGAAAATCAATCAATCTTGCCTACCTATCTATAGCCAGGAGAGTGGAAATCAATCAATCTTACCTACCTACCTATCTATCTATAGCCAGGCACCTACCAAGGCTCTGAAACCGCAATGGATCATCATGGCCATGGGCGGCCTGACACCGAGCTCAGCCTGCTGTCTCGGTGTCTACCTACGTAGGTAGGTACCTATAGAAAGTACGTAGGTGTCAAACTTAGGCGCATTCCCAGCCTTGTATGGAGTACTTTAACTACAAGGCTGGCTTAGGCATAATATACTATACTATACCACAATAGCCTGCAATCTCGATCTCCCTGCTACCCTATGATAGAGAACAAGGAACCTTTTGATAGTAGGTAGGGTAGGTACCTATAGAACGTACGTAGGTACCTAGGTAAGGTACTCATAGAACGTACGGATACTGGTTCATAGCGCATCCACGGCCCTAAGCCTTTGGTCGCTGCTCAAGCCTTCCAGGTTAGGTATCTAGTACTTATCACCATCACCACTAGGACATACTGTAAGTACTTACTCCGTCTCACTACTACTACCACCACCACTACTACCCAGTCGTCCTCATCCTACCTTGGGCACCTATACGGTAGGTATATGGTATACCGCAGACGGATAGCGGATAGCGGATAGTGGATAGCGGATAGATCAGAAAGTAGATAAGATGGACAGTATCGAACCGGGACTGATTCGGCGTACTTGTACTACTAGGAGGCAGAAGATCTTCAGATGCATGTACGTCCTCAGGATGAGATGTCCTGCAGTCCTCCTCTAGGGTACTGGTAAGGGTAAGGTAGGCATTCACTGGTCTCTTCTCGAGATCCATCCATCGCATCGCATCGCATCGGGTTCTGGCTCCAGTTCGTCGAGTTGGCGTCAAGAAGCAACAGGAACAGCAACAGTAACAGCAACAGCAACAGCAACAAGAACAAGAAATACATTACACGCCAGCACCAGGACACGGTCCCAGATCCAGGTCCAGAACACTTGAGGCAGAACACTTTCTCTCAACGCCGGCCAGTGAGTGTCCAACTCTATACTGATCCAAATCTATGCTGATGGATGCCGTCTCTTTCCTTTTCCTTTCCTCGGATCTATGTCACTGAATGAAACAACTCCCAACCCCCCAAAGAGTTCGTTTGTTTTTCTCGAATTGCTCATCATTCTTTCCTTGTTTCTGCTGTATCTATCGTTCAGCAATTCGATTTGATTCACATTTTCAATCCTCGTGTGGCTCATGCTCATGCTCATGGTATGCTGATGGCTCAAGCTCAAGCTCATGCTCATGCTGGCTCATCCTATGACTCATCCTGTACTTCCAAACCCCCCGGCTCCACGCACACTCTCCTCCAGACTATCGACCTCGACAATGTCGGGGGTATAAATACGTTCCAGAACAAGCTGAGCAATCCTGTCACCCTTATTGACGGCGAAATCCACGTCGGAATGGTTGAACAGCAACACCTTGACTTCGCCGCGGTAATCGGCGTCGATGACCCCGGCGCCCGTGTCGATGAAATGTTTGGACGCGAGGCCCGACCGCGGCGCCACCCTGCCGTAGGTGCCCTCTGGTGTGGCGATGGCCAGGTCCGTCGACACCAGCACCTTGCCTCGCGCCGGGATCGTGGTAGGCTTGGACGCGTACAGGTCGTAGCCTGCGGCGAATGCGGACCCGCGCGTCGGCGTCGTCGCGTCCGCAGACAGCTTCTTGATCAGCAGTGGTGGCTGGGTCGATATCTTGGCCACTGCCGGCGTGGTGGTTGAGTCGGTCATCTTGGTAGGAGCAGGGGAGGAATTGTCGCTTTTCAGTCGTTTGGCGGCCGGTGAGGTGGGCTGCGATGGTGCTCGGTGGTGCTCTGTGTTGTGTTTCGCTAGAGGAGTAGATGTAGATGGATCCGTAGATGTAGGTGCTGCGGTCATTTCTTGGGGAATTACAGGAGATGATGTCTGTATGGAAACATGGTAACAGTCCGGAGTACTGTGCTCTGTGCTCTGTCTACGTATCTGAGAAGACCGCACCACGACACACGAAACACGCAACACGACGCGTAAAGTGCCCACGGCCCGCGGCGTCGCGTCTTGCGCTTCTGCACCGTGTGCTCCGCGGAAAGAATAGTACGGAGTACTGTGGTCCGCGGATAGAATACGTTGCGGCTGTAAGTACTATGCTCCGCACCACAATCTCCGCAAAATAGCCGCGCCCCCGGGTTATTCGCCCTCACCGATCGACCTGGACTAATGGACCTCGGTTCAGCCTGTGTCTGCTCGGAAGAGTCAGACAGAAGTTCCTCGGACGGAAACGAAGCGAGGAAAGCCATAGGAATTCCGGGCGCTAGGATGCGATTGTCCATGCACTGACAACGTTCCTGGTTCTGCCAGTCGTCTCTCTCCGTCCAGGCCTTTTGTTCTTCTTCATCTCCCTTCCTCCATGAGCAGAATCCTAGTCGAGGGTTAGAGGACGAGCATGGCAGGGCCCGTACGACAACCCATCGATCTGGCCTCCTTGGAGCGCTACATCGACAGCAATGTTCCCCAGATCAAGACTCCGCTGGAACTGAAGCAGGTACCGTCTACCGTCTACCGTCTAACACCACCTCCCCAGCCCCCTCTATCCCTATCTACCCCGGTCCGTTTTTTGGCTGCGCAGTCGTGCTGATTGATGTTGTGTTCTGTTGCAGTTCGGCTTCGGCCAATCCAATCCTACGTACCAGATCACCGATGCAACAGGCAAAAAATATGTCCTGCGCAAGAAGCCCCCGGGGAAGCTACTGTCCAAGACCGCACATCAGGTAGATCGGGAATACAGGATCATCAACGCTCTCGGCCAGACCGACGTTCCTGTGCCGAAAGCATATGGCCTCTGTGAAGATGACAGTGTCATCGGCACCGCGTTTTATATCATGGAATTCTTGGACGGCCGAATGATAACTGATCCTCAATTCCCCGACGTCACCCCGCAAGAGAGGACGGAAATGTAAGATATACTCAATAACCAAAAACATCTCGTTGCTGACTTCAGGGCCATAGGTGGCGCGACGCCGTGCGAACACTGGCCAAGTTTCACCGAGTCGATTTCAACAAGGTTGGACTGGGCAATTTTGGTCGTCACGGAGGCTTCTACGATCGTCAGTTGAAGACATTTGGCACATTACAAAAGGCTCAGGCTGCCACTGAGGACGTCGACACCAAGATTCCCGTAGGACAAATACCTCATTTTGATGAAGTGGTCGACTTCTTCAAACAAAAGTCCACCCAGCCAAAAGACCGCGCAACCTTGATTCACGGCGATTACAAGATCGACAACCTGGTCTTCCACAAAACCGAACCCCGCGTCATTGGCATTCTGGACTGGGAAATGGCGACCATCGGGCACCCTCTGTCGGATTTCGTCAATCTCACATCACCCTGGGCCTGGGCGGGGCAAAAGACCGGGTCAGCCGTGGCAGATAAATCAAATGAATCCTTTGAGCCTGGACGTACCCCCGGGCTTCCCACCTTGGATCAGGTGGTGCAGTGGTATGCTCAAGAGTCGGGTTACGATCCGAGGTCCGAACTCGCCTGGGGCACAGCCTTTGGAGGATTTAGAGGGGGAATTATCATGCAGGGTATTGCTGCTAGGTATGCTCGACGACAAGCCAGTGGCACGACTGCCAAACAATATGCTGCCCAGATGGGCCCCTACGGCGAGTGGACATATGGATTGGTCAAGAAGCTGAAGGAGTCGTCCGAAGGGAAGGCGAAGCTGTAAAGTGGTGGCAACAGGCAATGGTATATATATCAAGAAGCGAAGACTTGTAAAGCTCGGTTTGTGACTCAAATCCTCGTTTTGTTGTGCTTTGTGATGTGTGTTTGGCACACCGAGGCTCTTCGATTGTACACGGTAGAGTAGAGAGACCTGCAGAACGCTTCTACTTTATACTCATCTTTTTCGTTGTTGTAGGTTTGGTCTTTGTTGACAACTTGTAGGGTGGACAGACACTGTAGCGCCGCGAGCAGAGAAGGGGCCAACGCGGCGCAAAGACAATTGAATGGGAACAATTTCACAAAGCGGGCGAGGCCCAAACGGAGACCGCCTTTGTAGAATCTTTCTGGTCAACTTCAGATCCAGCTTGCTCGGACATATCCTAGTACGACTCAAGTGCTGTGTTTCTCCAATATGCTGTCGACCCGACGCTATCGACAAGAGGTATGAGGCAGAGGGTACGGTCCTGCGTTATGATCATCGTCGACTGGTCTTTGTATTAATGCGCGCCGGGAGTTCAGTCCATTATTGCAATCAAGGCTCAGCAAAGTTTGCTGCATGTTCTTTGAGGCATAGGATCGGCGAGGCCTATAACATACAAGATGCTTCGTAGGAGGGACAGACTGGGACGACAGCCAGGTGGTGGAAGATGAGTATCCTATGCTGTTACGCCGTCGCACCAGCCTGCTAGTATCATGCTTCTCCTCGTCCTTCCCGATCTGTGCAGGAGCAAAATCATTTACCCGCTTTCCGCCGTCGTCGCCCGTAGTGAGGGCGCAGGATCGCGGGTACCTATGCAGAAGTCGGCCGAGGCAGGGCGTTGTACTAGTAGTTAGTGGCTTCACATGTAAATTGAGACTCCTTCAGAGACGATGAAGAGCATACTGATAGGCTTCCAAGCTCCGGCCTACCAGCGGCGGCTTGTCCTCGAACAGGGCCCGAAGATACGAGGTCGACCCAGCAGACCGAGTGGAGGGGGCTGAATTCTGGGTTCCTGGATGTGAATGAATTAGTCACAGCCTTCAGTATGGCGCACTAGTCTGAGACAGGAAAGTCAGAATGAAGAGGATGGAAAATTTACTGGAGCAAGACTTGTAACCCGGTCCATCGAATTGGACGGTGGAAAGGTGGAAAGGTGGAAAGAGAAACGCAGTCCAAGTGCAGTGTACGGAATAGCGCAGTGCGGGACAAATCACAGCCGAGCAGGCCAGTGCCGAACATGGTTTAGCGCGGTAAGGTATTGTCGATCCCCTTACTAACAGGCCGCAGGTACCTGTGATTCTACCTACCACGTACTACCTGGGAGGTACCTACTAGAGTACTAGGAAGTACAATACGTTATACAGTACGGAGCACGGAGTACTTCAGGTACCTTAGGTACATGTACCAGGTAGGGACCTAGGACGGGACCTAGGGACTTGGAGACCTGGGAATCTAGGAACCTAGAGACCTTACTACATCAGGTAGACACTTACTACCTAAAACAGCTCAGCCCTAGTGGGGGAAGCAGAGGGGAGCCATTCGATAATTAGCAGAATTAGCAGATCCGCTGCACCGCTGGAATGGAGAGGGAGATGGATCAGCCTAGGTAAGTATCCGTACCCTATCTACTGCTGCTATACCGAACCGACCCAGGCACTGCAGATATTCCCCGGTAGTCCCCAGTAGGTGCTATACATACCTTCAAGGTTTGTCGACAGATCCATCCACGGCCCAGAGAGGATTCCACCTGATTTCAAATCCCACACGTTTTGGATTGTCATTAATAATACTCCATACTGCCACTGCCACCTAAACAGTAAGATACCTACCTAGTCAGATGGCCAGGGTTGAACGGGAGAAATCCGCCGTGAGCATTGACTGACTGCCTCGCGGCCCATGATGCCGTAATGCAGTAGTCGTGGAGCTGCATAATCATCAACATGCGATGTAACGTCCTGCCCACCGCCCGAGCCGTCTTCTGCCTTGTGTGGCGCCATGATGACACAGCATATCGGAGAAACACAGAACACAGCAGCTGAGTCGTCCGAGACTGCAGTGCCCTGCAGCCCTGTATCTTCGCACTAGTACCCTGAAACGAACACGGCTTGGGCTGCAGGTGAGAAACCGGGGTCCAGACTCACCGGTTCACCATTGATTAGATGTCGAGCGACGATATCAGAACTTGAATGACAAGACACCTACCTCCACGAGAAGATTTCCACGCTTGCGCATGCGAGGAAACCAGCGTGGCTCGTCTTTCCGCACTCGGAAAAAGGAAGGAATATCATCCAACTATCTATTTACCTACCGCATGGTCGATCATCAGATAATCATCAGATCATATGGTCAGATGAGGGCACCGGGCGGAGAGGATGACTCAGTCACCGCGCCTGGACTCGTAAAATGGCCATCCCCCCACAAAAGGCCACCGCCGACACCGACACCGACTACAGGGATCCTGTCTACACGATACAGCCCTCGCAAGTGATGCCGGATCGGTCGACGAGGACGATGATCGTTTCTTACGCACGCTATGTACAGTAGGTTTGCAACTCGGCGGAGCCATGCCAGCGCTCTCCCAACGACTCTTTGTCCGGCGTAAGCGAGCCGCTTTCCTCGACATGCCCATGTCAGCCTCCTGTACAATGCCTGCAGCACAGACAGGAAACAGGCAACTGCCGATCCGTCATTTCTTCAGAAAGGTGATTGCTTCCAGTCCCCAATTCCGGTCAAGTCAAGGAGTGTGGGCATGTTACATGTGCATCTTGTATCTGAACGCCCGGGGCCGGGGCCGGGGCCGGGGCCAGGGCTGGGGTCGGGGCCATGATTGCTATCGTGGTTCTACAGTAGCAACAAGGTTGCTTCTCAGATGCATTTATCCCGGCCCCAAGCCCCTGGCGCCTGGCGTCTGGCCCCAACCCCAACCCTGGTCAGCACCCCTGGAACCACGGGCTGCGAACCCAATACGTGGTCCTCCTCGTGCCACGGGCCGCGGCTTTCACCTTTCACCCTTGATCATGAAACATTTCTCGCGGTCGATGTTGTACGACTGGCTTCCAGATCACTTTTTACGCCCTAGACTCTAATGTTTTAGACTCACCGGTGTGAAGCGGGATATTTATGACGCCACTGCGACTCTTGTCAAACCGGTGCATGAAACTAACGCAAACAATGTGAGCGGTGTTTCGAGAAGGACGATATGAGTATCCGTACACGATAACGCAAACATGAGCGGTCTTTCGAGCCATAATCTGTTACGGATATACATCTCCATCTCTGAGTGGTCTAATTGTAGCGTGAACCTGAACATTACACTGAACACCACTCTGAACATCACTCTGAACTTCCACTCTGAACCACTCTGAACATCCTCTCTGCACATTCCACCACTGGGATACAGCTCCAGGTGGAGTGGGAAGGGTTTGCACGCTTGTGCCATGTGATGGTGACAGCGTCTGAACTCCGTTCCTGTACCTTGTACTATACCTTGTCCCTTGTACCTTGCAGTAGGGTTGACTGTGAATGCGAGCACCGAGGAAAATCGAGAAGAGAGAAGCAACAATCGGCAGCGTGGAGGAAAGACAGTGCCATGAATGATGGTTTAGTGTCTATAGCATAATATCATGCGTTCGTCCACATTGCACATTGCACATTGCACATGCATGCCTTGTCCCACTCTTGCCTCTTGCCTCTTGCCTCTTTGCCTCTTTGCGGACTATCGACCACCTGCTGGGTTTGCTCTATCGCTACCTACCTTACTGGCACCAGGTCGGTCGCTACCTTTCATGTTCGGTTTAATTCCCGCCCAATTGCATTGCTCGCCAGAAAAAAAAAAAGGTTCGATGAACGGCCGCAATTGTTATCGGCACGCATGAGTCATGACATGCATCTACGTCAGACATCTGGGTTAGTATCCGTACTCCGTCTATAGTACCTACGTATGTATATGTGTCGGTACACACACGCTTCGTATTTCGTACTCTGTAGACTGTATCATCCTTGAAAGTCATGACCTGGCCTGAACTGACTGAACTGAACTGAACTAATCTATACTGACCTAACCGACCTGACCTGATCTATACTGCCCTGCCCTGCCCTGACTTGACCTAACCTGCCCTGATACCGACACAGATAAATCACGTACAGAGTCGATACGGATACGCTGTAGAGATACGCCACGAGAGGACGGATACGCCACCAACGCTATACGGATACGCCATACGAGAGGAGAGGACGGATATGTGTATGCGTACCTATGCATACTACCTACTACCCAGGGTCTAAGGTAAAGTGTTAGATACTTTAAAGTGTTGATAAGGACGTCCAGTCGAATCGCATACAGTACTCCGTACACGTGTTGCGGCATGTGCTCGTGCCTAGGCACGCCTGCAAGTATTCCCGTACAGAAAGACTATGTCCTTCTTGCTCTGGATCGACCACACGTACTGTAGGTACCTACCTAAGGTACGGAGTATATCTGTACGGATGGGATACCTGACAATTGCTAACAGATGTCGCTATTGTAGCAGTAGTAGTAGCAGTTGCAGTAGCAGTAATAGCAGGAGCAGCAGAGCAGTAATAGCTGTAATAGCAGTAGCAGCAGTAGCAGCAGTAGCAGCAGTAGCAGCAGTAGCAGTAGTGGTAGTGGTAGTAGTAGTAGCAGTGGTAGCAGTAGCAGCAGCATGATTAGCCGTGGTGGGACGTGGCAGAGCAGTGGCGTGGCTGTACGGATACTGTACTGTAACCGCACCGACCCAGCCCCAGACCTTGCTTGCCCTTGCTCTTGCCTTTGGGCCCCGTATCCCTCCCTCCCTCACTCCCTACCTAGCTGTACTGTACCTATATGTAACTTACGGGGTACCTTAGTTACCGTGCAGAGGACCATACGAGGCAGGGCCAGGAAGGGCGGTTCACAGTACCTGGTAGTACAGTACACAAGTGCATAGACATAGGTCCTGAGATTTCCCTACCTGGCTTACTTACATGTAGGAAGTGTGGCTTACTGTAGGCCAAGGCTGAAGGAGACCCAAAACTCGTTGGGGCTGGGGCTGGGGCCGGGCGACTCGCACTCGAAACGATCCGATCAGGTAAGTAAATACACCGTCCACCGTCCACCGTCCACCTAGCCTCTATTGATTGATGAGGAAATGAGGAATGAGGGATCAAGGATCAAGGGATCATTTTGTTGATTTGGGGCTTAGAGCCATAGGGCACAGTCCACAGGGCACAGGCCACAGGGGAAGGGGAAGGGGAAAGGGAAGGCAAAGCCGATCCCCAACGGCGATCCCCTAATCCGCTCGACGCTATACCTAGAACCGGATATCATCGCGAGGATGGCGTACGTACTCCGGAGCACACTTGTACTTGTACTTGTACTTAAATTTAAACTTACTTCTAGGTTAGGGTTAGGTATATCTACAACTTACTTTTCCACTGCCTACTGCGGGTATAGTATAGTATAGTACGTACTTAGGTTGCCGACTTGAGAGCCAACGCTGGGCCACGAGATTGTGGATTGGATTGGATTGGTTTTGTGCCGACAATAATGACCACTCACTGACCACTGACCACTGCTCTGTCGAGCTTACCTAGGTCCCGTACCTGCCGTACCTACCCTACTACCTAAGGTACTACCTAGTACCTATACAAGAGTGGAGGCTCTGTAGGTAGTAGGTAATAGGCAAAATGTACAAGACCCGAGACTCCCCTCCCCAACAGAGCGAGTGCGTACGTCACCAGTGACTGTGACTAGTTAGTGACTATACCTAAGGTAGATATTGTACCTAATAGGTGTCGGATTACTCCGTTACGTTGGTACCCGTACAGATGGTAGATACTACAGCTACAGCTACAGATACTACAGCGACAGGTACGGCTAGCGACAGCAGCTACCGGTATCCCTACAGAACAGACAAGAGCTGAGCTGAACTGAACAGAACTGAACAGAACTGAACTGAACTGAACGGATTAGGTCTCAAGCCTCAAGCCTCGATTCTCGATTCTCGGTTCTCATTCCTGGAAATCTTGGAAGATAAAAGAGGGGAGAGAGACACACAGACACACAGACACACACACAGATAGGAGACTCGCAGCCGTGGAAGGAAAATGTTGATTCTGGCAATCATGTACCGTATATCGCTGGAATACCAAAACCAAATAGTGTAGCCTGCTGCTCCTGCTCCTGCTCCTGCCAGTAATACTAACACTTCAATTGTCTCAATGTCTTTGCCGGGCGTCGAAGAAAGGTGGACGGGCCCCATGCAACTTTTATCATCCTGCATGCCTGCATTTCTTCCGATCATTTTCTTCGTTGGCCGTCTAACGCTGCTGTCGCTCATATGTCTGGTCGTGTCGTTGTCGGCCCTTAGACCGCGAGCAGACACTCAACTGTTCATGGTTCATGGTTCATGCTCATGGTCCATGGTCTAGGCGTTCTTCGGAGAGGGAGATTCGTTGATCCGTTCAAGGATCTCTTCTTGGTTCCCATTTATCCGCCCTGTTCATACACGATCGCGAATCGGTTCATCTCCGACGCGGACCAGAGCTAGAGACAGACCCGGAGCCGGAGCCTAGACTCGCGCTTTGAGGCTCCTGCTTCACCTCTTGCTTCAGCTCCTGCTTCAGCTCCTGCTGCTGCTGCTGCCGCGGAGGTTGGACCTTGTTGTGAATACGTCTGACGTGATCCTTCATATTATCCATGCGCGAAAAGACCCGGGTGCATTCCTGACCATTGGTCCCGCGCCATTCACATTTGATGCCCGGGTTGTGCTTGGCCTCGTGTCGAGCTCGGTCCTTCTTGGAACTGAATCCTCCGCTCAAAGGCTGGTCGTTGGAATTGGCTCGCGCGGTTGCTGCCCCTTCGCTCTGTGGACATCCTTCAATTCGACAGAACAGGTGCTTACTGTGTCGGTTGTAATGCTTCCTTAGGTCACAGCCACGCGTAAACGTAGCCCGAGAAGTGCACCCAGGAAACGCGCATCTCCAGGATGGCATCATACCGCCGCCTGCTTGGTGGGCTGGTGAGGAAGTCGGACTGAAAGGGTTGTTGAGCATGGTGGCTCGGTCGCCCACGGGAATGCCGTACGTGTGAAGGGAGTTGCTGGACGACGTCGACGTTGACCGAAGGGGAGGGCGGAGCGTCGCTGGCTCCCTGGAATGAGCCCGGCCAGCGGCATCCGGGACAGATTGGACTGGACTGCATGACCGTGACAAGGACGGCACGCTGCTTCGGTGGCTACGGGAGCTGCGGTGCGAGACCTGAGAGAATGATGGTGAGGCGATTAAGTGACGATTCGTGGGCAAAGTGGTGGAAGGTGTGTTGAAGTCAAAGGCCATGCGCATGCCGTGGTTGATGTTGTCGCGAGGCGTTGGAGGAACGATGTTGGCCAGACCATGCGGCGTCGGGGGATGGGGGAAGCTGGTGAAGGGGGTCTGGGAGTTCGGGTCGTACGGCAGCAGAGGGACCGTTGGGGGGTAGTTTGAGTAGGAAAACCATTGGTTCTGTGCGTACATGGTATATGGGTTGGCCGCGGAGGTCGCGATGGAATAGGATGCCATGGATGATCCATCTGAGCCAGGCGGCAGTGGGAAGGAGCCTGAGTTCGTCGAGCTATCCTCGAAAGACAAGTGTTGTAGGTCGTGGGTCTGACCGTCCGACGACATGGACACTGGCGGTAGCATGTTGAACATGGAATCCGATGGCACTGAAGAGGCGTGGCCGCGCTGTGAGGGAGCGGGAGAAGGATAAGTCAGTCCAGGGAGTGACGGTGAGCAGGTCAGAAAGCTGTTTTTCTCAAATTCGTCCAAGTCGCTTGACGGTGGGGTCATGCACAAGATGCGGTCCTGGCTGTCAACGGCCATCGTCGTCGGGGCGGTAGCCTTCTTTTCTTCTTTTCCTCTCACTCACTTCGGAGGCTGGATTGGTTTGGGATTGGAATCAGAAGTCGGGGAGGTGGGTGGTGCATATATATCTGGCTACTCCGGTCCAGGCACTGGTTCCCATGGAGGTCCAGGATTGATGATGCGGCGATTAGGAGAAGACAAATGGCCAGGTTCGATGGAAACGTGGGAGAGCAGAAAGCAGAGAGCAGACAGCGGACAGCTCACCTGGGGGCGAAGAAGGGCATATGAATAGTACTGTAATAATGTATGCTTCGGTCGAGCAAAGCTAGAGCCTGAGTGGTGTGGTGTGGTGCCTGTTCGCCAACCGATGACTCGGTTTAGGGCGGATGGGCAACCTCGTAGGGCTACGAGGACCCCGGTTGATTGCTGACAACATCCTGGTGCCCTGGTCCCTGGTCCCTGGTCGCTGGTCGATCGCTGGGACGGCACCGCTCATGGCTGAGCCAGGAAGGCTCTGAAAGGAGGGCACCGGCGCAGACTCTAGCGGTCTCGCGGGCTGGAGACTCGAGGAGGAGAGAGTGGAGGCCGCGTGTGGGAATGGGAAAAGGGACATTTGAAGAAAGGTGGAGAATCAGATACCAGAGATGAGTGGGCGACTGGAGAGGAAGGCTTGACTGGCTCGTGCCGGTAGGCTGATACAGACGCAGACGATACTCCGTATCCGTACTGGTGTGCTGACTCTGAGCCCGGGAGCCGGTGAACGGTGCGGTGAGGTGTTTGGGTAACACAGGAGGAGTAGTAGTACTCCGTATCGGCATGGGTATGGCTATGGGTCTGGGTCTGGGTATGCGTATGCGTATGCGTACGGAGAGTGTTCGGCAAGCTGGGCGTCGTTTACTAGCGCCGCCCATGGTCATGCCCGGCTGCGTCTCTGCCTCCCTGCCTCCCTGCCTCTTTCTGCCTCTCTGCCTGTCTGGCTCGCTGGTGGTGTCGAGTTCACCGTGAGTTCACCGTGAGTTCACCGTACAACCAGGATGCGGAATGGGTGCAACTGTACCACAAAGGCGGAGGGGCCCAGCGGTGTCGGCAGTGCAGTAGCGCAGACGCCAGGCCACGGGTAGGGCTAAATTTGACAGAGGCCCCTGTAGGTGCCCTGTTCGCTGAAGGAAAAGGACGGCCGGTTGATTGGCATGGTGCATGGCCATCATTCTGACTAGGCACCCACCAGATCAAGCTCTCTCTGGCCTCTCTCGCGCTTCTCTCTGGCTTCTCTGGCCTTTGGCCTCTGTCCGTGATGCTCGGCCGAAGAGAAGTGGTCCTCTTGGACTGTTGTGGTATATCCACATCCCCCACCCTGCCCTGCCCTGCCCTCGCGGCGTGCATCTGCATCTGCGAAGAATTGTTGGCGGGTCGGAACACAGCCTGCTTGCTCACTCGTGGCTCTGGCTCCCCTCCTTTCCCACCAGGAAACCCTGTTGGCCTGTTGGTCGTTTCAAGGTTGCAAGTTCCAACCGGCAGTGCTCCAAGCCCAAGCCACCGGCTGCTGGCCCTGCTCGAGAGTTTCTGTGATGATTGATCTGCGATCGGCAGAACTGGACAGTGGACACTGGACACTGGACAGTGGGACACCGAATACGAGTCACCACTCCACCACTCAATTTGGCCCCGTTCCACTCTGCAAAAGTCCACCCAATGGCCCATGCTTGGTCCGACTCGGAGACAAACGGTGTTAGCAATTCTTAATGTCGCCGTTCCCCGTTCCCCGTTCCCTATTCCTGTCCGCATCACTGTCACCGTCACTGCTACCATCACTGTCGTCGCGGGTCGGTTTTCGAGAGAGGCCATTGTCATTCGTCAAGTCCTGCCACCAGAACTCATTTGAAGATGTGTTGCTGCGCACCGTGGTCATGCTCACTCTAACTCCGACTCCGATCTGTCTGTCGTGTTGGAGACGATCTTTTGTTGATACTCATGCTCATGCTCACGATCACGATTCCTCTTGTCAGCAACCAGCCGCTGTCTCTTCCAGCTTCCATCTTCGGGAGCCAATCAGCTGGTCCGCCGTCCACCAGGCGTCGCAAGTCTGTCGGATACAGAGTTCAAGGTTTTAGCTGCGACTGGACTGTTGAGTTGCCGTAGCATTCACTGTCGAACACTCTACAGTCCCGCGAGGCTCATTGACTCCAGGATATTTCAAGATAGGGCCGCCGAGCTAAGTCTTTGAATCAAGCCGTGACTAAGGCCAGACAATTTTCCAGGGCAGGCTCCGTAAGTCCAAAACTCTGGGAGGTGCCACCTTTTCGATGGAAGACAGCCGAGATCGTGGGAGATAATCTTTCGGACATCTATCCAAGTTGAACTCTGTGAGAACTCAGGTGACATACAGAGACAGGTATATTCATAGACCGAGGTTCCTGTTCTTGTGCGAGCAGAGCGCAAATGGTACCTGGCAACTGTCGATGACAGTAATGCTTACACCGAGACGTGGCAATCGACCTGATAGAGCCGTCTAATGTAGAAGGCACGAGCTTCCAAGTTGCCTGTCCCTGGTTGTGTAACCTTTGACGGGGATTCTAAACAAGCCGCAGGGTTTCGATCGCCGCTTCGTAGAAGGACAGACTCGGGGGATGACCACTGGCTGGGATACTCTGTAATCAATCGGTCGAATAGCCCCTTTCCTAGAATAACCCCGGGCTTAAGCAAAACTTTGGGGTGTCCTTCCTGAGCAGGCTACTGACAACTACTCCGTACCGCGATCACAGAATACTGTCCAGTTTCCAGGGGTTCGGAACCAATGACACTGGATATTGCCGTTTCAGGCATGCTAATATGCCAAGAGCCTCAAGGTAAGCCGTCCAGACTGTCCAGATTGTCTATGTATAGCTGTGACTGCGGCTTAATTGTGGATGACTGTCGATCACGGCTTCGAGTCGCCACGCAAATCGATCGGTGTGGCTCGTTCATCGAACCGTGGCCTCCGGGCGGTGGGATTCAAAAACTCAACTCGACCGACGTCATTCGAAGGCCACGCTGAAGCAAGGTTATAACAAACTGTGCAACAACTAGATCGCAGGGGTAGCTCGACCACGCCCTGGCGAAGGAAACATCAAGAAACCGTCCCGTCTGGCTTTCGGTTTCTTGGGGTGACAGAAGGACCAAACTTGTGGGTTGAGGCATATGGATCATCACAATTCCCGTAGGCAGAGCCAGTCAATCATCTGTCATGCACGGGCGGCACAATAGACTTGCAGCCGGACGTTGCATCCAGACAGGCAGGGTCAAGCATGGATGGATGCCTGCCTAGGGTACCAGGTACAGGCGTCGTAACAAGAGTTTGAGTCATCAAATCCAAGGATCCGCATCCGTCTCTGAGGATCTCGCTGAAGTGGCAAGCTCTGATGCCTGAGAGAGTCGCCGACTGCAGACTGAGCACAACTACAGTCATGCTCACGGTGGTGGTGAAGTTCAACTGCGATCTCGAACTTTCAAGTTGAAGGTGAACCTGGCCTGGGCATGCGGTTGGGGTTAACCGTTTCGGGTTAGCCTCGCGAGAGGACTATCACGTGACAGTTTGGCGCCTTTGGCATGTTTGCTCCCCGCCAGTCGCCTGTCACCTGACCCCTGTCACCTGACCCCTGACTCCCTTGGGGCGCTTCAAACGCAGACGGCGGGCGCGTGGCCCAGGCTCTTCTTCGTCCTTTTCATCCATCAAGATGTCTTGTTTGAGAATCGTAATCGTCGTCTGATTAATGTTCCCCTTGTCGTTCATCTTGATCCGCGTTTGATTCGACTGCTGCCCGACCGTTCTCCTGGTTATCTGTCGCGGCGACCATGGCTGCCCCCGCCCCCAGCAGCGCAGGGATTGTGCATCCTGACGACCGCCAAATCGTCGAGAAGTTGGCCAAGTTGCAGGATATGTATCAACAGGTAAGTCTATACTGTTCCCCTGGCAAGCCGTGACACCGTTTCTGCCCATCACCAGCCGCCCACGGGATGAGGATGCTGACCTTTGGGAGATCGGTGCGCTGCGGACTCTCTTGCCCGAGAAACTGATCAACCCAACTCGGTTCGCACTGGACAACCCCGACGGCTATGATCCCGAGAAGCTTGCTGCTTTTCTGCAGGGTGCCGCCCAAGCAGGCAGTCGCGACATTGGGAAATTCAAGCGGGACTGGCACAGTGAGAACGTGCGAGGACTCTGGCACACTGTCAATACCAACGAACTGCCTCAGGGTGCAGATGCTTGGACTGTCGACTACGAGCTCCTTGCCCGCGAAACTGGCGCCAAAGATGACCGTAAGGCGGCCATCAATGCCGCCGATGATCAGTTTCAGCTGCCTACCCAGGCTGATACCGCCAAGATTGTCAACGACTTTCGAGCCAGGTACCCAGCACTGAAAATAAAGGTGTCTAATGAAGTCGACATCCTGCCGATCGACCTCAATGTTGCCCATCTCGACTTCTGTGTCGACCGAGACCAAACATCGGGAAATGCGCAGTACACAGTGAAGGGTCGTCCCACCAATCAGCCATCCTTGCTCCGAGACGAGATCGTCAAGACCATACATGCCAGTGATGGAGCCACTGGTCTTGCTGACATACTAGTGAGATAGAACCCTGAATTCCCCTTTTCGCAGACTGAACCCATGTAGGACATACTCGCCGCTTACCGTGACATCAAAACAAGACCTTGCGACAAGTGCAGCAAACTTTTCAGCAACACTAAACTGCAACTTCCGTTGATCAGACGGCTGAAGACTGGAGTAGGCGAGAAGGAGCCACAGTTCGTCGCCCTCCACCGAGACTGTGCGTAAGATTTTGGGGGCTCAGGAGACAACCGTGCTGCTGCGGTAGCCGGCTGATCTAAACCTCTTTGACGGCTTGAAAAACTCATGTTTCCGTCGCGGCGCTTCCTGAGTGCCTCATAATTTCACGAGCATGCCGAGATGTGCATTTGCACGGTAGCATCGTCAGGTCTCAGCCGAGGATGACTCGTACCCATGCGAAGGCTGCAAAGCGTCCAGGAAATGAGTCTCTAGACCAAGGAAATAGCGCGGGAGGTAGGCATTTCCACTTGCGCCTGGACGAAGTGTCGATCTCGAGCAATGGTTGGTTGAGAATCGGCTTCAGCCTCGAGATCAGAACACCATGACTTGTGCCCAGGCCCTACAACTCTGGGTTTGGTGTGAAGACTATTTAAATATCTTGGCTGGGTTCCAGGAACTGTGAATGTCGGCGAAGACTCCAGCCAAAAGAGGCAAAGCGTCATAGCCTGAATGCCTCACTTCGGTTCAGGTGAGATGAAGATTTACTGAAGCTCCTCTTACATGCCATCAGAGCATGGACGCAGTCCTGACCATCAGCCACGAAAACAACCAGCCATGCAAGCAAACGAGTCCTCCGCCAGGTCCATGATTTCAAGTTTCGGTCAGCTGAACAGCGTAATACCTTGTCGCGGTGATTTGACAAAGAGCAAAATCATCTCCGGCGCATATCAATCTCAGACAAGGACATTGGACACTATGCTTGACTCCTGGGGAGTTCCCGGCCGGACTCATATCCGACACCAATCCTGGGATGGATTGACGAGCAGCTGTGCCAATCTCTCCATTAATCACCAGTTGTTTACCATGCCCTCAAACACCCGTGGAAAAACAGCGGACAAATCAAAGCAGAAAAGACCTCGAAGAAAGCGACCCGCGGACGGAAACAGGGTGGCTGAACGACGACCTCATCTACCGCAACCGCAACCAACCAGCGAGGGACTATCGGCCAAGGCAAGACTGCGCATGGAGACGGATGTCTTACGACGACGAATTGCTGTGATTGAGAGGTGTGAGCGTCGCAAAGAACTGCGCCGCGTTGCATCCGATGGAATACAGTCTAGCAAAAGGCAGAAGGCGGAGAAATGGACAGTCGTGAAGACAGAACGCAGGATGATCGACTGGGATGAGCCGATCATACGCTGAGGTCGATTGGGCATTTCAAGATGAGGACGACACCCTGGGAGCGGATTTCTGTCATGTCATCTTGACCGTTGTCCTGACGAGAAAGGCTGTGGACTGTGGAATGGCGATATCAGATTGTCATTCGGATACCATCTGTACTAGAGTTCGTGGGCATGGGCAGTCAGGAGAAGCCGACCTTGAAGCATTGGGCTTCGGGCTTCGGGCATTGGGCATTGGTTTCGTGTCGCTGGAGCTGACAGGTAGCTGAGCGGCGCGTGAGGAAGTGCAGAGACTGGAAGAGTGGTGGGCGGCGGGAAACGCAGTCAGACTTACTTACTTCCCATATCCCACACACAGCTCTTCCCTCCCTGTACTCTGTGTGTATATTATGGACTGCCGGCAAAGGCATGGGCAGAGGCAGAGGCATAGCATAGACAACTGTGATGGTGGTTGTCACTGGTGAATGCTGAATGCTGGTTACTATGGAGTGCCAAATTAAGACATGACTATGCCGTATCCGGTTAATGTCCGGTCGTGGCGGCCAAATCGGGGAAGATCCTGAAGCGGCGTCTTTTTGTTGTGGCTCGAGACTGTCGCCAGGGTGAGACACTGACACTCGACACTCGACACTCAACACCAAGTGCAGGCAGGCCATCATCGTTCTTTTCCCTCTCTCACACACACGTCTTTTTCTTCTCAGCGTCTATTCTCTCTGCCGTATTTCTCCTGCCCTTGTGCATCCCCTCGCTACTCTATACCATTCAGTCGTTATTTTTTGATCTTCAGCACAACCAGCTTCTCAACCCACCTCACTTTCGACTGGACCCGACGACCTCCGCCCTGCAAAGCCCCGTGCCCTCGGAGATCCGAAGATGAAAGGCTCTGGCCCCTTGTCGCTCTTCTCGACCCTCCTCCTGTTCTGTATCGCCTTCTCGTCGGCCTGGCCATGGCCGGGGTCTTTTGGCAAACATGAGATTGAAGCCCTGGTGGTGCGGCGAGAAGAGCCAAAAAAGACGGACTCGGCCTCTGCCACAGATGATGCGGCAGCCTCGACGGCAGCTGCTTCAGCATCAGGAAGTGCGGCGTCTGCATCCGCCTCTGCATCTGCCTCGGCCTCAGCCTCAGCGTCTGCATCCGCATCAGGGTCCGCATCAGCTTCGGAGTCGGGGAAAACCAGTGCCTCGAAATCCAAGAGCAAGACAAAGACCACCAGCAGTAAAACAACCGCCATCGACCCTCGTCTCCCTCCAGGCGGGATCTCTATGATCACGCCTGCGCCAATCGATGGTGTCCAGTACTATAAAGTCGGGGACTATGTCACATTCAAATGGAATTACACATCCCTTTCCGTCACTCCGTCGGCGATCGATGTTCTGGCGTCTTGTGCCATCAATTCCGCTACATATACTATTGCATCGAACATGTCGGTGGAAGAGACGGGAGCCGTGACTTGGGATACTGGCGAGTTTCAATCAACAGCCACCGACCCCTTTCCGGTGGCGAGTTACACTTTGATTATTCATGATGCGTCCAAAGACGTGACCGATGTGCCGTCTGCAGGATATTTAGGCGCATATCAGCAATATGTTTTTGGAATGTATACAGGGTAAGTCCTTGTGCTCAATTGTCCCACAGATGTGAAGAAACTCAACGCGTGGCAGGCAACCGTACCAACCCCTGAACGAGTTCAAATGTGCGACCTGTAACGGAGCGCTCTCGATGCACGAAAAACAAGCCGTCGGTGTTTTGTTGATGACTGCAGCAATCACGGTCATGTCTTTTACGTGGTTTGCCACTGGATTTGGCGTCTTTTCATGACCGGGCCACGGTTCCGCCACATATATACTCGCATCTATTCCATATTTAACGAAACACCAATCGGATGACCAATTCTGACGACCCGAGTTGTATACAGCATAGCGATCTTGAAAACATCTTCTTTCGGAGTTTGTGGGTGGCGGGGCCGTCAAACGGACGGCTTCGTGGTAATTTATCGGGAACATACATATTATGGACGGGGGAAGAGGATAGGCGCATCCTAGCGACCAAGCATTTGGAATGCAAAAGAGACGACAAGAAGTCTTTCCAGGATAAGGAAAAATCGTCTCCAACGGGAGTAATTGTGGGTGGACATTTGTTTGAGCATTCTAGGACGGACTGATGGAAACATGTACTCGCTCTATTTGCCCACAGGGTCAATCCACTGTCGCTGCAACTGCAACTGCAATTCCCAATTGCTCGCCGCAACCCGGTCAAGTGCAACGCAAATCCATTTGGCAAGTCGTCGTTCAACTGGTCCATGTGCAGGATTGAAGATACTTTTCTCTGCGTGATTGGTGTCCCTCTTGGGTCCTCTGTCCCCGGGATCACATACTGAGGAGACATGGACGTGACTGGTCGAGTTGGAGATGTCGACGGTCTTTGTCACTGCTGTCCATGTCCCGATTGTCATGTCACTGTCCTGCCTGCGACGGTTGGCCGACGGTTGGTTTCTGACGAATTTGACAAACTTGTGTCTTGTCACCCCTTCCTGTTGCATGTGATTCTTCGCATCTTGTCACCCCTTCCTGTTTGTTGCATGTGGATGCTTCGGATGTTTGTGTGAAATGTGAAGAAGCGTGAGGAAGCGTGAAGGTCAAGAAGTACAAAAAGCCCCTATCTTCTATCTTGTACTCCCTTTGAGTTTCTGTGCCCGATCATCGAGAAAGCATTCCATTGATCCATTGATTCCATTGATTCCACCCCTTCTTTGGTCTCTTTACTTTGAGTGCGACCGCTAATCCTGGTATCCCTCGGTGAAGTGAGAAAGATCCCACCGGTCGGCCATTGCTATCCGTGAACTTCAAGCCTTATCGAGACGATTTTGGAAACCTGCTTTGCGAGACGATTTGGAGAACCTGCTTTAGGCATACGAGACCGTCTCCCCGTGCATTTGGGCCATCCTGTGGCTAGAGACTACACTGAGACCGAGACTGCAACACGACATACCGCATACCGCAGCACCAGATCTTGTGCTTGCGCCACGTCAACCTCAACCTCAACTGTTAACCTCAACCGGTGACCGTCAAACGACAAACTCAACCGTCAACCGTTAGCCGTCAAACCTCAACCGTCAACCGTTAGCCGTCAAACCTCAACCGTCAACCGTTAGCCGTCAAACCTCAACCGTCAACCTCAACCGCTGACCGACGACCTACCCCAAGGTCACTCAGTTTACGACTCAAACCATAAACCGTCAAACGACAAACGACCTAGCCCAAAGTCACTCAGTCTACGACTCAACCAACCACCAGGTTACCTAGGACTGCTATCATCATAGGACTGCAATCATCATCACTGTCCAACATTCAACATTCAACGATGCCTCAACCGTCGTCGTCATCAACCAAACCCATCCGACCCTCCAACTGGCTTCCAGAACACGACGCCTTCATCCGCCGCCACGCCCGACACGGCGAAGACGCCACCACCATCGTCATCCTCTTCGAGACTGAGTATTCCGCCGTCCGGGTGAGTCAGGCTTGGGTGAAGGAGAGGATGGGGATGTTGGGGTTCCATTAGGTGAGGTGTTGGGAGGTGTTAGGTCGTCATCTACTTCGAAACTGGGTATTGGGTATTCTTCCGTCCGGGAGTCAGGCTGGGGTGAAGGAAAGGAGAGGATGAGGGAGTTGGGGTTCCATTAGCTGAGGTGAGGTATTAGGTCGTCATCCTCTTCGAGACTGAGTATTGAGTATTCTTCCGTTCGGGAGTCAGGCTTGGGTTAAGGAGAGGATGGGGTGTTGGGGGTCCATTAGGTGAGGTGTTAGGAGGTGGTTAGGTTAGGTGGTGCTTGGACGTACGCTACGTGGTACGTGGTATGGTACGTGGTACGTGACTATTACCTATGGCTATGGTTATGGTTATGGGTATGGCTATGGCTGTGGCTGTGGATGACTATGGCTATGGCTATGGATGGCTATGGCTACGGCTATGTGGATGGGTATGGGTATGTGTGTGTCCGCCCCTTACTAAGATCAGCTTGAGCCGGACAGAAGCAGAAGGCTGGTGAAAGTCAAAGAGAGAGAGAGAGAGAGAGAGAGAGAGAGAGAGATTGTGTGTGTGTGTGTGTGTGTGTGTGTGTGTGTGTGTGTGTGTGTGTGTGTGTGCTCTGAAGTAGGATGTTGTTGTTTTCGTTTTCGTTTTCGCTTTCGTTTTATTCGAGACACGCTTTAGACTAGCGGACTAGTGTACCTAAGTAAGTGCAATCGAATAGATTGAAGAGAAGAGGTTGAAGACGGAAGACGAAAGACGAACAAAAAACCAACGGTAGAAATATATATTATATCGTATCGTCGTATAAGAAGAGCGATAGGCACGCAGACAGATAGAGACAAGACACGACAAGACAAGACGAGACAAGACACGACGAGATGAGATGGAGATGGATATGGAAAACAGTGGCATGATTCATCTCCTACCTAAGGATGATAGGCCCATGTCTATCTATACGGCATAGCATCTATATCCATCATTGATGTTCGATGTTCGATGTTCTATGAATCCTGCATCTACTTACCTTAGGTATGTAAGGTAGTCTTTCGTACGGAGTCCATGTATATCTAGTTGCTGGTGTAGGGGCAATACTCCTAGTAGACTCGTCTGTCATGTCATGTCTGGTCATGTCTCCTCCTCTCAAGGCACTTGGCCGTGGGAGGATTGATTCGATTGATTCGATTGATTCGATTGATTCGGCTGATTCTGCTAGTTGTCAAGGTTTGACTTCGATTTCGACTCTCTCTATATACTGTAGCTAGTCAGTAATGCTTACACCGAGACGCAGCAATCGCCCTGATAGAGCCGTCTAGCAAAGCTTGACCAGTCCAAGTCCTAGTCCTACCCTGCGGGCTCAGGCTGGGTTGTGTGCTTCGGCCATAGCATTGCATGTACGCATTCGTAATGGGACATGAGATGTCATAGAACATATCGAACATGTCTTACGTGAAACACATCTTACATGAGATGTCATGGAACACATAGAACATTATAAGATCTTGCTTGGATACCGCATGTATATTGGGAGAGTGTCAGGTGAAATATTCTGCAGGTCTGACATGTTGACTGACTGTTGACTGTCGTATACATAGGTACATACAAGGAAAAGGGAAAAGGGGTTGATCTTGCTGATTGGCTTCAATGTTCTTTCCGTAGTTCAAGGACAAGGCAACATTCGTTGGGTAGTCACCCCGACGAGACAGGCCTCCTTAGCCCCCCGGTCCCGCAAACCCATCAAGCCGTAAGGAATCGTACATGTACAGTTCCAAAATCCAATCCAGCATGTTCCATACCCCCACGCTGACAAGGTCGGGTCCAACTCCTCGCTGAAATAGAGCTTCAATGTTCAATGTGGTGTATCGTGTCAATCGTTTCCATACACGTCCCCCTCTTGGATCAGGTCCCTCGTCCACCTTGACTCTCAGGACGAAAATTTCGACGAGATCCAGACCTCCATCTTTCCCATCTCATTCCTCTCCTTTCTCGCTTGACTGCGCACGCTGCTCAGCAGCATCTCGAGATCATCCTGGTCGCCCATGGTGATCATGTCACCGTCATCTTGCATTCGGATCTTCATTTGTTCTTTGATCCCAAACTTTTCGCGGATCTTGCTCTCGAAATCGCCAAAATCTATCACCGCTCCAATCATAAGGTATCTCGTATCTTCATTGAAATGGCACTTGACTCGAATCTTGCGCATGTCGGGACGATTACTGCCGCGTGCAGAACCCGATGTGGGTCGGCGGACAGGCTCAAACCCGCTCATGCCTTCGCTCATTACTTCTTCGTCGATATATTCGTCTTCTTCATTGATGTACACTTGTTGTTCCGGCCGTCCTTGCCGTCTTCGCGGGCTGGCGTACATGCGGTAGACATCATCCACGGCATCGGTGGCCTCGTCGTATGGTGACTCGGTCGTCTCCCGGAACAGGGGTGCAGGAGCCCGTTGCGAGAGAGATCTATCCAGCATTTGACGCCGGGGAGCCGGCCCACGTGGTTCTGATGCGGTTCTTTGGGTTCCATAGCGTGATCTTTCCATCTGTGGCATGGGCCGCTCCACCATGACGGGTTCTTCAGACCAGGGGTTTTCACGTTGCCCGAGTGGTGCGATTCTGTTTCTAGTAGGTGGTGCGTTCCCGCCGACATCAAATGTCGCTGAGCGGCCCAGTATGCCAGGTCTTGGTTGATCAAATCCTGGCTTCGAATAAGACATGTTCCGTGGGTTGCGCATCGAAGCTGTCCGCAGTGGGAGGCTCGTGGATCCGCCGCTGCTCACTCTGGGCTTCTCGGTCTCTGGGGGCGGCGTGGGAGGGAAAGCATTCCGGTTCATAACCGGAGGGGCACTCTGGTCTCTGGGCTGCCTTGTCGATAGGTTGCGCTGCACAAGATTCGTTGCAGCATAACTGATATTCTCGGGTGGGCGATCGTCCTTGGCTGCCATCTCGGTGGCGATGGCTTGCCTCCGTTCAATGCCTTGGAAGCCAGTCCCAGTGTTTTGGCTATTCGAGGTAGCTATGAGTCGGGCCTTGCCCAGGTAGTCTTTCGCCTTGAGATTCTTGACTTTGGCTTCGTTTGGCCTATATACGCAGCCCACAGGTCTGGGAATGAGAAGTTAGTGACCGAGACCAACAGGTTTGTTGCTAGAGCGCAAACTCACATGCTAAAGACAACGTAACCCTATGGAAGTCAGCCAATATCTTTGTAACCTGTCATCGAAGTACTTACTGCTGCCTTTTCCTTGATGGCGTCGTCTATCACATCGTGATCAGGGGTCATCTTTTCCTTCTGCGCAAAACCGAAATCCTGCATGCCGGCGTCCTCCTGCTGGAGATACATATAGCAAAGCCCTCGGTTGAACAGCACTTCGCAGGAGTACAGCTTGAACTTCAATCCCAACTGTTCATAGTCGATATAGGTGTTCCCTCTCAAGTATAATAGAGTGTCATTGAAATTGGCCAATGCTTCTTCGAAATCGCCCAGGAGAAAATTGGACACTCCCTGTTGGAAATATGCCACGGCAAGATATTGGTCGAGCTTGATCGCCCGTTGGTAGCATTCCACCTGCTGCGGTCAGCCTGAGTTGTTTCCGTCTTCTTAACTTCTATAACCCACCGCTCGATCATGCTCGCCAATGGTTGCATGAATGACACCACAGTTGAAGAGGATCTTGGAGGTATCTGCAATCGCATCGAACGTGGTCAAGGCCTCCTCGAATTCCTGATTGTCGTAATGAGACAGGGCCTCAACCCAAGTCTCAATCTCCTAAAAAAGGTCAGATTGAGACGTTCTCGATGGCGTAGAATGCCTACCTGCTTGAGCGACATGGCGCCGCGCCGGAAAGAGTCAAGAGTGAGGGTTCGAGGTCAATGGCAGGGCAGGTAACTTATGCAGAGCGAGGTGTTTTGGCAGGAGCGAGAGGCTCGGCGACAAGGGAGGCGAGGCGAAGACGATATTGAAATGGAGGTGTGGTCACAGACTCGCTTGACTTAGCGGAATTCGATGGCTGCGATTTCTCGAAGGCTGCGAGGGCCGGCCCTGCCGCAGAGACCTTGAGATCCAGGGATTAAGCGCCCAGTAGAAGCGGGAGTGGTGGTAATGGTGGTGGTGTGCTCTAGGGCTTGTCTTCGGCGCCAATGCGTCCAACAGATGGCGCCAATAGCAGACGGCGTCCGGTTGACGAGAACAAATTACGTAGTGACAGTGACGACCCGCGATAGTGGAAAGGATTGTAAAATAGTGTCGGTGAACAGAAGAGAAGCAAAAGAGCGTGTGCAGAAGAGAGAGCGTGCAGACAAGGAAGTGTAAGGGAAGAACAGTTGCGAGTATGAGGACAGGAGACCAGGTTGAATAGATGGGATGGTTGATGGTTTGGCAGTGTGTGTCACAGAGGCAGTACGGAGTTCTATGGGATAGCACATCCTCCCTACAGATAACAGTATTCGATCACAGCGAAAATAAATCCTTGGCCACCAACCCAGTCCAGTCAATGCTCAGTGCTGGGATGTGGGCAGGGTGAAGCAGGGGGGCAAACAACGAGGTGTCAGGGCAGGGGCACCTAAAGAAGATGCCTCCTTAGCCTAGCAGACTGCCTAAGGAGCCTACCGGACAGAGGGAGCCTGGCACCAACCTGGGCTCTTCAGGCTAAAGGGGCCCTTAAGCTTCCCTGCGCGAGGCCTAAGCCCAACTGGAGGTTAGTCCTGCAGGTTCCGATTCTCTCCTTGCATATCCGCACTGCTGCCACCTGCCACCTGCAACTACCACCACCATCACCACCACCAGTAGTCGTGGTTCCCTTGACTGCATCTCTTCTCACACATCCACCTACGTAACTAACTCGTCGCTTCTGCGTGTGACAGAACCAGCAAAGGACGCGCTTCAGACGACTGGCGGTCCCTCCATTGGTGGTACCGTCCTCGTCGACCTCGCCAACGATGCTTGGTACGATGTTATCTCACATTCATTCTGCCTCGGCTGCGTTTCGTGTTCCAACCTCACTCGTCCAGGATGTGACCAAGAATCTCCCATCACACGATGCTATCGGAGCTCGTCAACAAGTGGCCTGAGTCTGTCACCTGAGTTTTCTCCTGCCTGCGGCCGCTCTCGCGGCGCCGTCCACATGTCTTTGCCGTTGCTGGCCCTCGATCGGCCCCTCGGCGTACATATTCGAGACTCCCCGACTCGGGCGGTGGAACCCCATGCGATGCCCACGACGTTTTGGACAAGTTTCGTTTCAGAAGCACATCTGGAGGCCAACCAGCGTGTGGCACTTGGTCACAAAGCCTATCGTGGCGTCGGTCCGTACAATCGGGTTCCTCGCTCCCAATGCCACATGCAGGGGGTTGCTGCAAAAGCTTCCCATCGTCTTACTTTGTACATCCTGTTCAGGCCAAATCAGAATCCTTCGGCATGCGACGTGCAGTGCAAACTCTGCGTTGACGTTTCCGAATAATGTCTATCATATCAAAGTTTGCAATGCTCCATACAACAACGGGTCATAGTCATAGCATTCCTTTTCCGACCTGCTCCTTGCGTTCTTCCCATACCGTCTTTCCCGAGCAACTACAAACTGTCTTGTCGTTGTCCCAAACACCGGCGGAGCGAGCAATGACTCCAACCAAGGTATCCGGATCGTCATTCTGAAACGCCCCCTCTGTTTGTTTCGACACCACCATGCTGCGACCGATAATCTCCCAGATTGACACTGGCCGGTCTAGGAAAACGTTGCCTCGGCCATCCTTCCCTACCACTATCGTCCCAAACACACCACGAGGCTGACCGAAGCCACTAAGGGCCTTGACGGCTTCCCAGATCCCGCCTGTTGAGGCTGCCCCACGTGAGATATCACCTGTGTCCCGCACAGTAGCATGATATGTCCCCGGGGACACACCACGCACGGTCAGGTCCACAAGTGTGTGGCTGTCAGAAACTTGGACCATTCGTGCCAGACCCCGGACAGGATCTGACACGCCGTTTGCGTGAGTCTCTAGAATGCAAACGCCGGCGGAATTCGAGCTCCCGCTCCCGCGTAAGATGGCATCTCGTCCGGTAGATTCGATGGCTGATACGATGGATGAGGGAGGTGCTGTTCCTTCAATATAAACAAGTTGGTCTTTAAGATTGGCTTCCACCTTGGTGATGCCTGCAAGAGTCGCACGTCAGTCTGCTCACAGAGGCGCCAGAGTAGATGATGCAGCCATACCATCCAGTTTATTTAGGGCTCCAGAGACATCCTTGACACAGGAGTCGCAATGGAGCGGAACGGCAAAAGTGGTCTGAGTCCCGGTCAGCGTTCAAGAGTCAATGGGAGGAGAGGAGGAGATGGATGACCAACCTGGAATGCTTGGATTCCTAAACTCCCCATATTGGGTTTTATATCGAGATTGGATCAGCTGCTGTGACAGGTCTAATGGCAATGTTGAATTGAAACCGTATTGCGCGCCTGGTAAAGTAGGAGGTGGAATCGTAGGTACAGATGAATAAAAGCAGAGGTTGCTTTGAAATACGCCATACGGAGTACTGGCCATGGAACATGACTGATGCCCCGAGAAACTCGGAAGATTTCTGGCCCGCACGGCTCTGCGCGTGGCCACGTGACCGGGTGATCTGAGGTCTGTCCGACCTGCGATCATGCCAGTGGTCGGCATACAGGTCCAGCACCTCGTTTCTCATTTGAGATTCTTCTGCCTGACGGTCCAGCCCAGACTCCAACCAGATCCGACATTTCCCCAGGGCCTCCAAACTTCGAACGCCCTCCTCTTGGGTAGCGTCAGGCGATGCAGGTAGCAGGCTACAATGGCCTCCAACTCCAAGTCTAAATGGGCTGTCGACGATGAAGAAGAAGCCGCAGCCGTCGCATTACGGAAGAAGGAGAGAGACGAGAGAAGACGATTGAAGGAAGAAAAGGCTCGACAAGCAGCGATTGCCACCGCGGCAACCCCTTCGAGTCCCAGCAACGAAAATGAACGAGCCGCCAAACGACAGAAAACCTCACCAGAGAAAGAGAATGGAGCATCAACATCCACAAGCGAGGAAGGGGCTCATCTACTACACTTCCCAAGCCGGCAGTTTGGCCCTTGCGGACACGTCGACCAGTTTGAGCTTCTCAACAACATCGAAGAAGGCTCTTACGGCTTGGTGTCGCGGGCGCGCACGAAAGGTTCCGGCGACATTGTGGCATTGAAGCGGTTAAAGATGGAACATACAAACGACGGATTCCCTGTGACGGGACTCCGAGAGATCCAGACTCTCATGGCATGTCGGCACGCAAATGTGGTCAAGTTGCTCGAGGTGGTGATGGGGACCAGTTTGAAAGAGTAAGTCTGCTCCTAGGAAGTCTCTTCTTTTCTACCCTGGAAAGCGCCGATACCAGACGTTGTTAACCATTTGGCTTGGACCGATTTCCAAACAGTGTCTATCTCGTCATGGAGTTCCTCGAACACGACCTCAAGACTCTCCTCGAAGACATGGCCGAGCCGTTTCTGCCGTCGGAAACCAAGACGCTCATGCTCCAGATCGTCTCGGCAACCGAATACCTGCACTCGACCTGGATCATGCATCGGGACTTGAAGACCTCGAACCTTCTACTCAACAACCGAGGGGAAATCAGGTTGGCGGATTTCGGCATGGCCAGATATACGGGCAACCCTCGGCCGAAGCTGACACAGCTTGTGGTCACTTTGTGGTATCGAGCTCCGGAGCTACTACTTGGTGCAGAAGAATACGGCTTCGAGATCGACGTGTGGAGTCTGGGCTGTATCTTTGCCGAGTTGTTGACCAAAGAACCTGTCTTCCAGGGCAAGAATGAAGTCGACCAGCTGTCCAAGATATTCGCTTTGCTGGGGACTCCGACAAACGAAACATGGCCTGGTTTCCGATCCCTACCAAACGCCAAAGCCCTCCATCCTGTTCTGTCCGGCTCAACATCTCCGCCGTCCCTGTCAGCCTCGAAGTTCCCCTACATAACCAACGCCGGCCTTCGGCTCCTGTCTTCTCTGCTGTCCATGAACCCGACCGCCCGACCCTCAGCCAGCGAGATCCTCTCGCATCCCTATTTCAAAGAAGACCCGCGGCCCAAAGCCAAAGAAATGTTCCCGACGTTCCCCAGCAAGGCGGGCCAAGAGAAGCGACGGCGCAGAGCGACTCCTCAGGCCCCGGAGCGTGGAGACGCCCCTAGACTGGACGAACAAGAATTTGCTGGCATTTTCGCCGGAAGAGCCGATGAGGAGCAGGGCGCCGGCTTTTCTCTTAGGTTAGGTTAAGCCCCGGGATCATTTGACTTGGCCTCTACCAGACTAGGTATACCGCTCTGGTCCGAAGAGCACTTGTTTTCTCTACACCGCCGAATCAGACCCGCCACCACAGGCTTCTTGTCCCATCGATGCTCGAGGTCGAGCTCGCCGGCTCTGAAGGCGGAGAAATACCTAATTGGCCCCCAGTCTCTGCGGCATGAACATAAAGGGGGCAGACTGGCCCGATTGAATCGCCTGGCCGGAAAAATCTAGAGAGGCGCCTTTTTCTTCTGCTTCTACTGTTCGTCAAGCCTTGAACTTGTTTGGGCAGAGAAGGAATGATGCCGGCTAGATCGCCTCACTGCAGGCAGGGACCCAGGAGCCTTGCATGTCTCACGATCGTACTGCACTACTACTGCTGCTGCTACTGCTACTACTATAGAGCACGCTGAAGGACAAGGAGCGGAATGAATGCCCGGGGCACACTGGCACTAGCAGCACACGTCAATCCGTGCGTTCTGCAGAACCGTGTGCGGGTGCGATTGCATCAACTTATTTTAGATACCTACAATACAGTGTCCTCGCCTTGAGCCTTCCAAGCTTTCATGTACCTACTAGGTGATCCAGAACTGGCTTTCAAAAACATTGCACTGGTGTAGAATTCCTCGTTGGTACTGAAGCGGGTATGACTACTACTGTAAACCGCTCTTGACTTTGGCAACACACTCTACGGCCATTCCATAGCGAACATACCTATATGTAGCTCTACGTATGGCTATCTATGACAGTGCTTCATCGTGGCCAGTAAGTGCAAGCTATCTAGTTGCGGACGGAAACCAGAACAACTACAACTATGCGTCAGTGTCAATGTTCTCAAACAAGAAGGCCGGCGAGCCCGGCACAGCCTGTTCCGCTCGCGAAGCCAGGCCAGCCTTTTCCTCGCCGACCGTGACAATCACGACATCGGTGCAGCCCGTGGTCTTCTTCAGACTCTTCTTCATCTCATTCAAGATCTTGACTTCGTCAAAGGGTAGTTTGCGGCCAAAGACGGCCTCAGGACTCTCCTTGTTGACGACCAGTCGTTTCTTGAGCGTCTGCACAAACGGCATGGCCTTCTTCATTTCAGGGCCCTTGCCTATCTTGGCCACTTGGCCGTTCAGCGCTTTGTCGTCGTTCAAGGTGGCTTTCTCAAACGACTCGCGCACAAGGTCGACGTATTTGTCCTGCCATTCGGGGAAGCTGGTGGCCACGAAGATGGTGATGCGTTTTGGTTTGCGCGGATCAAACGCCGCCGCTTTGCCCTTGGCCATTTTCTTGGCGGCTTGAGCTTCGGCTGAGGTGATGTTACTGGACGTGCCCTTGACATATTCTCGCACAGCTGTGAGAGAAGGATCGGAGGCGGGGACTTCTGGCCACCGCGCAAATTGGATGGATTGCGGTTTGTGAAGCACTTCAAGCCACATGTGTTCGGCCCAGTGGGGGGCGACGGTGGCAATGACCAGTGCCTGCAGCTCCACGTACCGCCGGATGAGTGGACGGGACAAGGGCGTGCCGCTTGAGAGGCAAGCTTCACGGTAGAAGTCGCGGGCGGATTGGAAGTCGTACAGGGCAGATTTCAGGGCGAGTTTGTAGTCCGTACTGCAACCCCAGAGAAGTTAGCATCAGTGTCAACATCCGGGTATGCTGGTACCAGAGGGCAAACAGGGAGGAAAGGATGTAAGCGTGGGGCAGGACAAACTCACTCAGAGTAATGCTGGTACGCCTCATGCACCAGCAAATTCATCTCGTCGGCAAACAATTCGTCCCAGACGACTTCGCCCTCAGTCTCGCGGAGACTCGTGTCTTTCAAGGTATCCTCAATCCATTCTTTCAAGGTATACATCCGCATGATTGCAGCATTGGCACTCTTCTCTTCAAAGTTGGCATCCTCCATGCCATCTCCAGCATCAGCAAGGGCTATCCGAGTAGCGTCGGCGCCGAACTTCTTTACCGCCTGACTTAAGGTCAAGAAGTTGCCTGTAGACTTGCTCATCTTATCGCCGTTGAGCAATAAGTGGCCGTTCGCTCGGACAGACTTGGGCCAGTATTCTCGTGGAAATAGAGCAGTGTGAACGTAAAGGAAGAAGGTGAGGTGATTGGGGATGAGATCCTTCCCCGAGGATCTCAGGTCGAGAGGATACCAATACTCGAAAGACCGTCTCAAGGTTTGCAGATCTTCAACGGGGATTTTAGAGGACTGCGAAACGCTCTCGACATTGTTCGTGCGGGTGAAGATGTAGTCCCATACATCATCGGTCATCTGTTCAGGCGTGATGTTCAACAACCCAGGCGTCTTGCCGAATTTGTCGCCATGCAAGAAATGAGCGATAGTGTAGTACGACATATAGATGGTACTGTCGCTCAAACTTTCCACCAAAAACTGAGGATCCCAAGGTAACTTCGAACCCAGACCATAGGTTCTGGCACACGCCCATTGATTGAGCCATTCCAAGTTCGCGACGAACTGGTTTTCGGTCTCCTGTGCGTATGTTTCAAGGCCGTTCTTATCCTTGACATAGTTCAGCACGGTCTGCTGCCATTCCTTGTCGTTGTGTCCGTAATTCAGGAACCATTGGGGAACATAAGCGACCACACATTCGTCCGCGCTTCGACTGATGACCTCGGCCGACGGGTCCGCAAAGGGGAAAGCATCGCCGGATTTGATCAGTGAGCTCCTCACCTTCTCCTTGGCCTCCGAGACCTTGTCGCCCTTAAAGTCGCCGACTAACATCGTGCCATTATAGAATCCTTCCTTGTAGGCAAGATCCTTGGCTTCCGCTAGCAAAGTGGTGTCTTTGGGCGACTGAATCTTCATCGACTCGACCAGGTATTTGGCAGCAAGATTGCCATACGCAGGCGTCTCGATGAGCGGGACGATCTCCAGTTCAGCCCATTCTTTCTGGATGCCATAGAACTCGGCCTTTTTGGCCAGGTCTCTCACAGTGGCATAATCGTCGGGACTGTCTGAAGGAACACAGGTGACAACACCGGTGCCTTTCGTCGCCGAGACTGTCTCCATAGGTAAGATCCGAACACCCTCACTGTGCACCGACAGCGGTGCATTTACCAGGGTACCCACGAATGCAGACCCTGGTAATTCCACGACAGGCTGCAACTCGCTCTGATCGCGGGGGAAGTGGTCTTGGTCGAAAAACTTGCCTTGGAAAGCCATGTTCCACGCGGCCCTCTTGGTGACGACGAAATATTCCTTGTCTGAAACCTTGAAGATACCGTACTGGATCTTGGGTCCGAGGAAACAACACGTTTGTCCGTACATGGTTTCCGGCCTTAATGTTGCTGGAACGAAGTAGACACTTGCGTCCTCTGGGATTCTCGACTTGACCTCCTTCGCGGCCTCTGGCGACCACTCCTTGACCTTCAACTTGATAGCGGTGTATTCGGTTGGCCCGACTCCTTCGCCCTTCGTTCGGTCGTGGTCCATGCATGGCTGGCCGTCTTTAGGGCTGTAAATAGTGTATCTCTTTCCGTACAAGATCTTGTTCGACTCATGCAGGCGATTCATCTGCCACCGCACAAATGCATCATAGAAAGGGTTGGCGTCGGTCGTGACGAACTTTCTCCTCCAGTCTATCCGAGCTCCAAAGTCGATCAGATCCTGTTCGCACAGAGGAGGAAAGTACTCGAGCCAATAGTTGGCGTCGGCAAACTTGTGGATTTCCTCTTTTGGGATTCCCATCGCCAGCATCGTCTGGAACTGGTAGTTGGTCTTGACTGTCTTTGCGGCCTGTTTGCCTTTCTTGCTTTTGAACTTTGTGATGTCGTCCTTTACATTGGCCCCCTGGGTTGGCGCAACGGGAACGCTATTCGACTCTAGAGCCTCTTCCTCAACCTCCTCATGGTAGTTCTCGAAATTCTTGCCGAATCTCTTCACGTCCTCCACAAGCTTGTCTGCGCACGCCTTGATTGGCATTCCAGTACAGTGGAAGCCGAGAGGGAACAAAGCACGCTTGCCGATGAGGCGATGAAAGCCCGTGGTGAATTCGACTTTGCTGATTGTAAAGCTATGTCCCGCATGTAACGAGCCGTTCATGTAAGGGTATGCGAAGGTGCCAAAGTATTTGGGGTGCTTGGCTCGAATGTCTGCGGCCGGGATAGAGTCGAACGGAATCTCGGCGGTGGTGGGAGCATCCACCTCGAATACTTTGTTCTTCTGCCATTCATTTTGGTATTTCTTTTCGATGGCAATCAGGACGTCGCGATTATGCGTCTAGGCCAGGAAGGTCAGTGGACATCAGACGAGGGCCAGGTGCGCAACTTACATTTTCAAGCTTGAGAGTGTTGGCCGAACTGACACTCGGGTCCACGGAGATTTGAGTCGCCATGATGGGGGATAAGATTGGTTCTCTGGCCCAGGCCCAACAACGGGGCACTCTCGTTGCGAATGAAGCGGGTGGTGACTCTTACGAGTGTTGGCAATTCAGGTCAGAAATATTTGTTCCTCCACAGCCACCGCGGTCGCAGGCAAAGTGGTGGCCAGCCCTGTCACGTGGAGATTGGAGATAGCGATAAATCAAAGCCTTGTCAGGCCTGTATTCTGGAGTACCGCCGCTTTTAGAGGCACCTACCTACCTTACGAGACTCTCCCCAACTGCACTTCGACCAGGCCGTATCTGCAACCGTACGGAGTACTCGCTTGCATACATGGTTCTCGCTTCCAGCACTACAACCACCTATCATATCATGCTGTCAGAAGTCTTGAGCCCGCAGCCCCAGCGGCCACTCAAAAGAAAGTTTCTGGACGATGATAACCACGACGGACCACGAACCAAAACGAAGCGCACTCCCCTCCATCTCGTTCCTGATCTCTTTCCAGCCTCCGACTGCGAATTACGTTGTCGCTCTGATAGCTTCTTGTTGCGAATAATGTCGCCCAACTCTGATTTCTCTCGACCCAAAAGAGACCGCCGTCCACGTCGTCGATACGAGGGTGAACTACCTCCCCGCTATAACAGCACACCTGTGGAGACGTACGGTTCCCCCGAACTCTCCACATCGCAGATTTCCCTATTCATCTTCTTATGGCATAAGCAGATCACACGCTTCATATCGAGAAGCCGCATCCACCCCTGCAACCACAGCATCTATCTCTTTTCCGGATGACTCGAGATCGTCTTTACGCGTCAAGTCTGCTACTTATCGTAATGATCTCTTTCGCAACTATGTAGAGGTCAATTCAAACGAGTTACCACCATCTTTGCAAGACTACGGCGGTCAAATGATCGCCAGAGCTCGAGACTCCCCAGGTCTGCAAGAATCTCAAGCACAAGATGTGGTAAGCGCCCTACGCTCGCTACAAAATGAGGACCAAGATACTATTAAATCCGGATACATGTCGGCGCAGCTTCTCCCTGGTGCTATTCCTTATCCAGGCAAGATCAAGATGGGCAGCAATATCCCTTTCGACTCAGCAGCACTTCCACACGTTTCCCTGGCCCCGCCACTTGCAATCCCCAAACCTGATCAGCATTATTGCTTGGATCCAAGAAACTTTACCGATGAAGAGGATAGCAAGCAATCAATCAGTGCCTTGCGACCGTTCGCGAAACCAAGTACTGCCGGATGCTGGCCGTACTTCACTGTCGAATGTAAATCCGAAGCTCGAGGTGGAACATTCTGGGTCGCTGAAAATCAGAATGCGGGAGGCGGTGCGTTGTGTGTCAACTCGATGCAAGAATTACTGTCCATTGCCCAGGCCAGTCCCACTGAAGTTGACTCAATCTCCTTTTCTTGCAATATAAGTGCTAGAAACGCTGAGATCTGGATCCATTATTGCCGAAACCAACGATTTTTCAGCGCCGAACTCGAGCACTTCCACATGGGACGGTCGAGAGATGTTATCTATTTCCGAAATAGTATCAAGAACATCGTCGAGTTCGGGTTCAAGGACCGTCTTCCACAGATTCAAGCTCTCCTGGCCAAGGTCTCTCTACCAGACCTTGAATTTGCGGACCAGAATCGACGGATAAGAAAGGCAATCGTACATGACTTCGTTCAGAGCAAAGCCCTCACACAAGAAAAACCTTGCTGATTGGACAAATGACGAGCAACCATCCTTTGAACGAATATCAAAATCCGACTTTAGTGTCTTTGTGATGGGAGCATTTCCCAGCCTCATCTATAATACTCCTTCACAGAGCCACTTCACAGAGCCACTTCACAGGTAGGTACTTGGCACCAAGCCATAACCGGAAGTTAGAGAGGTATAAATAACTCCTCTTCTCAGTTGTTTAGCAATGACCATTGCACTTGCACAATCAGTTCATCAGTTTCAGACTATCAGATATCTTTGCAGCCTGCTTGGTATTGCTGAGCATCCAGTGTTCAGCTATCAATATCATCCTCAACTATGGCTTGTCGCGCGCCCGCCGCGCCCGTGGGTGAATGTTCGTCAGTGTGTGAATGTTTGTCAGTTGGTGAATGTTCGTCAGAGGGTGAATGTTCGTCAGAGGGTGAATGTTCGTCAATGGGTGAATGTTCGTCAATGGGTGAATGTTCGTCAATGGGTGAATGTTCGTCAATGGGTGAATGTTCGTCAATGGGTGAATGTTCGTC